GGAAAAAAAAGGGCGACACCTGGGCCGGGAGCTTTTTGTTGGGTTCGAGTCCCCAAGTCCGAGTTTTCCCCCGAGGTTCCGAGGTCCCGGGCAGTAGAAGTCCGGTGGCACGCGGCTGCTCTCAGTGCCGCGGCCACAAGTGATCACCTCCATGCCCACGTACTGCATCTTGGGATACCTGGACTGAACTGACTCCACTGGAGCTCCGCAGGCTGAGGATGCGGGGAAGCGAAAGACAAGCAGGGAAAGGCATCTTGGGAGACCTGCACAACCGGGCTTCACTGGAGCTCCGTTCACATGAGGATGCAGGGAAGTTGGAAGCTAAAGACAAGAACCGAAAGGGTGCAAAAGCGGGGCTCCGGGATGCCACAGTTCCGTTCACAGGATGCGGGGAAGCTAAAGACAAAAACAAATGAAAGGGTGCAACAGCCACCAACCCCGGAGAGGAAAAAGCCAAAGCCACCAAAAGCCGCGTAAACTGCCGGAGAGGAACTGGGCCTATGGCCCGTTGAGCCAGCAACCTTTGCCAATCGGGCAATCTTTTCGGTGAAGGGAATTACTGCCAGGACAGTTTTTGCACCAACCACCGGGCGTGGGATCAGGATGGTTGGTGCTTGAGACGATTCGAGCCAATTCCTTTGCTCACATGACGGACTACTGATGGTTGCAAAAATCTGTTTTCTTACTTCAGAACCCAATTGAATGATGTTCCTGCAAATGCCAACAAACAATGGTTGCTACCGTGGTTTCTCAGATAAAGCGAAATGGATTTCGTCCATCCGAACCCACCTTGTCTCGTCAACTGCAAAAATGTCAGCTTCCATTCATCTTTTTGAAGAGCCAGAGCTGTAGCGCAATGGCAGCGCATCACCCTGCAATCATAGCAGAGTGGAGAGTGGAGGTCGGGGGTTCGAGTCCTCCCAGCTCTATTCTTGATTGCTTCTTGCTTGACGACTTGTCTGGCCCAAGGTTCCAGTGTGGTCACTGGGTCATCTTGAGATGCACTATTACCACCATGTTTGTTTTTTATGGATCTAAATTATGCCTGTATTGTTGGTCGCTGTCATGTTCGCTCCTTGCCTCACTGTTGATCTGATGTTTGGCTGGTCTGTTGGTTCTGTTTATTTTGATCAGGCAAAGAGCGGGCAAAGAACGAGGAATCTGACAGTCGGAAACCACAGCCAGGCCAAAACCAACTTTAACCTGGAAATACAACGGTTTTCAGCTTTGGGAATCTTGACTAAACATCCTGGCCGCAAGGACGCCCTTTTTTCCACTCTGACCCACAAAAAAGGGGTACACCAAAAGGGGAACAAACAAGAGATCCTTGGCACCGCTCCAACCCCCCCCCCCCCCCGGATGTCCCCCATTGACAATTGGGGAATGTGGGGGCTACCATCTGTCCAACAATCATGGAAGTGAAAAACTCGGGGGCTTCCCCAAACGAAAAGTAGTCTTCGAAACTGGGTTGTAACCCAAACAGTGTGAACTCTGCTGAACGGGTGACTAAGTGGCTTGCAACCTAGGTTACCGTTACAACATACGAACCTGGCGAATCAAACACCCAAGGCCGCCAGCTTTGAAGCCTTCCGCCGAGTCACGCGCTGAAAGGAACCAGCATGTCTATCAGGCCCATAGAGTACCTTAGAGCAAACAACAAATGAACAGGCGCGCCCATCAAGCATACCCCCCCAAATGCCAAACACAGCCAACCAACATGGTGGCCTTACAAAAGGTTGGTTCAACAATCACGTTCTCCCTGGATTGATTGGCGCGTCCTACGGTACCAATGCCGGAAGGGGGGTGTTCCGCTCCAAAAGTGATGAATCAATGAAGACCCGCGAAATCAGACACCCATGAAGATCAATCAACCTGGGAGCTATTCATCGGGGGTTCCCGTTAAGCGGGTATAGACATGTGCCAACATTGGCCCAACGCTGCCGCTTGAAATCCTTTTGCACAGTGTCTGGGTGTGCTCAAGAGGTATGTTGGAAGCTTCTGGATATGTTTCGCAATTCATCCTCCAAATGTTCGGTCTCCTTTACAGTAGTCGTACAACAAGTATGCCCTTCGAATGAGTTGCCCGCTTGCCACAGACATCAACAAATATCGACGTAAGCGTGCAGCCAATAGCACAATAGCTGTAGAATATATTCGACGGAGTGTTTGCCCAGACCTCCAGCGGGCAGGGAAAACGGGAAAAACGCCTTTTCTTGGTGCAAAGATTGAGGGGAAGCCCAAAACACATGGCAGCGAGGGCAGCCGTGTGGCCCTGTCACAATCTTGTAAGCCTGCCCCAGGCAACGGATCAGAGCAACAGGTCACAGGTCAACTTGTTTGGGGGTGAGGGGAGCGACCACACACAAAGGGCCAAAAATCAGTCGTGGCTCCTCCTTGAACCCCGGCGCGGTTCCGCAAAACACAAGACATGGCAAACATCACTTGCATTTGGCCGATGATGACTGCATGTTGAATGTTCAACCCTTACTCCCCAACCTGCGGAAGTACACTCCTGACTAGGTCCTCCAGATTTGAGAGGTTAGAATAAGGGTACCCTTTTTCTGTCGTCTATTTTAGTAGGGTCCCGAACCCTCCCAAAAAAAAGAAACGGCAAAAGGGCACTACTGGGGGACCTAGCAGATGCAAGATAGTCCTTAAGTTTATTCAGCCCACCGGCTTTGAGCAACGTCTTAGATGTCTTAGGAATCCCAGCCCACGCCGAGAGCTCTTTGAGTGCCAAAACGGTCCAACACAACAAGTGGCACTCGGATGTGAAATAACTAATTCTCAAGTGCCACTGTGATACGGATTTCTCGTTAAAAGTGAACTCTTGCTGAACCCTAAGGGTCCGAGCGGGGGGCTTAGCATGCAAACCCCAAACTTCCCCCCTTCCCCGTACACCCCGACGTTGCTGAAACGGGGTGTCAAAAGTCGACATACTGTGGCTGGACGAAATCCTGAACCACTTGAAAACCATGCGAAACCATTGTCCGTTGGTATTTACAAGGGAATCATATGGGCATCATCATTGCTAGGTTTCTTAGGTGGTGCATGGATTTCGTCCATCCACAGTCTTTGAAGACTTCCCCAAATTCCATCCATCGGACCCGGGCCAGCCAGTCACTCAGTCACGCCCAACCTTCGCCGAGGGCCTCGCTCGCCCCTCGCCCGACCGGAAGCCCGAGGTGCTTGGATTGAAGTTTCTTGCTTGCTGGCGGGATTTGTTCCACCGCGGGGAGGAAACATAGTTTTCCCCTAGATCGCCAAGTTGAGATCGTTTTTTTTTCTCCAGTCACTGCAGGACTTTTTGGCGCAAGGTGCCTGGGAAAAAGCGATCGCTGGCGACCCAGGGCTCACTCCTAAGGCTCATGACGCCCATGCGGGCCCCGGGCCCTCGGATTATTGAACCCGGACCCAGAAGCCCTTGAAAACAACCCATTTAACAGGGCTCCCTATATTTCCAAAAAAAAAACATCACCCCAAGGGACACTCACCTTTCATGGGCCCAAAAGGTGATGTTTAAAACCGCCCAAAAAGGAAATCTAGGGGGCCCTGCATTTCTGAGGGCCCAAAAACCCGGAGCCATAGGGCCGCCCAAAATTTGCTCGGCCGAGGTGCAGCAAAGAGCCGTCGCGGCCCTTCAAGGAGCCGTCGCTGGCGGACCAGTTGGACATCGACATCTGGGGGGCCATGCCGGTGCCTGCCAAGTGACCCATGGGCGCGGCTCGAAACAGGAAGAAAAACCCTCGGCATCGGCGTTCCCTCTCCTTCCATTTGGTTTTTCGGCCCCAGGAAAAGTGAGAACATATTTCCAGTAGTGAGGAATTCGTTTTAAACCCAAAAAGGGGAAATAAAATCGGCATCCATAGGTGTCCAATTTTAGGTTGGAAATAGACGGGTTCCCCTGGTAGATGGCTCTAAACCACCAGGTAAACCAGGACTCCTGCAAACACTCTTTTTGTGTGGAAGTCGAGCACCGAATCAAATCTTGCATAGCCACACGCCAGGGATCTCTTGCTATGCGCTCAGGGGGCCTTTAGGATGCCTCCATTTGCGAATACGTTCCCTGGAAAACTAAAATAAAACAGTTGTCCAGCAAGAATAGGGGGGGCTATCCCTTCTTAAGCCCTCAATAGGGCTTAAGAATTTGGCTATCCTGGGCTTATCCAGGGATAGCCCCCCCACAGCCCCCCCGAAGATTCCAGGACTTTAGAACCAACAGGGCCTAGATTTCAGCCAACATGGCTCAAGGCCTGAAAAACCCGGGCGACCTTTCCAGGATTCCAGGCCCAAGCTTGAAACTTTGCATGGATCCGACCCCAAAAGGCAACAGAACCCCGAGAAGTCCCAAGGCCAAGGTTTGTCTCCAAGTCTGATTTGACTTGAAGGTACAACCATTGGGTATGCGTCAACATAGGGAGGCGTGCACCCCTGAAAATGGTGTTGTCGTTTCGGCTGCGCGAGGTCAACTTTCGGCTTCCCGATGAGAAAACCAACACCAGGAGGTACCCTCAGAAAAGCACTCACGCACACACACATTTAGGATGCCAAAGGTACCTCGACGAGCTCCCCATGTATTCTTCTCTGTGTCCCATGTTGCTTTAATCAAAGCAAACGCTGTCCCATGTTGCTTTAATCAAAGCAAACGCTGCCAACCGGTGGCTTTTGTTGGCAGATGCACAGGGTACCGCATCTATGGAGTAAGCTTTTTATTGGGATTCTGGTGGTCCGTGGTTGTCCTACACTTGGGACCGCAAATGCAAAACAAGAAGCCAGAAATATCACAGGGACTGTGCACGGGAGTTGCTCATAGGGACTGGCCATCTGATCGGTCCCAGGTCGGCCCCAGTGGATTTCCATTGGAAGAACGGGCGCTCGGTTTCGCACGACGGGGCATTTAAAGGCAAACTATGTCTGCGTACCTGCGTCTCGGGAATGTGTGTGTCTGTGTGTCAAAGTAAGGGGACCATGGTTATCCAGTTGGTCTCCCTCTAAACCCAACTCTTTTGGGGGCGGTACCCCTTCAGAAATTCTGGTCTTCCTTTTGGTTTCCAAATAATAAAAGCACCAAAAAAGGTGTTCCATTTATGAGAAGAAGACACACCGAGGTCCTCCAGTAGAGAGGTTAGAATAAGGGTACCCCTTTTTCTGTAGTCTATTTTAGTAGGGGAGCCCTCCCCGGAGAAAAAAAAAAAAACGGTAAAAGGGCGCTGCCGGGAGACCTAGACACCTACGCCTTTTGGACGCCTCTCTAGACATTCCATCATGTCCATCGGTTCGCGGCGCCTGGAGCCCACGCGAGCGCCCACGCCCTGGCCTTGCCAAGTCCAGCCCGGATGGGAGCCGGCCCGCACCTTGACCTCGTTTGGGACTTCCGGTTGGGGAAACTGGGGTCATTTTGACGGTTTCTGGGGGTTATCAAAGTCAGAAATGGGGTTATGTTCCTTTACCACTTAGGGGGTGACTTTGATCATGGTAAAATAATGAAGCCAGGGAAATTGAATTTGGGGGGAGGAGGTGGACAGGGGAAGGGGGGGGGGGGTCTACGGCTCCCTAAGGAACCGTTTCTTCCATTTGGTTTAAGGTGTCCATTTCTTCCATTTGGTTTGAGGCCCCAGGAAAAATGATAAAATATGCCCAGTAGAAGAATATGTCCAGGAAAATATGTCCAATCAAAACCTGGTATAAAAATGGTCGTAGCTGGGACTGCTTACTAACCTTCATCTACCCGAGTATTGATTGTGGCTCAATTGGGGGATGGTCCCAGGGGAAGGGGGGGGGGGTCCCAGCACGGCTCCCTGAGGAACCCTAGCGAACCCTAAAAACCTAGAGGCAACAAATTATTGGGTAGTTGCTATAGTGGTACCTGGAAGCACTGGGGTACCTGGCAGCCTGGCTTCCTTCTGGGAAATAGATGGCCTGGTCCCTGAGGAACCCTGAAAAAAAACCCTTTAAAACACCCTTTAAAGGGGCCCTCAACTCTCCCCACCCCTCATGTAGGGACTCCATGAAATTCCATCGTGTTGCTGCGGCTCGGTGCGTTGATGTGCGTGGCTGAACAGTGGCTTAACCCCCCCCCGACCTATCGTTGACGAGCCCGTTGAACCCTTTCGTCCGAGTTTCTCCACTCCTTGATTGGTCTGCAAGGGCTGGAGGGGTTCGGATCAAACCACACATATCTCACTGGCTGAGTGGATGGCCCAAAAAAAGTAACCACACTTTACATTTACCACTAAAATGGTCTTCCCAAAAAGTTTAAAGTTCATGAACTCAGGAAGTGAGATATACATATGGAAGTTGATCAATATTCCTGTTTCCGGAAAACGCCATCTTCGCGAGAAAAAAAAGTTTCTTTCGCGAATCTTTCGCAACTCCATCGCCACGCCCTGTTGTTTGCAGCGTGCGCTGTGGAGCCATTGTGGCTGCTGCAGTTGTGCTTGCAAACACGGTAGCCGCAGTTCACTTGCGTGCAGTACTGTCAAGTGCAGGCAGTCACCGTCATTCGCCCTTGCCACTTGCGGTTGCCGGCGATGTGCGGAACCTTGCAACAAGCTCCCTGGCCTTTCGCCGGTCTTTCGCGGATCTTTCGCGAAACTTGCTCCAAAATAGCCCAGCCAACGTTATTGATTTGCACCAATCCCAACACAGGCAGGGAATCAATAATGCAAGTGTAGGTGCTGCGTATCTCCCTCTCTACAAGGGAGCGGGGTCTGCAAATATGTAAGTGCAAAGGCAGGCCTCCAAGAATTCAACGCGGAATCTTTCGCGAAAAAATAAGTTTCTTTCGCGAACTCCATCGCCGATCTTTCGCGGAGGGATTTAAGCCAAGACGAATGGTCACCGAATACATAACTCCTTGCAAGGACCTTTTGATCAACCCCCATATACGTATATAGATATATACTAGTTGAGACCAACCACACACACAGACACATATTATATATGTGCTTCGTGCGGTGTCTGTGTGTTTGCCCCGTCTCATTGTCTGTGTTGATTGTGTTTTTGTGTGCGTATTAGTGTGGTGTTGTCTAGTGTGATCTGTGGTGCCGGCGTGTGTGTGTGTGTGTGTGCGTGATAAAGAACAGGACAGCTTTGACAGATTCCAGTCCAAACCAGCAGGGCAACAATAAAAAATATTGTTACCATCCCTCCAACAATCATGGAAGTGGACAAGGGGCCTCTCCAAAAGGAGGGTAGTCTTCCAAAACCCTCCTTTCAGCTTCCATGATTGGAGGGAGTGGAACCAATTTGAAGGAACCCAGAGCCCAAAGAAACATCCCAGTTGGCCCTCATCCATCCCTTTGCCTCACGGGGTGCTGCCTGGAATCCCGCCGCTTTCCTCAGTGCCCATTCAGATCAGGTCATCAAAGGGTGGGGTAACAGAACAACAGCATGTTAGTGTGTTTTGGGGCCATTTCCTGTAGATTTCCTGTAACGAAACCCTGCCCAACCTCACTTGCCCAAAGGGCAAAGAAAAAGATAATACAAATAATATATATATATATATGTGGTCACCTTTCTTGGCCAAGACCAAAAATGGAAACCCAAGCATGTGAATCAATTTCAGGTCGATTCGCTTCGGGCCAGTGAGCACCAAATATTGGAACCTTCCAACCCATGCGCGGGGCCGTGGCTCCGGACGAGACCAAAGCTTTGCGCGGGATCGAAAGGCACAAAGACAACCCAAACAACCAAGACAACCAATGACAGGAAACAACTGAATGCGCAGACAAAGGCAAGCTAACCCACACACACACAAAGAAATCCTCACACTCACTTCGGACACGAAAACTGGGATTCTGCACCGTTCTGGCGTGATGTATCCTTTGTGTACCGATCAGGTATTTGGGCTGAGGCATAATTAATTCAGGAGCACCTATCTAGGAATCTGGGGCCCAACAATTGGTGTGAGCAATGGTTTCTGTGGGACAATGATGGTGTTTGTACTATTAAATTGAGCCATACATAGGGGGACTTGCGTCGACAAGCCAGGTGTTCACACCAGTTCATATGTTCTTGGCTCAAATTTAAACAGCTTGAGTTACAAAGGTTTCATTCATTGTTTTCATTCACGGCGCCATTTTGGGTATCATGCATTGAGCCACACCTAATATGAGTCTGTCATTCTTTAGGGAACCCCTCTGTGGTTGGTTTCAAAGGAAGCCAAAAGGAGACCCACGGGGAGGGGAGGTGGGGGGGCAGGCTACTTTGACACATAGGCGTACCGGAGTCTCAGAATTGTGACCATCCCTTTAAGTTGTTTAACTTCCATTTGCTCAAGCCCCCAGGAAAAATACAAATATTTCCAGTAGTGAGGAATTCCTTTTAAAAAACCAGCAAGGCAAAATAATAATAATAATCATAATCATAATAAATAATCTTAAGCAAATGGTTGTTTGAGGAAAGCACAACCGAGACCGGGGTAAGGAAGCAACTTAAAACACAACAATTCCACAACAGTTACCCAAAATGGAATATGGATTCACCGCCCCACATGGAGACGAACGCCACCACAAGCTGCTGAACCATTTCTGGCTGGGACTTTCCCTTTACTTTCCCTTTCCCCCTACTTTCCCCTACCTTCCCCTACCTTCCCCTACCTTCCCCTACCTTCCCCTACTAACCCCGAGCTTTTTTTTTTGGATTCTGGCCGTCACACGCCCACGAGCGCCGCTTTAAAAACCCGCGCTCGATCCCCCGAACCGACTGCCAGGGACTGCGTCCAGGGCTCGCGTGCTTGGGGCTGCGCTTCTTCCAGCTCAAGGCGGCCAGGCTCAGGCGCCGCGGCCGCTTCCGCGTGAGCTGGACCTATCGAGCAGAGGCGATCCGCGTACGGGCGCTGGGGTCCCAAGGGAACATGGAGTCCACACCAGGACTCCCCGACGTGAATCTTTGAGGGACATTTCTGGTGGTTGGTTGGTTTTGGTTGGTTGGTGGGCATCATTTAGGTGGGGATCTATGTCCACCAACCATTTGGGAGGGACATGGTCCCTTCAAAAGGAACTACAGTGGATGGTTGCGAAATCCGTTTCGCGCCACGGATTAAAAACATGGTTGAAACCATAACATTTGTTTGGTATTTAGGGAAATCGAATCATTCCAGGGTTTTGTAGGTGCAGGATTTCTTCCAAGAAACCCTGGTTTATGATTCGATTCCCCAACATAAATACCAACGAACAATGGTTTCAACCATGGCTTGAAAGTGGCGCGAAATGCACTTCGTCCATCCACAGTATAATGGCCAATAACTACATTTCCCCTGCAAACATCACCCTGCAAAAGGAACCCCTCTGAAAACTTCCATTTGCTTAAGCCCCCTGGAAAAAGTAAACATACTTCCAGTAGTGATAGATTCCCCCAAAACCAGCAAGGCAAAATAAAGACTATTCTTGAGCAAATGGTTGAAAAGGGTTCCCTACACGTTGCCCAACAGCATCACGACCGAAGGAAACTCGCATTGCAGGGGCCAAAGGGTGACTTCAACTGCCCTTCCCCCTGCCAACATCTCTAACCTTTGCTTCCATGTGGTTGAGGCCCCAGGAAAAAATGAGACAATATGTCCAGTAGTGATGAATTCCTGTTAAAACCAACAAGGGAAAATCAACACATATTCTTAGGCACATGAAGGTTTGTAGACGACGGGGCAAGGTCACACTAAAGACAAGCCATGTTCAACCATCCCCTTTCGGAATTCTAGAGAGGTTCTATCAACCACCAATCCCAACTGAGCCCAAATCAAAACCCAGGTAGATGAAGGTTAGCAAAACGGATAGCCCCAACCATGACTGGATATCCTTTCAGCGCCAGATTCCCAAGCGTGTCAGCCTTTCTTTTGTTCCCGTACTTCATCCAGGTGCCATCTCCCAAACCTGTCCATGTCCATGGGACAGGGAATTTCTTTTGGGCTCCAAGATGCATGGGCCCTTAAAACTAAGTTAATGGAATGGGACCCCCTTTGGGCTCTCCATGGAACAGGCCCCTTTGGCTGAAGCCCACCCAGCTGGCTTAAACAGCAGGCTGCCAGTTTTAACGTCACTTTCCTGCCGGTTTTAACGTCGCTAACCAGCTGACGAGCCCCCAAGTATTGGGCCCCCCCCTTTCGGGTTTATTGTGGGTGCCTTATCTGAGGGCTCCTGCATTCAATTCCTCCCTGACAAGCACCTAACAACTATAGGACTGGTTGGAAGGATCGCCAATCGATTGGCCCAACATGGCAACTAAACTCTCCTGAGTGGACTGCCAAAAAAGCAACAAACATGTCAAAACTCTTCATGTACCAGGAACATGTTTGGATTTGTTGGACATGTCTTCCTACAAAACGTCTTCAGTCGTCCTGCAAAACGAATTAAAGGCCAGGCCACTCGGAAAGTACAAAGCCAAGCCACACTGCACTGCTGCCGCTGCTCCTGGAAGGTGCCCTGGGTGTCATGGATCCTCAGGGTTTTTAGTTGCCCATGCAGTGCTACAGGCTGTAGACAAACATAAAATATACATCATACGTATATATATATATATATATGTAGATCTAACTTACATATATATATATATATCATAAATACAATATACATATATGTATGCTTATATATGTATGCATTGTATAGTATTCCATGCACATATGTTATGGTTGTGTCTGTATCTATCAGTTGTTTCCTGGCCCTAGTCTGGCCCCCGATCAAGTCACTGCAGCAGCAGGCTGAAGTCCATGATCCGGAACTCCTGGAAGTTGCTTTGATTTGAACAGGGCTATCTTTCTAGGGGTACCTTCCATGTCCGTGGTTACTTTCTATAGTTTGCGTGGTCCCTAAAGGGGAACCAACAGGAAAAACACCTTTCCGGGGGGAAGGCCCCCCAAATGTTTCACACATCGATCCAGGAGCACCTTCCAGGTCCATTCTGAACCCAGGTGTCCGAATCTTTCTAGAACACCTCTAGGGTTTCCCAGGGAAAACGGATCCGGTTTTTGGAAAGAACGATGGTTGAAAAGAATGGTGGGAATCAACCCCTAGAATCTTTGCAGGACTGCTTTGCCCTGTGCGATTCCCTACATTATTCTCCTCTTCCTTTTCATGGGGCTACCTCCCAAGAGGTGAGAAGCCTCCAACCTCGGTTGCGCCAGGGTTTCCTTACCAACACATCCTACCCCAAGTGGCCGGGAGTTGAGGTTGAGAGGGTTTTGCCCCCCTCAACCAACAAAAAAATAACGCTGAAAACAGGCCAACACTGGCAGGGTTCCCCCTCTTCCCCTTTTTGCAAGAAAATCCCTCCAAAGCCACCTTGGCCAAAACAAGTCAAAAGGTGACCGTCCATCGCCCTGGAACCGATCAGAAAACACCCCGATTTGCCAACCAAATCCCGAGAGGGCATCAAAAGCTTCAACCAAATCCTCTTAGGCACCGTTCAGAAACCCGGGTTTCTGATGATTCACCTGTACATACCAACAACTGTTCTGGTTTCAACCATGGTTTCATTGAGTGGTGCGAGAAGCGGATTTCGCCACCATCCCAGCATGTCTGGAAGCATCCAAAGCTCCAAACCCGCCCCAACCGTTGAATCGTTCGCTGGTTTCGTCTGTAATTCTTAAGATATGTCCAAAAACCAAGTGAAATAAGAAATGGATTTCAAACTTCTAAAAGCTGAAACAAGACTGGCATCCCCAAGAAACACATCTTTACCAGGAGCTGGTTTCCCCCCGGATTGGTCTAAGGCTGTTATGGCTTTATGAGAGATCAGCTCCCGTTTCAGGTCCAAAATGGCTTCCATGTCTTCCAAAAAAACACCTATACAATCAGACTTTCAATCGTTGAAAAAGCCACATGTTTCAAATGGTTGCAACTTGAATTTCTTTTCAGGAGCCCTGTCAAACCTTTTGCCCCCCCCCCCCCAAAAAAAAAAACGCCGAAACCGCCGAAACCGCCTGTCCTACACCCTTTGCCGAAAACCCCCCCGCAAAAAAGAAAGGTTCAGGAAGAAAATATACCATATTCTTAAGCAAATGGGGGTGATCCGGGGTCAAACAGGGATCCTTACATTATACACCTGAACATTGCCTTGTAAATGGTGGTTTCCCCTTATTTCGCTGTTGAAACAGCCACATGTTTCAAATGGTTGCAAGATGAATTTCTTTCAAGGACCCCTGTCAAACCTCCCCCCCCCCCAAAAAAAGGAAAAAGAACCATATTCTTAAGCAAATGGGGGTGCTCCGGGGTCCTACACCTTGTGCAAAAAAAAAACAAAAAACGCCGCGCAGAGACGTCCTGCAGCAGCTCCACGTCTGTCTGGTGCACCTCCGCCACCTCCCGCGCCACCGCCGCCGGCAAGCCCAAGGAAGGGCCCAGCTCCTCGCGGAGTGCGCGAGTGCGGGGCTCCGGGACGCGACGTTTAAAGGAAGCCAAGGGATGGGGTCCACGGCCCGCCCTCCCCCCAAAAAAGAGAAAAGAACACCGTGGGTGTGCTTTTTTCTTCGTTTTCACGCCTTCCCCCCCCCCCAAAAAAAAAAAGAAGAGGAAAAGAAAACGTACGTAAGTGAGTGAGTGAGAGTGTGAGTGTGAGTGTGAGTGTGAGTGTGAGTGTGAGTGTGTGTGAGTGTGAGTGTGTGGTGTGTTTTTCTGCTTTTTTGGGGGGAAGAGGGGACGGGGTGAACCCCCTCTTGGTTGCTTTTAAAGAGAGACCAAAAGGAAATCGACCATTTGACCACAAAGTCACTACCCCCGTCCCCCAAGCAAATATGTAACATAGCAATATATATATATATATATATTATGATCTATTTGATTGGTTCCACTACCCTCCCCCAAACGAAAACAACAACCACACAAACAAATGGCAAAGGAACCTTACAGTGAGCTTCCTGGATTTGGATGCTCACATTGATTTTGCATGGAACCTGACAGGGCCCCGGTCTTTTGCCCTTGCGATAGCGCAAAGGCAGTCTCTGTTCGACGCAGCCGTTTCTTGGGGGGGGGGGAAATGAGGAGGACCCGGTCCCTTTAAAACGAGAATGGTCTGCCAGGTTGGGAGGGTAGTTGTTAGTTTTGACATCTCTACTCTTGGTATGGCAGCAAAAAACTTTGTTTTTTGCAGACCCCCAGTAAAGATGAACAGAACCAACCAAAAAAAAACAACATGCCAAGAACAGTGAAGTATTTGATTATCTTGGTTGTTGTTTGGAAGAGGGTAGTGGATTATGGGAGAGAACCAACAGGTCGGACGGAACCTCGCAATCGGTGTTTGTTTTCGTGCCACTTATTCTTCCATCTGGTCAAGGCCCCAAGAACAAATACAAAATATTGCCAGTAGTGACCAATTCCTTTTAAAACCAACAAGGGAAAATAACAAACATCCTTAAGAACATGGAGGCTTTTCTGGAAGCCAAGACGGGGGTCCCGGAAGTGGTTTGGGACGCAACGGTTTTACCCTCCCATGAGCTGCGGGGAATGGTTTTGCTCACCCCGCATGGTCGTAAAACAAGAGTGACTGCAGAAACCCTCTTCAACGGCCACTTAATTTGCTGAAGCCCCCTGGAAAAAAGCAACAAGGTTTTCCAGTAGTGATAGATTCCGTTACACAATAACATCATATTTTCAGGTTCTGTTTCAGTTTTCCGCTAGAATGCAACATTTTTTTTGCCAAGGCATGCTTTCGGCTTCAGCCCAGTCGAAACTTGACATGGTCAAGCAGACTTAAAATAGGGCACCGACCAAGAAAGTGATTTCTCTTTGGTGTCCCTTTCAAAGCAACCAGAAAACTGGGCTGTGCTCAGATCCCCTGCCAAAAGTTTAACTTTCAGTCGGTGACATGGAACCCACTAAACAAAAAAACAACAAACAAAGCTAAGGCACCGGATGGCTGGGACCCACCCAGAAAAGGCGACCCTTTCCAACCGCTAGGTCCTCCAGAAGAGAGGTTGGAATAAGGGCACCCTTTTGTCTGTAGTCTATTTTAGTAGGGGAACCCTCCCCCAAAAAAGGGTAAAAGGGCACTACTGGGGGACCTAGACCATTCGGCCGGCCAGACCCAGGCCGCTCGGGGTCGAGTCCTGGTCAAAGTTCAGGTCCTTGCCTACGGACTCGTCCGGATCAGCGAAGCGGTGCCGCAGGCTGCCCTTGATGTCATACCTCAACCAAACGTGTGGCTAGTCTCACGTCCGATCCAGTGGATTGGCCAGAAAAAGTCCCGAACCTTTTTTTTTGGGTTGTTTAGCACTAAAATTATCTTACCAAACATGTTTCGTTTCAAAAACAAATCCAGAAACTCAGGGAGTGAGCAGTAGTATGTTCCAACAGCTGGCCTGTTTGGAGGGATGTGGGTATATGTTGCAACCTCCATTTGCTTAAGTCCCTGGAAAAGCATATTTCCAGTAGTGATTATTTCCCATCAAAAAACAACAGGGACAACACACCTAGTGCTGCGCAAATGGAAGTACGCGGAGCCTTTGGGTTAATTTAAAAAAGGGGAAAAACTTTAATGAAACATTTTTTGAGGAGGCCACTTCAATGGACAGTCACAGGTCGTCAAGAACTACTTGACTACCTTGGGGGATTGAGAAGTTGGGCTGCCTGGGTGAAGATCATTCGTTGCATTACATGTCAAGCGTGCGATCCGTAACTTTTAAAAAACAAACAGCTGGGCCAAACTGACCGAGAGCCCTGCACAAGGTTATCATTTTGCTGGCTGAAAGGGAAATTGTTGCACAACCCGCAAGGGCGACAAAAGACAAGACAAAAAAAGTGAGCCGAGCGTGGAAATGACCACGCATCCTCTTGTGGCTCCTCTTGGGGAACGCGCAATTGATCGCACTAGCAAGCATCTCTACTCTTGGTATGGTAGCAAAAACAAAGACCCCCAGTAAAAATGAACTGAACCAAACAACTACAAAAAAGAAAACATGCCAAGAACAGTGAAGCAAGGCTGTGAAGCTCGCCCATGCGCATGCGGCCCAAGGTGCGTGTGAGAGATGCCAAGCGAGTGCCTGCCAAAGCAACCGGGGTCGCCAAAAGGTTCTAGGATCCCCTGCTGGCAGTGTGCTTAGTATGATACTTAGTATATTTGCCTACACCCCACTCATATATATATATATATGTTTTTCAGCGTGCCGTGGGAAGTGGGTGACCCAGATTGCTAACCGCATGCTAAGTACTCAGCCCCGGTACTGCACGTGTCCATCAGCCCGGTCTTGCCTTTGCCCGGCAACCTCCCCGCCCATTGGAAAAATACGACTCTCGCCATAGGTGTCCTTGTGGCAAAAATCGATGGCTCTGTTGAATAGATCTTAACACCCACCTAAACCAGTGCGGTTTTATGTCTAACCAAACTAGCCTAAAAAGGACACCCAGAACCCTAGCTTCAACCTTTGTTGGGAGGGTAGAAAGGAGGGAGGGCAAACCGCAAAAAAATCGAAGAGCGCTCCGAAAGGGGCCCTGGCAACATCCATCGTGGGTCGGCCATCAAGGAGCTCCACCATGTCAACGGGGGCGCCTTCACCCCCCCCCCCCCCTTTGAGAAAAACAAACTTTGAACAATTCATACCCAGTTTAGAACTCTTTGGGCCCTGACCTTAAGATTGTAACGCATCATCTGAGTGTTCGGGGTACCGATTGTTGGCTTGTTTCAAGAGAACCCAAAACGACATCACCCGGTTAATTGTGGGGTTCCCAGGTACAAATCACCAGCAACTCGGAGAGTGAGAAAGCCCTTGTCCCACAACCAAACAACCAATTCCACAACGATGCGGGCTCCGTTGACACCAACCTTTAAATGGGTACAACAACACACGCACACACACACACACCCATGTGGTTGTGTCTCAAAGTAGAGCAGCCTCAGGATTGGTGGTTGTCCTTTGTTCCTCGTTGAAACCAACCAAACAAGTGGTGGCCTCAGAAGACACACCCATATCAACATCTCAATGAGTCATCCTCTGTGTCTCATACAATGGGGGACTATGGGTGTGCAAAGGGTGGGGCCAAACGGATCCGATTCCCTGCAAAAAGGTCTAGTTTCTTGTTGGTCGAAAGGGAGGGCGAATGTTTATTTATTTCCCGGTAGGCCCTCTGCAAAAGGCCAAGTCCTTTTTGTTTTTTTTCAGTTGAAAGCGGGAATGATGGATTACCAACAAAAGTGCAAAAAGTTTAAGGTAAGTTACAATACCTGGGCTGTCCCAACTGATCCCCTGCTGAAAGTTTAACTTGAGGGCTTAATGGAAACTCAACCACTAAACCAACTAAAAACATCTAAAAACCTTAACTAGTTCCTCCAGTAAAAAACATGGGTTACAATTAACAAGGGTACATTTTTATCTGTAGTCTATTTTAGTAAGGGAACCTTCCCCCCCCAAAAAAAAGAGGTAAAAGTGGGCACCTAGCTGGGGGACCTCGTCTTGAGGAACCGGACGACTTGGGAACCCAGGTAGAGGGAACAAGGAAAACCAGAACTGAAAGAACAGAGGAAGCAGAACAGAGATTGAACAGAAAAAGGAGAGATTGAACATGATTGAACAAACAAAAAAAGAAAAAAAGAAACAGAGCATGGAACAAAAAAAAAAAAAAAAGAACGGGAACAAAGAGGGTTGAACAGAGCTTCTGCCTGGCGATGAAAGCAAGTTCCTTGCGGCCGAAAGGCGTCGTCACCGAGCGCATCACGAAGAAGAGTCTGGAGGGCTCGCCCTCCATGCTCACCTGAGCGAGCTCCCGCGCGAGCCAAACCCGCGAAGACTCTTCTTCTTCTTCTTCTTCTTTTGTTTGCAAAGAGACGGTTTTGCTTTGTTGTTGTTTTGCAACGAGGGATTTGGGCATGAGCAAAGAAGGGACCCGAAATGGTGGACAAACTGTGGTGGGGATTCACGGCCGTCCACTTTGTGAGGTGTCAACTCTCCAAAAACTCATACTTTGCCAGCTGAAAGCTCAAGAATCGATGGGCCCAAATAGGCTCTGGGATCGATAGGTTCAGCGAGGGTTCTGGAGGGTCAGGGGTTCCTGGACCGTTGGGGATACCTGGGCCCTTTATTTTTCAATGTTTGCTCATCTTCAGTGGAAAACCCACCAGTCGACGCTTAGGTTTCACACTTTGATTCGTTTGGGGCTTCTCTAGTGTTCCAACGAGCCACATCTATCCTGGAGTGTTCAAAACTTGGTTGCTGTTGACCCCCTGCAAAGAGTTTACAACTTTTGGGGGGTTTAATGGAATACCCCTTGCGTTCAACCAAAAAGTTAAAGTCTGAAGATCCGTTACCCAATAGCATTTAAGAAAGGGGCTGGGGATGCTCCTGGTTCTTTTTCAACGGTAACGTTAACCCCCGGATTAAACACAAAATAAACGGCTGATTGTTTCGGGCGGCGGCTGTGGCTCAAAAAATCGCTACCAAAATGGAACCCTGGTAAGTGGAAACATGGACCAAAACCTGTGCAACCCCTCCTGTTTAATTTTGAGCCACGCCCAAAAATCCGATGCACGTATGCGACGATTCCTCCGCGCAAGCAAGCGGACTTGACTCGCATGTTGTTGTTTTTTTCAGCGACCGCCCAAGCGTTTGCACGCAGAATTGTGTCGTTGCTAAGTGCTGCGTGACTTTCCCAGCAACACAAGGCATTGGGGAAATTGCGGCTACCTCTAAAAATGGAGAAACAACAAAATGAAGTTGTTCCGGTCTTCATGCGGGAAGGTGTTTTTGAGGGTGCCTTCTTGACCCTAGTTTACAGGAAACCAGGATGAAAACCACATTTTTGGATGGATCCAAATGCCAAAGTTGACACGGTGGATGTCAGCTCAATATTGCAAGTAAGGGAACCAGTTGAAACCAATTCTCTAGCTTACCATGAATTCCTCCCCCAGGGTTTTGTGGATAGTGGAGGAGAGGGAAAAAAACGCTCCAGTGTGCTGGTTTGTTTCTGGCTTGTGGTTCTTCTCTGGCATGATTGGTTTCGCAAGGCGTTCCACCCGCACCCCCACCACCACCACCACCACCCCCACCCCCACCACCCACCACCCACCACCACCCACCGCCCACCGCCCACCGCCCACCGCCCACCGCCCACCGCCCACCACCCACCACCCACCACCCACCCCCCGTCCCCCCCCACCCACCAAAGCCAAAGGGCGCGGTAGAGGCCGCAGTACCTCCCCAGAAAGGACCGGGGCTCCTCCTTGAGCCGCTGCCTCGCGGCGTTCAAAGCCAAACGGCTCCATGTGCTAATTCAGCTCCTGGACAAAACATGAACCTTTGCGATAGTGAAATTGATTTTCTTTACAAACCAAGGGAAAATTACACATACTCATGTCAGCAATGGAAGATTAGTTTCCAGTTGAATGGAGTTTTGGATTTGGTACTTACTACCCTGTTTCTTTTCCAGAACTCCTGGTAGCTCCTGAGCTCCGGTAAACACGGATTTATTAGGGGACTTATTTCTTAGGGAGGCTTCAAGGCTCCCCAAGCCTCCCCGACAGCATCCCAAAAGCTGCAAGCTCACAGATCCGTTACCTCCCGCCGGGGGTTCCAGGCTATGACCTCCTGCTCAACAGGTTCAGTGGGACCCAATGGCATTTCAGCAACCGCGCATGCAAAGGTTGCAGGTCTGAGTCGTTCTCAGACTTGCACAAAACTGCCCCTGCAATCACAAGAGCGGTCTGCTTCCCACCGCGATCTTGGGCCCCTTCGTCTCACCCCCAGCCCGCAACCTTGTTCCCAAACAAGCCTTGATAATCACACCTGCATTTGGAGACCACTCAAACACGCCACCCCCCTTCCCCAGCACGCACCCTGGCCAAAAACTAAAAAACCGACAAAATCTGGGATCGCTGCTTTTGGGGGCAGGGGCAGTTTTATAGCCCAAAACACCCAGAAACCAAAAAGGTTTGAACGTTGCCTCTGGGCAAGTGAAAAGATGCCAAGGCTATCCAAATTTCCGAGGTGCAAATACTTTGGGAGCATCTTGATCAGCATCTTCGCCTCCAGATCCGTGGTGGTCTTCACCAAATACCTGGTTCTGAGTCCAGCTGCGCCCGAAGACATCACACACTTCAAAGCAGTTTGGCTGGTCCAGGACGGGCATGAACAGTGCAATCTGGGTGAATTATAATAAATTTCGCCAGCCTTAAATAAGGTGGTTGGGGGGCTTTCCCCACATAAACCACCATTTGGGGTGAGGTCGTCTGAGGTCGTTATATATCTCCCAGTGCAATGCGCCAATGCCTCCACCACGGAACTTCCTGTTAAAGTCTCCATCGCGCCCATTCTTTGCGCAAAAAAAAGAAAAGTCTGGATAAACTCTGCAAGTCGCCAGTCTGGCTGAGTATTTGTTCCTTTTGGTCTGAATTACTTGTTGGCATTTTGGCCCATTGGCCTTTGTGCAAAGCAACAATCTTGGCTGTTGGGTAACCAGTAGTTCTGTTAGGCCATTATAGCACCGCGTGATAGTACACGGTGCTACGCATGCTCGCCCAGCAGCTGGTGGTCGTGGCTGAAGAAGAAGATCTCCCCGCTCTTAGAATTGGTGCCAAACCTGAGCCCAGTTTTTCATCTCATTTCTGAGCGGATGGGTAAAAAAAGGCCGAATGTTTTTGTTCACTGAAGTGGTCTTCTCAACAAGTCATCCCGGTCCAGAAACGCAGGGAGTGCGAGGACTGAAAACAGGAGGTTTGCAGCACATCCTTTGTCTTGACACGGCCTTTTGAATCCCGTTCTTCTCCCCCAACATTTCATGTGTGAAACAGCCCCACTCCACCGGGAATCCTTGTTGTGCAGTGACCCGACTGGAAAAAACGCACGCCTGTTTTTGCGGCCAGGAACATGTTTAATTCGTGAAGGCAACAATCAACATGGAAAAGGCTGAACATCGGCAAAATCCACTGGACAACTGGGCTGCTGCCCCCAAGTCCAATCCCATCCCGCCATACATTGCACATAATTCCCCTACCTTGAAGAGCAGACCCTCTGACCGTTTGGTGTCCCCTTTGTGGCAACCATGTTAATGGCCCAGGCTGGTCACTTTTATTTTGTGGGTCGGCTGAGTCAGGGCGACTGAGGGAATAAGTTTTCGAATATACTCGCCTATTCGGAGCGATTCCAATCCAGCGGTAAAACGAGTGAAAGCATCTGGTTTAGAGGTCCTTGAGGATCCAATGCTTAATTCAGGTTTTGCACATCTTTGTAAAACTTGCAGATTTTGCGATTTAGACTGCGACGGAAAGGGTCTTTGGGGGGTGGGGGCTTGTCAGATTGCATCGATGTGGGGGATAAATCGAGCAGTTCGAGGGCACATGATCCGAGGCCCCGGATTAAGCAACACCCGGTTGATTTTGATCGGGGGGTGTTCTTCACTTTTGGAGGGAACGCCCTCCTATTAATACGACGGGTTCTACTTAGCTTCGGAGTGATGACTAGTTGGTACCTTCGAGGGGCAGAATCATCGAGCAACTGCTTTCAAGGCGTTGGGCAGAAACAGCGTTGTGCGCCTCACCAGGCTCCCAAAGGCATGCTCGGGGTGTATCATGCCCCGAAATGGTGCTTAACTCACCTCCTGAGTGGATGGCCGAACGAAGGTGTGAACTTTTTGAGTGCCACTAAATACCCCTTGACATACCACTTGGGTAAGTGACGTCTCTCCGTCTGTGCTGTTGCTTAAGGCCAAGGGTACGTTGAGGTTTGCGATCGTCATTCGATTCATGTCAGAGGCAAAAGGACCTGGACCCCTTTCGAGGACCTGGACCCCTTGCGAGGAATTGGACCCAGGTCAAAAGGATGCATTCAGAGTGGCTGGGCCAAGTTAGGCTTCACCAGCATCCCCTGGGCCCCAGTGGATTCTATGGGAAAAGAGCGCCTTTCCCTTGGTTGCTGGCGAGATCCCAAAAAGCAAACAGTGAATCACTTGTTGTGGGTTCAATTCGGAAAACCCGGTGGATTTCAACAAAAAGGCTCAAGCTCTTTGGCATTTGAGTACTCAAGGAAGCAGCGGACACCCAGGTGTTTTGAGTGAAAATATGGGTGTGCCCCAAACAGAACCCCAAAATGGTGTTTGTTTGTTCCCTCTGGTTGCCCTTGAAAACCAAACAGAAATTGATACCCTGGACAAAGACCAAAAAACAAGTACCCTCAAAAATCACTTCCTGAGTGGATTGGCCAACAAAAGTCCAACTTTCTGCTTGCCGCCCAAATGCTTTCTCCCAACCAGTATCAAGTCCAGGAACTCGGGCAGTCAGAAATGGAACCCTCAAAAACACGAAAAGAAGGTAGCCTCAAAAAAAAAGAAAGGAGCACCCTCCAAAAAGAAGCCAAAAAAATGCCACACTCCAAAGCAAAGAGCAAAAAGGGTACCGTGAAAGAAGACACCGCCCGATACCGTCGACGATCCGCGCCGAGTTGCGCAATGAACTCAAAGTCGGTTCGGCACACTGAGTCGAAATACTCCGCGCTGGAGATCCCGCTCATCCCTGGGCTCCAGTTTGGCGCGCGCTTCCGTTCTGCGCTTTGGCTTTCGAGGAGGAACTCGGTTTCTTGGGAAGATTAACTTTGGACTACTCCGCAGGACCGGACTTGTCAGGCTTCCCTTGAGGAAATTGACCCATGTTAGAAGGTGTGCTCCGATTCTTGTGGTCCCCCGGATGAATCCGAAGTGGACCTTAGCTGATTGTCCAAAAGAAACACCAAGAAAAACCGGTCGCAAGGGCTCGCAACCTGTATTCACTCCAGCCTTTTGGTCGCTGATTCGACCCGCAAAAAGTCGCCCACTTTTTTTTGGACAATTTGGAAACCCAACCACTGAATCCAAAAAAACATTTAAAAAAAAACACTAAACCCAAAAACCATTAAGAGCCTAGGGAACCGCATGGCTGGGAACCGCCCGCAATCCACGGGAAACCACTTGCCTCGCGCCAGGCGGCTCCGGACCTGAGCGAAGAGCCTCGGGGCGAACTCCTCGATGTGGAAAGTCGAGTCCAGACCTGGGCCGAAGCTCGAAACGGGCCGACTGCTGCTGGGTAGGGGGAATGACCGCATTCCGGGTGGTGGTCTTCCATTTAGGTTTTTCGGCCCCAGGAAAAAATGTAGTGATGAACTCCTTTTGAAACCAACAAGGGAGAATAGATAAACACAAAATATTATTCAGCAAATGGAGGTGGTTGAATGAACCATGTTTTTGGTGGATTGCCGAATAGAGGAAATTGAAACCGTGCTCAGTAATTAGGGAATGCTCTTGGTTGAATCATCTGTCTTGGGGATTCCCGAATCAAGGAAGCAATAGGACGGATGGAGTTTCTCGGGGTCATTCCATTTCTCATTCCCTGCCTGTCGAGCCCGCAAGTCAACACGGTTCCCCAAGGGGTTGGCATGAATCAACATTGGTGAACAAATGAACCTGGTTCAAAGTCAGCTTCCAGGTTGATTCAACTTCTTGAAGAAACCCTTAGCGGTATTTTCAGGTCCTTTGGGCAAGCAAAGGCTTAATACTTTTTGGGATGCCCATCATGATCATTTTGGAGGCAAACCTGAATGTTGACTTGTCTTGGCCAATCCTCTCGGGAAGCGAGAGGATGCGGTACTTGAGGATTTCTACTGCGGGGGGATGACATGGGAACACTCACATCAAATTTGCAACGAGGAAATGCGGGAGGTTTACTCACAGAAGGACACAACGAGTACTCACCCTTATCCGGCCATTTCCACTGAATTCGTTCTTGCAAGTTGGTGTGCATTCCGGACTGTGTGCAAGGATATTGCAGTTGAGAGGAGGTGTCATCATCATCAGCTAGGTGCAAGGGTCCTGCCAATTGGTAACAACCAGACCCTGATCCCCTCAGAAAACTTGTTGTGGTTGCTCAAGCAATAGTTGGGTTGTACAAAACGATCCCACACAAAACAACAGGAGTGCGCGTTCTGGACTATATGGCACTGCTAAATGGTTCGAACGAGATTAGAACCAGTACTATCTACTTTCGGCGTTGTTCCCCATTGCAATGGTCATCCTGTGTAAAGGACCTTTTGATCAAAGTGTCCAGATGTATAGAAAAGAACACAAAGCCCAGCCAGAATCGGTCAGTCCACGATGTTTAATGGGAAACCCACCGGACGATACCAAGAGGGCAAAGACAATATAACCTCACCATTAATTCGGAATCCACAGGTCCCCTTTTGGGAAAATAGATGGCCCTGGCAACCAGGCCAACCAGGGCCAAGTTTCTACCAAAAAGGTCAAAAACACACCTATGATGGAATCTCACTGGTCGTGAAAGACAAATGTCCTCTTAAACAGAGACTCTGATCAGCTCCAAGCCGAGTCCGTCGGCATAAACAGTAAAATCGGTAGCAAGGCCCCAACAAATTGCTGTATACAGCTCTAAACTGGAAAGAACGCATCCGAGAAAACGAGCCTTCGTGGGTAAGCTAGCTTCTTTTAAACCCCGAGCTCGTCAAAACCTGAGGAAGCAAATAAAAGTGAAGTCCAGGGCTATTGCTCTGCCAAAGCAAATGGGATCAAGTCACACCCAGACCGCAGAAATGCTCGATCCTACCGCCTCCGCTTTTCCCGCAGTCTGTCCCTGCCCGCTTCGCACAGGAGGCTTCCTTACAAACTTTGGCATGTGTTGCCGCGGGTATGGCGATGACATCTCCTGCAACATCCCTTGGTTGCTGTTGACAACATTTTGTGGGTTTAGCGGAAAACCCCATGATTTCCCAAAAAGCTGTCTAAAGATGCAACCCAATAACAGTCAAGGTTGCAAACAATCCGGAACTACACCAACTTGCAAGAACAAATTCAATAGCACTGGCCGGATAGGGGTGAGATAGAAATCATCAAGTACCGCAATGAACTCGTTTCCCGAGAGGATTGGCCAAAACAATTCAACATTCATGTTTGCCTCTAAAATGATCATCCCGGTCATCCCCAAAAGTATCAAGCCCTTGCTTGCCTAAAGTATCTGGAAATACAAGGTCAACCCTTTGCCATCACCAAAAGTGAATGGACAACAAGAAAACCAAAAGGTGAAAAGATCAGCATTGGACAAAAGAGTGTGAAACCTGGGGAAGTTCGGCAACAAGCAACAACCACCATGCCCGCCATCTCGCTGAATCCACTGGCACCGCAGCCCCAAAATTTGGCTACTGATCCCGTTACCGCGGCGGATCCGTTACTCGATCCGTTCGCGCTCCGCGTTGTGCAGAGCCGCGGAAAGTTTGGAAGCCGAAATGCCATGGCTTTGCCAATGGCAACTCGCAAAACTGAAGGCTTGCCCAAAGGACCTGAAAATAGATCATGCTTCCCAAAAAGCTAAAGTCCAAAGATCCAACCAAATTGCAAAAAAAAACTGGGCGTAGTGTTTAACAACAGGAGGACATATGCATAATAACATGGGAATGACTGCAAAAAGCAAAAACAATTCATATGATATCATCGACGCATGGTGAAAACAAAAGATGGCTCCTCCTGTTGTCACGGACATCCAAGTGATAACAGTTTGACTATGTTGACCATGCGCCAAACCATGCCAACCTGTTATTATTCATGGCTGCAACTAGAAAGCCATTTCATGCGGTCAAATCCATTCTGTCAGCTCGCTTTGGGCAAGGAGCACATCCAGCCTGTTGTCCATGGGCGGGGGAGGTGTATTGAAGTGGGTGGGTGCCGCCATGCATCCTCGTGAGTGGCCTTGCCCGAAACTCGGCACAGCGGAGATAGAGACCAACCAAAAACACATCTGGCGGGATTTGGTCCTCACGAGTGACTCACGCCCGTTGAAATTCAAACGATGAGGTTTCTCGCTTCCTGAGTGATTGGGATAACATGGCTAGTAACCCAATGGCTACTTGGATCTTTCCGCGTAAAGTTCAGCACCTCGGGAAGTCGAAGAGCTTCTTCCTCAATCTTCGACCCGCGGCGAATGTTTCCCCACGTTTGCGGGGGTAAGCGCTCGCGTGTCCAAAACGCTTCGCGACCTCCGGGCAGCTAACGACTTTCCCTTTCGAAGCTTGAGGGTTCCTTGACTTTCCAACCCTAGGTATGGCTTGGCAAAAAGCGAACTTACTTTTGCAGCCCCCTGCTGAAAATGAACAGAACCCCAAAAACATAAAAGCGCAAACTCATGGCAACAACAGTGAGGTTGATTTCTCCTTAAAGCATCCGGGCCAAACAGGGGAGGATTCATCCCAGGCAAATATCTAGGAAGCTGTGGACTAGACATTCTCCGCTAGGTTCATGGAAGGCGACACCTGGAATCCGCCTACTCTTCAAGGGCATTCCTGGGTATGTTGCGGCTACGGAGGGCTATATGCCAGCAAGATAAGGGTATAACGCAGGAAGTGCCCGGTGAAGAAAGTTGTAACCTCCATGCCTCCAAAAGTCATACCTAAAGAAGCCACCAGCTTTTGTGGGGCATGTATGATGTCAAGCCCTTACTTTCTCAAACATTATCTACTTTGGAAAACCTGGTGCCTCAAAATACCGAGGCAAACAAGTGGGTGCGAGTTTTAATCAGCCCCCTGTTGCCAGCTCTTTTGCGTAACCTGTCTCCTGGTGCTACTAATTAACTACTATACTTTGGACAAATACTGCATGCTCAAATTGTAAGGGGCCTGGAAGGCAGAAGGGAGGGTCCACGCGGTGAGGTGCTTTCCATGGAAAAACACAGTCTGGTTGAAATGCCCACAAAAGCCGCGCATCGGTGTGTATCCATTTTGGGGACTGCAAGAAATTGCTTGCTTCGTATTGGTCTGTTCTTCCACGTCATGGGGGCCCAATTTGGCAGCACACCCATGTCATTCGGATTCGCCAGGGATGAGTCAAAACATAAGGCATTGATCAAACCCAAGACAGCAAGGTGGGGTTTGCATCTGCCAGTTCCAGCATTTGCTAAACACGTTACCCCTTTTCGTCCACCTCCATGATATTAGCCAGGGTTGGGCCGCCCAGCTGTTTAAACTAGTTTAACTGGCGCTGGTGAATGGACACCTCCTGCTTGCTCATTTGCCTGTTGTTGCGTGGTAATTAAGACTCATAACCCATGCTCAGTTACTCACCCTCAAAAACTAGCCAGCCAAATATAAGCCACTAATTCTTCTTGAAACTGCCTTCTTTGGGTTTCCTGCTGGGGGCAGCCTGATCTTCGCAAAGATCGGAAGTGCGAAACTCGGTCGGTGTCCCGGAGGCCGAATTGCGTGCATCCGCTTGCGCAAGCGCGCGGCACCGGCAGGAAAAGACACCTGCATTCTAAGCGGTCGCAGGGCTCCTGTCTGGGGAAGTCAGAGTCTGGTTTGTACAAGCCTGCGGGAAAATCTTCGGAAAGTTCGGCGAACAACGCTCATGCAACTTAAATGGTTTTGGCTAACTCGCGAATGGCCGGCAAGATTACAAATAGGGACTACGTAAATACGATATCTATCAAACTGCGGTACCGATGGGACAGCCCCCCACAAACACAAAAGCACAAAGCACAACCCGGAGAATGTTCTAGCGTCAGTAAAAATATCAATTAACCAACACCCAAAAACACGCAACCTATAAACACACGCACAAAGTCTCACCCAAGAAAAAGGCACAGAAACAGGTTGGTGAACCTTCACACCCCCAAACGGAAATCGGTTCTCACGGCTCAGTGCGGCCTCTGGGATCGGGACGAGGGATATGTTTGCTTCTGATCTTGGTTGTAACAACCTCAGTCGCCCCTTAGGGACCCAGTAAAAGGTGATCACCTTTTGGGGCCTTTAAAGATAGACCAAAATTGGAAAACCAGAAGGTTAAAAGGTCGATTCGCTTTGGGTTGCTGTAACAACTCCTCGAGGCAAAAAGCGGCAGAAAGTCCAACTTTGTGTGGATTCAATGATGTATCCGACCTGCTACCGACAAGTTACAGTCTAAAGACTTAATCCAGTAGCAATGAAGTGATATAGCACCCTGTGGGCGGGTCCCTTTGGAATCGGAGCGTTGAGTCTGTCCCATCAGGCCTCATCCCAGCACCAGCTTGCCCCTTTTGGTGTGTGACAGCGGCCCTGAGAAATTACTATCCCCAAACTGGAACTCAGGCTCCGACCGAGTAAACAACCTCCATGCGGTTTGCTCGTTCTACCCTACCGATGAGCTGGCGATATCATCTTCCCGGACGAGGAATCGTCACCGAAGCCCTGCGACCCGAAGGTTGGTCGAGAACCAAAAAGCTTGCCGACGTCACGTCGAATCCAAATTTTCCCGAATTCACTTGAAGTCCCTGTCCAGAAAGTTCGTCAATTGGATGCCTCAGTGTCCGAAAAGGATTCTCCCTTTTCGGAGTCCAACCTCAGGCAGCACCCAAAAAGGAAGCTCACTTTACTGTGGCCCAAAAGGTGATGTTTAGAACCACCATGTAAGGAGACATGTAACAGTACTCGGTTGCTTTCTGCTCCCCTGCTAAAAGTTTAACTTTTAATCGTTTACTGGAAAACCCATTAGTTGGCAAAAAGTTAAAGTCCTAACAGCCAAGCAAAATGCACCAAAGTGTAGGCTACTATTGGCTACTATAGTGTTCTCCCTCACCCGATTCGCAAGCCAAAGGGCCAACACTCACAACATGTCAGCATGAGTGGTGGTTTGGGATGGTGTCCAGTCTGCCCTCCACAAGAATCCAACTCCAAATCCAATCCAAACCAACCCGCCTACAAGGGTTACTGGGTTACTTTTGGCAACCACATGATCCTAACAAATCCTTAAACAAAAACAGGCCTCGGGGAAACTTGGGAAACCATGGTAAAGTCCCCCCAACAAAAAGCAATAAAACAATATCAAAGGAACGTGGTGAACGGCCAGGGAACCAAAACCCTTTCAGCGAAAGTCTAAGGTGTAAGGGGAAAACCTAGGGAGACCTAAAATCGCTTCCCAAAAAAGACCCCCAGCCGAAATCCTGCTCAAACCCACCCCATAAAAACCAAGGTGAAAATTCCCTTGACCCTTGGCCTCGTGCTCCAGAAAAAAGACAATCTGAAGACCACAGACCGGCTACGGCGAAGAAAGCCTAGAGCCGCCACATTGGATGTGCCAAGTTAGTAAGTGGTTAGCCACTTGTAACCCAGAATGAGGGTTAACCCCGCGGAACTCAACAAGCGCCTTACATCTTGCATGTGGGTTACCTAGGTTACCGTTAAACTCTACGTACTAACACTCCACTGAACGGGTAACTTGCCACAACCCCGAAAGGCTTATTACTAACCTGGCCCTTCACACCCAAGCGGGTGTGGCTTCTTGAGGGTTGGTGCCACCTTTGCTTGGTTGCTTCAAGGTAAACCAGGTGCAACAACCGAAGCCCCCCCCCGCCAAAAAAAAACAACTTCCCTTCTTTTGTGGGTTTCTAAGGGAAACCAATCAGACAGCCACCATTTTGGGGGGTCTCAAACTCCCCCCCCCCCCCAAAAAAAAAAAACAAAAACAGAGAAGCGCAGCATGCGGACGAGCAGGCCACTGTTTGTTTCTTCTTAAAAAGAAGAAGAACTTTCTCGGATCCAAGGCGCATGCCTCCATCTGTGCGGCCTGGTGGGTCGAAGCCCAAGTCCCCGTGAAGCTGCGGTCCAGCAGCGAGATGTGCACCGAGGCCTCTAGGCTTCCGAGCGCCGACGGCGCCGGCCGGGCGGGCGGTTCTTCCCGCCGCAGTGGGTCAAGGCACACACATAGTGTGGATGGACGATGGACGGAATCCATTTCGCAGCGGTTGAAACTTGGGTTGAAACTAGAACGTTTGTTGGTATTTACAGGGGAATCACATCATTCTAGGGTTTCTTGGGTGGTGCGAACGGATTTCGTCCATCCACAGTAGGTGTCCTTTTAGGGAAAATAGATGGCCCTGGTAGTTGACTGAACCACAAGGTAAACCAGGAATCGCCCTCGATTTCTTAACCAAATCAACCAAAAAGGACACCTGTGCTTCCCCCCAATTGGTCGAGGCACAAAGCCTTTCTTTTTGGGAAACGTCGGAAAGATATTTTGGAGGCCCCTGGGAAAAATACAAAGATGTCCGGTAGTGAAATCGATTCCCGCTAAAAAAACATGCGAGAAAAACATAGTTCTTTCAACAAATGGTTCAGCTTCCCTCGTTGTCCGTAGGCCGGTGGTTTTGGTGATTCAGGAGAGGTTTCGCAACTGGCCTCCACAAACACCAAGGGTTCAAATCCAAATCCAAACCAATCCAAACCACCAACTAAGGGCTACCTGAGGGTTGGTGGAGATTTGGGGAGTCAAAGACACTTCAGGTGCAGCTCCAAATCAACCAGCCAAAAAGTCATGTCCTTTTTCACTCTGGCCCCAGGTCCGGAAGATCTATATACGTCCATTTGGTTTTTTGGGCCCCGGGAAAAATGAGAGAATAGTTCCTGTAGCGATGAATCCCCTTTGAAACCAACAAGGGAAAATCGATAAACACGAAATCTTCGTCAGCACATGGAGGTGCTTGAATGAACCTTTCAAATTTTCAGCAAATGGTGGGTGGTGGAAAATAAAAATCTAAGCCTACTCCTTTCAGCAAAGGGAGGAGTCTGATGTTTCAAGCCTCGGAGGTGAGCTCCGGTTTTGGATTGGAACCCCTTCTAGAGGGATCCGGGACCCCTGCTGTAGAAAATGGTGGGGGCCCCCAATTCCATTGAAGGTGGAACCAGAAATGGATTTCCAGAGGTCACCCCCTCCTCCAATTCCATTTCTTAAGGGGGTGGGGTTGTTTCCCGTGGTTGGCCCATTTTGAGTCAATGTCCCACAAGGTGATCAGATTTTGTTCCAGGCCCTTGTGGCAATTGAGCAAAAGGACAATCTTTCAGCGCCGTCTGTTTCTGGTGTCTCCTCCAAATATTTGTTTAGTGTACTGCAGTTTCCGAAAATACGCAACATCAAGATTTATAGGTCATCTTTTTGGTCAACCTGGTTTTTTTTGGGTGGGCCACGGGTTCAGCTTCCCGCCAGTTGGTGGTTTGGGTTGGTGGTTTGGTGCTTGGGGGTTCCCCATTTACCCTCTACATCCCGATGGAGTGGATTGGCCACTCACGTCCGAAGACTTCTGGTTCGCCACTGGTCCAAACCCGAAAAGTTTCCTGAAGCGCCGGAACTGGGGAAGTGAGTCTAGGTCCTGTAGAGAGGTAAGAATAAGTTGGTACCATTTCTTTTTTCTGTAGTCTATTTTAGTAGGGGGGGTTCCTCCCAACCAAAACAAGTGGGCGAAAAAGGGGCACCAATCGCTGGGGACCTAGGAGCTTAGCCTGCTTCCATTTGGTTTTTCGGCCAGAAAGAATTACACATCTTCTCAGTAGTGAAGAATTCAGGAAAATATGTTCTTAAGGAAAATATTCAGGAAAATAAAGGGAAATCATTTGCTTCTTTATTGTCTGAAAACCAACAAGGGAAAATATGGAAAAATATTCATTTCAGCAAATAGAGGCTTGGTAAACCTGGGCCTGGTAGGTCTGGTCCTCCTCATTCCTGCAAAGGCTGGCGGTTGGACCCCAACCTGCAGAAAAAACTGTCGTCTTTGGGTCCAATTCGGACAACCCAAAGACATGGGTCGTCCGTTTCTTTCGTGATTGCCTGCTGCTTTTGGAAAGAAACAAGTGTCATGACGTGTAAGTAACAAGTATCACATGGAGACGAGAAGAAAAAGAAAAGAAGGAAAACAAAACAGCTGCAAGTCCATGAGCGCATATCCGGCGGATCGAAAGTTACGTATCCTGACCCACAGTAGAACAAACACGACACAAGAGGCGGTCCCATCCATAATTTTGAGCCGCACCCGTGTAAGGGTTCCGGGGTAACACAGTACTTTCCGTCTAGCGGAAAATAGCGGAAACCATGAAAAGTGCACCAAAAGGGGGCTTGCTTTGTCTGAAGGAGCAGAAACCCTCGCCCTGCAGGGGATTGTGGGTGGCGAGTCCCCATGGCGTAAGTTCTGTTCAGTCACAACTTACCTGACGTCCCCCTCCCCCTCCACGCATACTTCTTCTGGCCGGTTTGCTTGTTTCCTTGGCTGTTTTGTGGTAAATCAGCTTCCATGTGCTTAAGCCGCCAGTGAAAAAACAACAACCTTTCCAGTATATAGGTCAGATCGATTCCCTTTAAAACCAACGGGGGAAAATAAACAAAACATTCCTTTCAGTTGAGAATTGTTGAGAGCTCCTTTCGGGTTCGTTCCCTTCGGGTTCCCTTCGGGTTCCCTTCGGGTTCCGGTAGGGCTCCTTCGGATTTTTTAGGGTTTTTTCCGGCTTCCTTCGGGTTCATTAGAGTTGTCTAAAGTTCCTTAGCTTGGGTGCTGTAGATCCCCAAGAAAAAATTGTTAACTGTTTGCTGGTTAAAAGGAAATATGAGGGGAATCCAAGAAGTTAAAGTCTAAAGATCAAACCCGATAGCAGTAGAATTAGATTTGCTTAGGGAATCCCCCCCCCCTTGGGGACCCCGGCTTGTCGTAGCGCCAGCACCACACGCTCTTCCCAGGGGTCAGCTGCTTGGCAAAAATCTTCTGCAAGCGGTTCTGCAGGCGCATGACCTCACCGAAATTCAGGAATTTCGGGCCGTTTCCGTGGCCAAAACGAAAAGAACAACACATATACACCTCTGATCCCGGAAAGGGATGATCGCTTCGTTTGCTTTGATGGGCTATCGGAACATCTGGGAGTTGATCAAAAGGTCCTCTACATGGGATGACCGCTGGTTGGAAAACCACCAAACATATTATATTTCCCACATGGGAAAAGGTACCCATGGTCATTGATCAACCCCCGAACACAGACATGTGGAAGTCAATCCTGGAAAGGGAAGATCTCTGGAATCTCCCAAACAAAATGAGAACCCGAGTGGAAAATTAGGCCCCATCTTTGCTGAGAGATTTTAATAATTTCAAGCCATACCTCTTCTACCTTCTTCTATCGTCAAATTGCCCTCTGGTCCTGCATGATATCGCTAGGGCTTCCTCTGCCTGCAGCCTCCCTCAGCCTGTCGTGCTGTCCAGTTCTCTTATCACCGTTCAGGAATGAAACAACATGTCATGATTGTGATCGTGCGTGTTTTCTTGTCGCTGCTCGTTCGGTCAGACTTCTCTTTTGGCGGTATCCTTACAGTCTGCCAAAAAGGACACAATGGAATTCCAGTGGCCACCGGAAAGGCAGAATTCTGAAAGGTCTTGGACTTAACTGACCGGAATCACCTCGTCGGTGCGCATAAAAAAAAACCCAAAAAGTGAAAGCCACCCCATCAAGGCGTTGTACAAACCCACCCATGGAGAAAATTTCACACGCCCTTTTCAGCTGAAAGGCTAAGACGGCTGCCTGTCGAAACAGGCAGCGTTTTTGGCCATGGGTCAAAACCCAAATCGTACCCCCAGTGAACATCCCAATCCAACCGCTAAAATAGGGTGGTGCACCTATCCCAAAATGGGATCCCAGTGGTGAACCATGGCCATGCGAAGTTTAAAAAAACAAAAAAAAAAAACAAAAAAAAAAACAAAAAAAACCGGGGTCGGATCCCCGGATCCGAAATTTCCGCGTCCGAGCTGCGGTGGTCTTCCTCTCCAGAAGCTCGGCTTGTTCGGATTGACTGCGCTGGCCCGGGCTGATGGGGCTGCAGGGGCTCAAGTCCATCGACTCCTGGCAGAAGCCCCGGCCACGGAGCCCATAGATCTCTACATCGGAAGATACATGTGAATAAGAATACATCTAGCTGCTCCAAATTTGAGAGGTTGGAATAAGTTGGTACCAACCCTTTTCCGGTTTTGTCTATTTTAGTAGGGGAAGCCTCCCCCCAAAAAAGGGTAAAGGGCATTATTGGGGGACCTAGATATGCAAGTGTATATCTACGCGCAATCGCTTGGTAGATCGCACAAGCGATGGAGCTGCCCGTGCGCAAATGACACGTGAAAAAATGGATGCGCAACTGCATGATCCTTCTGCTGCAAATAATTTGTCCGAGCCGAGTGTTTGCGCTTGGCTGTATCGTTCTATTGCATTGCTTCTCAGTTGCCCCGAAAAATGGTCAGAAGGCCAGAAAGCCCCCGAACTGGTCCCCGAAACCACTTTTCAGGGCTGGGGATGCAATTTGTCTTTTTCTCTCTCTCTCTACAACAGCTTATCCCCGGATTTTCTGCTATTGGGTTGGCACATTGGTAGGTCGTTTCCAGATGCCACCACAACGAACACGAGCGCGTCTCTCCTGGGTTGCTGTCTGCTCCCCTGCTAAAAGTTTAACTTTTAGTGGTTTAATGGAAAACCCACTAGTTAGTAACAAGTTAAAGTCCTAACATCCCTTGGCAAAATGCACCAAAGTCTCCTTGCCTCCCTTCCCCCCCCTCTGCTCGCGGCCGGCGAGAAATCGACCGACGCGGAGCTCGGAGCGAGCGCCTCCCCGGCGGTGGTGGGGCTGCCCATGGCCTCCACGCAGGGCGGCCACGTGCCCGGCACGGGGTCCGGGATCTGCAGCGCCAGAGCCTTCACCTCCACCAGGCGTTTTTGATCTAGGAGACACGCCCCTAAGGGGGGTGGGAGGGGTGGGGGGGGGGGGGTGGGGTGGGGGGGCGTTTGGTTGTTGTTTCTATATTGATCTCTGGAAAAGTAGATATTTGGGTGCGGGGTTCCTTCTGACCCCTTAAAATGGGGTCATGACCTGAATCTGTAGTTGGGGTCCCCCAACTTTTTAAGGGCCATGGAGCATGCAGGTCGAGGAAACGCCTCTAAGGGAGGCCCACGTTTTTGGGGGTCCTTCTAAAAAAGACTGGGATCGAATCCCAAAACCACTCATCCAAAACACCAACTATAAGGGTTACTCATACAGACACACGTGAAGCCAACAAAACACCATTTGTACCAGATTCACTCCGATTTCCTCCACTGTATACTGACCACTTGAGTGGCAAACCAGTGTTCGGACTTGTTGAGTGGCCAACCCACTCGATCGGAAGTAAGACGAAGAGTTCCCCAACAAATCAACGGAGGGTAAATGGGGAGGTCTCAAGATGTCTCAAGGCCCTGTCTGGACTGCTCAAAATGGGATTGGCCTGTTTTTTTTGTGGAAAATGGACACCCCGGCCGGTCAGCTGGCCCTAAATATGAGGCAAATCCACTACGGACCATGCTGGTCACCCGGCTGCGATGGTGATGTTCATGGTCAATGGCAACCAGTCTGATACACCTCAAATGCTCGGGAACAAAGGGAATATGTATGGCGTGCAGGTCAGCTTTGTTGATGAAGTTGACTTCCCAGGCCACGGTTTACCGGTAATGGTTCGCTAGCGAAAAACGAAAACAACAACACAACACAAGGCACGGTTTAACGGGGAATTATTCGCAAATTTTTAAGACACACCCAGTTGATGAGCCTGATGATGTTCAAACTGGAGCGTTCATCCACGTCCCTATATTGGTTTTCCCAACGCAATCAGAGCACCCCGGAACCCGCAGCCCAGGGATCTTGCGACTTTGAACAGCCCAGTCAAATGTTTTCGGGGAACGACAGCGATTCCCGGAGGGTTTTTGTTGGTGGCACCTCGTATATTTTCGCAGATTTGGGTTGAATCTGTTGACAAATCCCCGACAAAGTCACTAAAACCCAAAGCTGCAAATGTGGGGCGCTTTGGACTCTAGACGATTCCAAGCTCATCTTTCCCCGAAGCCCTTTGGAGGCATTCGCGGATCCCCACCTCAAGTCAAGAGAAGCGATCTGGCGATCGCCCGATCATTTTGCGGAGACCGGAGTTTTCAACCCCTTGTTGCCACCATCGCCATGCGATGTTTATGTGTGGGCGTTCCAAAGTATCTAAAGGTCTTTCGGTTCCCTAAACTTCCATTTGCTTGAGCCCCCTGGAAAATCAGTAGTGATAGATTCCCTGTAAAACCAGCAAGGCAACAAAAAAACATATTCAGAAGCAAATCGTTGTAGACCATTCCTCAACCCTAAACCCACCACCGTCCGCCTGCTCCTGCTCCACCTCAAAGGCATTCCTTACATCCGGAAGGCTTGGAACCATTGGGTCTGTTTGAAGGCGGCGCCTCGACTTTTGGCCTTTTCAAGACTAGGTCCTCCAGATTTGAGAGGTTAGAATAAGGGTACCAACTTTTGTCTGTAGCCTATTTTAGTAGGGGAACCCTCCCCCAACAAAGTTGGTAAAATGGCACTACTGGGGACCTAGAAGAGAAGCCGCCAGAAAACCGAAGCCCTCACAACGGTATTTCGCCGATGGAACTCCCCTGGCGGGTTTTCCAAAACTGGGGCGGGGGGTCCGTTCCTTGACTCGCAAAGCGGAGGAACCAGAAGGTAGGAACTGAGTCGAGCGCTGAGCCCCAAATTATGCACATCACCTCACTTGCTGAGTGGATGGCCCAAAAAAAGTTCAAACTTTATATTTACCACTAAAATGGTCTTCCCGAAAAGTTTAAAGTTCATGAACTCAGGAAGTGAGTCACCCACAATTGAGACTCTCAACACTTGCCCCAAATGATCATTTTGAATGGAACCGCGAAAACAAGCCTTTGGGAGCCGATTGAATCACAACTCAGACGGTTGTTGACATCACTTTCATGGATCCTGGATCCAGCAGCTGATTAAAGCTTCCGAAAGGTTTATGACCTTGTTCTACGATGTTTTAAATTACGAGTTTCTCTTGAGGGATAGCTGTTTTCGAGCATTCCAACTCATCCCAGCCTGAAGCCCATGGCCTTTTTTTCCGCAAGGATCGCGGTTTCGAGCTCATCTCCACCTCATCCCAGCCAAAAGAACCTCATTATTTTTTCAGCTGGTTTCGAGTCAAGCCCTTGAAGCTCATCTAGGTTTTCTAGTAGAGAGGAGAGAATTTGGGTATTACTTCTTTCTGTAGTCTATTTTACTAGGGGAACCCTCCCAACCAAAAAAGGATGGTAGAGAGGTCGGGCACCTAGCTGGGGAGCTTTTTTCATTTCAACCTCGCAGCAGCTTTTTGTTTTCGAGTCAACCAACCTGGAAGCATTGTTGTTTCTGCAGCTTCGTCGCTGGTAGCCGGGGCAGTGGAGGTACCACAGCACCCGCTTGGCCGTGTCTTGCTTGGCCTGCGCTTTGCTGGCGCAGGCCTTGCCCGCGAAGACGTGCGGCACCCCCAGGTAGGTGAACTCCACCGTGGCCTGCGCGCTCGAATGGCATGGCACTTTGTCGCGGCTGTTTTGGAGGACAGGTCTTTTTTTGGGCAGGCGCTTGAAAGTGAAACCAAAAGGACAACCATGTGTTTTTCCCCAACAGCTGAAAGCTTTGGGGTCTCAGCCCAGGTAGGCTCCGGGGTGGTTCGGGGCGGCCCTGAGGTAAGGTTCCACGAGGGTCAGGAAAAGGATTTCAAGGCCCCCAAAGCCTCCCAAGCAAGGCCCGGTTTGTCCTTCATGAAATGCTTCAGGATAGGGATTCCGGGATAAGGATTCCAAGGCCTCCAAAGCCTTGTCTGTCATTCGCAAAATGCTTCGGGATAAGGACTCCAAGCCGGGTTTAAAATACAGCCAGGGCTCCGCAGTCTGGGCGCAGTTGAGGCTCCCTTTAAAAAGGGCACAGCCAAGGCTCCGTAAAGGGGCACAGTTCAGGGACCCTTTACAGGGCACAGCCAATCGCCACCCCCGCCCACACCCGGCACGCACCCGGCACACTCCCTATAGAGGGCGCAGTTAAGAATCTTCTCGGCCGTAAAACAAAACAATGTTTTACGGTCAACAAAAAAAAAAAAAAACACAACCCACCCCACCCCACCACACCCCACCCCACCCCACCCCACCCCGCCCCGCGCCCCGCCCCGCCCCGCCCCGCCCCGCCCCGCCCCGCCCCGCCCCGCCCCGCCCCGCCCCGCCCCGCCCCGCCCCGCCCCACCCCACCCCACCCCACCCCACCCCACCACCCCCGCCCCGCCCACCCCCACGCCCACACACACCCACGCCCACACCCACACCCACACCCACGCCCACACCCACACCCACACCCACACTTATACTTATATTCACACCCACACCAACACCCACAGCCACAGCCACAGCCACAGCCACAGCCACAGCCACAGCCACACCCCACCCCACCCCACCCCACTCCCCGACCCCACCCCCTTCACCACAACCCTGCCTTGCAAAGCGCCTCATGGGAGGCCTGAGCCTCCCAGCGCTGGGACCACTTGGGCACCTCCCCCAGGAAGCTCTCCAAATCCCCCACCTGCCGAGCGAGCCCACATAGATCTTCGTGTCTTTCGGGGGGTCCGTAGCAAGAGGAAAAAGGGCCAAAGATTGTTCAATCCATTTTGCGACCCTTTCAAAAACAAGTGGGCCCTGGGATCCGGGTACTACAGTTAAAGCAATGGTTCATATAACCATCATCCAGAGTGCATATAACAGGGATCCGGATGCATTATACACCTGAACATTGCAACTTGCAAATGATTTGGCGGTTTCCCTTTATTTCGAGGTTGAAAAAGCAACATGTTTCAAATGGTTGCAAAACGATATATTTTTTAGGAGCCCTGTTGAATTGAAAGGATAACACCTGGAGGTCTAGGCCCGGACAAACCCAAATAGGTCTCTCCAAAGGCCCCCGGAGCCGGGCGCGACCCGAGTGTATCCCACCTGGGGTTTGAGCTGGAAACCGAGCCCACCCGGGTCTGTTAACCGGAGATCCACCTGGGTTGACCTGGAAACCTCCCCAAACCAAAGGTGGATCAATTGGCGATTGGCCATGGTGGTGTCCACTGTTGAAGGACATGGGATCCATTTGGAGTGACTCACCAGAACTAACCAGGCAAAAGGACACCTTGTGCTTTCAGGGTCCGCCTTTTGGGGTAGCTTGAGAATGAAAACGGAACAAACCATTTGAAGGGGTCTCCCTATTCTAAGGCACAACTCAAAAGAAACCCTTTTGTTCAACCTCCATTAAAATAATGGCGGTTGTATTAACTCCCGGCCGTTGTTTTAACGGTAGCTTGAACCCCAGAAAGAACATGCCAACTATAGGTGCAACACCTCTTTGCTCGGATTTGGAGAGGGACTTGTCAGACGCAAGGTCACAAGATGAAGATACTAGTGCCCTTCTTTGAGAAGGTGCACTGTTCTCATATCTTAACCACTCCCAAGGAGGACGCTTGGGACGGGTTTAAGCTATAATCAGCGAATCCAGGTTTTGAAAGGGTTGGATAACTTGGATTGTTGAACAGTTGTTCAGTGGATTACCTTGACATGTGTTCAGTGGATCCGCGGCGCCAAATCGACTCTTTAGCACCCCGGACCTCTGTCGAGCTACTCAGCAGCACACGACAGCTTTGGGAATTGGGCTCTGTGCAGTTCCAGGTCTGTACATCCCCAAACCGTTCCCAAAAGCCAATCTGGGTGGCCTGCGTGCTTAACTAAACAACCCCCCCCCCGCTGTTGCATTCATTCAGAATGGGGCCCAAAAAACCCATTCAAACCCATTCTGGGGACTCCGAAAAACCCCAAGTCGTTTGCCACTAGGGTGACTCGTTTCGCCGGGCAACCCGCCTCCTGGTTGTCGTTCCCGGTGCTTGTCTTGTTTGGCCCGTCGGAGCTGCGTACTGGCGATGTAAGCTCCTGGGACAATCAACACAGCCCCAACTACTCCAAGACACAATCTCCAGGAAATTAAGTCACCCCCGCTAACTTCCTGAGTATCTGCCTGGAAATGGCTTCTTAGAATTAAGTCTCATTCAGAGCAGCCCGCCCTATCAAAGTGAAAAGCAAACAGACCCAGCCTCTGACTTTGGGGTACGAGAGCAAACCCTTCAATCATTTTGGTATTTCTGAAAATTTGGAAACCCTAAAATGGGTGGCGTCCCTTCACATATCAATAAAAAAGGCGTCCGCCGTTTTAAGACACTTCCGGTTAAGTCCCCTGAGATCTTCCAAACCAGCGTGGGAAACCAAAACATATTATCAACTCACTTGCCCAAAAGCGGACAAACAAGGGGAACTTCAAGGTCAAAAAATTCGCCCAAGGGGCACGAGAATGCAATGGGCGGCATATTGGTGGCTTTCCCTTTCAGCACCAGGAAGCCTCCATTTCTAAAGTTCGCCTTGTGGTTTGGATGTGTGGTTTTCTTGGTTATGAAGCCCGAAACCTCGCCAGCGGGCTCCAAACACACCCACACACACATTTGCCATGGAAATGCAAGATCATCTTCTCCAGGTCCTCTGTTAGAATAAGTTGGTACCCTGGCGCCAGAGAGAAACCGAACAACCAGGTCCACTCCGCAAAGTGTGGACCCCAAATTCACTAGGTCCTGCAGTAGAGAGGTTAGAGTAAGGGTACCAACTTTTGTCTGTAGTCTATTTTAAGTAGGGGAACCCTCCCAACCAAAAAAGGGGCTAAAAAGGGCACCTAGCTGGGGGACCTAGTTTTGGGACCTTGACTGAAGAGGCCGGTTTCTTTTTGCGGTTACTGGCTTTGCTTGACAGGGCAACCAAAAGGTCAAATGTAGATTCGCATTGGACGAGTGAGTCTTGAGACAACTTGATACAACTTGTGTGTGTTTTCTTCAGGGACCTTTTTTGCAAACCAACCATTTTGCGAGTGCCCCTGTTTTGAGACAAACCTATTTAAGGGAAGCTGAACTTCTTTACAACCCTTGGTATGGTAGCAAACAAACTTTGATTCTGGCAGCCCCCTAACGTACCAATGAACAGAGCCGAAAAGAGACACTTAGAGTCAGCGTCAAAATTACTTGTCTGGGTTGTATTCCTTACGACGTTGGGCCGTCCCGCATCGTTTTTTGTTTTTCCGTCTCAGGTTTCGGGGGGTATCATTTTGGTGGACATCCCGTATCATTTTTCGAGAGAATTCAAAAACAAAAACAACGACCTGCACATGAAACACTCCTATGAATTTTGAAGCTGATGCTTTTTTTGCAGGCCTCAAACCTACAAATGAACAGAAAACCAAAAAGGCCAAACATCAAACAACTTGATCCAAGAACAGTGAAGACTTCTGCCCTCCTGGCCGCAGATACCGATGAAGAAGCTCAGCGCGCGCTCCGCCGCGTCCCGCTGGGCCTGCTTCTTGGAGGGCCACCAGCCCCCCAAGACATGGTGCGGCACACCGTCCAGCCTGGCGCCAGAGAGAAACCGAACAACCAGGTCCACTCCGCAAAGTGTGGACCCCAAATTCACTAGGTCCTGCAGTAGAGAGGTTAGAGTACTTGTAGCCTTTTTTTCTGTCGTCTATTTTGGTATACGGGAACCCTCCCCGAAGAAAGGTTAAAAGGGCACTACTGGGAGACCTAGTTCATAAACCTGTCCTACGAAAAGGGGTTCTTCCCTCCTAGGTTTCCCCACTAAAAGGGGTGGACCCTCCTACTGTGGATGGACAAAATCCTGCACCACTTTGAAGGCATAGGAAGCAATTCTTCTTCGTTGGTGTTTGCATCATTCCAGAGTTTCTCAGGTGGTGCAGGACTTCGTCCATCCACAGGAGGAGGGAAGAACCACTTTTTCCGTATGAATCCCCACTAAAAGGTGACACCCCCCTATTCATCAATGGGTTTATTAATCCGGAGGCTCTCATGATCCGATGAGGAAGATAGAGTTAAAACCTAGAAACATAACCAAGAAATGGTTGGCTTTTCCGCAGCAGGAACAAACATCGTTGAACAGCACACAAAAAACGCCCAAGCTGCAAAAGCCGTGGACAGAAACCCCAGACGGGCTGCAGAAAATCGAATCTTCTGAAACATTCTGAAACCATGCCGCTAAGAATGATATTGGTGTGTTCTTCTTTGAGGGGTACCTATCTTTTGGTGTGATTGTTGGGAAAAACAAGAAAACCTACAGCTGGACAAAGAGGTTCCAGTCCCCATGACACTAAAAAAAAAGCATGGTCCTCCAGATTTGAGAGGTTAGAATAAGGGTACCGTTGTTTTTTTTCGGCTTTGTCTATTTTAGTAGGGGACAGGGCTCCCTATATTTCCCCTTCAAACATCACCATGACCCTCAAAAACGACACTCTCCCTCCCATGTCTGTCGGCCCTAGCACCCCCCCACCCAAAAAAAAAGAAAAGACAAACAAACAAGACCTCGAATCGATATGAGAAACACACTGGTGCACCGTATTTGAGTTGAAGGTTCCGTTCGGTCGGCGTAAAGTCGCACCAAAACGAAAGCCACCTGAAGCCGGCAGTATCCACCACTTGCCCCGGACGGATCCGGAAATCGAAGGTGCCCGGGTCAGCCTCCCTTCGATTTGCCGAAGGGGGCCCCTTTTTGTGACAAAGGCACCAGGCTCCCGAATGTTCCTTTTTTTGAAGCGGTCGGAGGCTCGGAGTTGCCAAGGCGCAGGAAGGAGGTGGTGGCCCGGAACTGCAACGAGGAGCCCGCCATGCGGTTCCTACGAGGGCCACTTACGTCCAACCCGACTTCCGACTTCCGACTTCGAGTCGCTTAGTTGCGAGGTGCCGACGAGGTGTTCGGGTCGAAACCCACAAGGCTTTCTACAAAGAAAAACGGGCAAATCTAGCGTGCGACTTTCAAGAAGGAAACTGGAATGGGTGTCAAAATAGGAATCGGCCTTTTATAGTCACTGGAATGGGCTTCAGTTCTGGTTGGGCCTTTGAAACAGCCCCCAAAAGGGGGTACTCACTTCCTGAGTGGATTGGCTCAAAAGAAACAAAGCGTGTTGTTTGCCACTAAAATGGTCCACCCTCTAAAATTATCAAGTGCAGCAACTCGGGAGGTGGGCAAAATGTTTAACACCCCCATGCTTGACAGGAAAACAGTTATATAAATGTTCAGACCTGCAAGCATCGCCAACAAGTGGATGGCTTTTTAGTAGGGGGAGGAAAGCACGTCGTTGAGCAGCACATCCAAGAACACCCAAGCATCTTGGTTTTTTTTGAAAACCGTGCACCTGACAATGATATCTGGGTATGTCCTTCTTCCGGGGGGGGGACCCTCTTTTTGAGGGGAGCTTCCCCCCTTCTTTTTCCAGGGATCCTTCTTTTCAGAATCATGGAGACTCCAGGTAGTTTGTGTTCCTTTTTGTGTGGAACAGCAAGCCCCAACTCTGTTGCTTTCTGTACCCCCGCTAAAAGTTTAACTGTTAGCGGCTTAATTCGAAAAACCCATTAGTTTGCAACAAGTTAAAGTCCTAACATCCCTTGGCAACATGCACCAAAGTATTTGTTTGAACTACCCCCTACTCCAAGTACCCGACCTTTTGTTGGGTATGAAGGAGACCCCCAGGGTACCCCCCTCCCAACCAAAAAAGGGGTGAAAAAGGGCACTGGGGCACCTAGCTTAGGGTAGACTGTTTCCAAGTCCAAGCCGCTCGTGGCTCCACTGCAGCACCGCGCAGCTGCTGGGCAGCGGGTGGGCCTACACGCGACTTCCCCAGGCGGAGCCCCTTTGTGCCCTACTCCGAATATAGAATCTAGGCTGGAAAATCGGACCCCAGCAAAAAATAGTTGTTTTTTGCCTGGTGAATGTGGCAAACAAAAGCGACCCCAAAAAAGCAAAAAAGTAAAAGGGGGAACTAATTCTGGGGAAGGAATGTAGATTTTACTGTTTGCTTCACTTTGAGTCACTGGACAAATCTAAAATGTATCCTAAGTCTACCAGCCGCCGCTTTTTTGTGTGAAAACACCACAAAACCTAGGTTTGTTCCATGGTAAATACCCCTTGTTGTGAACCCAAAGCCTCGAGTTCCCACTATAGTAGGCCTATTTTGTTTCATGGTAAATATATACCTCTGTTTGTTGTGAACCCAAAGCCTCCAGTATTAGGCTGGGCAAACCAGGCAAAAGTTTATTGGTTTCTTGCTATAGTGGTAAGTGGAAGTACTGGGGTACCTGGCAGCCTGGTGTTTTTCTGGGTAATAGATGGCCTGGTCCCTGAGGAACCCTAAAGAACCCTACTAAAACCCCAAAGGGGCTCTCAACCCACCCCTCTTGTAGGGATTCCACAACAGTGTTGCTGCGGCTCGGTGCCTTGTTCACCTTGGTTTAAAGGGAAACCACAGGTGCAACCCCCCCACCCCCCCCCCCCCCGACTATCTTGATCAGCCCGTGGATGAACCCTTTCATCCTAGTTTCTTCACTCCTTGATTGGTCTTTTGGAAGGGCTTCCGTTTCGGATCAATCCACACACACACACATATGCGTGTGTATGTGAAGCCAACCACACATATACACACAACATATACGTGTGTTGCGTTCAGTGTCTGTTTCTTTTTGCCCCGTCTCGTTGTCTGTGTGCGCGTGTTGGTGTGGCGCTGTCTGGTGTGATCTGTGGCGCCGGCGCGTGTGCGTGGTGAAGAACAGGGCAGCTTTGACAAATTCCAGTTAAAATCAGCAGGGCAACCATAAAACATATTGCTACCCTCCCTCCAACAATCATGGAAGTGAACATGACGCCTCCCCAAAAACAACACCCTCCCACCCGTCAGCTTCCATGATTATTGGAGGGATGCCACAACCAGGTCAACTGGGAGTCGCAATGTATGTTCTACCAAAACGACCAAAAACGATACCTCTGTGTACCTGGAGTCCTTTTGACCCTTTAAGCAATTGGCGTCACGACCCAAAGGGGATGTTGGCCCCATTCTTGAAGGGCCATGGAGACTTCAAGCATATAGGGTTGCCAAAGGTAAACAAGTTGAGCTTGTGTTTTTAGGGGGTTCAGCTCAGACAAACAAGGACCCTAGAAGGATACATCCGACAACCCGCTTTACCAGGAGCCGGATCTGGATCTTGCTAAGATGAGCCTGACTCCCAAAAGATACCAAACGGAAAACACCAACTCCCTGCTAGTTGGATCCAAGGACAACGGCATGAAGGGGGGTTTTCTGGGTACTTTCAGGGATACGCGAAAAAGGGAACCCCCTGATCTCGGATTTACCATGCTTTGGTGATTGAGCACGGCGGGTTTACTTGCAGGGGCATCCACCGTAGGGGCATCAAACCCAGGGATATTGGGATTACCCATGCTACGGGCCACAAAAGAGGGAATCTCTTTCTGGCGCCTCCCTTTTTGGGGGCGTCCGCTGCCCAACATGTGTCTTGGAGGGCGGGGCAGTCGGGAGGCTGTGGGTAAACAAGTCAACCTGTTGGCACATGGCAGATGGGCCAAAAAAAGGGACATGAAAAAGGTGAGACAAGGTCAATTCGATTCAGCATCAAGAAACAACGCATGAAAAGCATTTAAAGACATCTTCCCCAAAACATCCTCGTTCGATTGCTTCCCAGGCTTTTCGCAACTTTATAGTATGTAAGGGGCAACCATCCATGGTAAAACCTAGAGTCAAGGAACTGCTGCCCTCGAAGTGGGTGCTTGTTTTTTCTAGGAATGGAGAGTACTGATGTTTGACCCCGAGAACTGTGACAGTCCACGCAAAAGCCCCTGAACGGTGATGGGTTTATTGGGAATGGCCCCACGCCCAGCCCAAGCATCCAAAGCCGAATATGAGGTTTTGACAGCCGCTTCTTCCATCCCTCGTGATTGTTTATGCGTTTTCCCTGGTAAAGCGTGTTGTTTTCCCGAGATAGCTGAAAGCTAGAAAGGGGGGTTCTAACTTCAAGCAAAGCAGGGGTGGGTGAGACCAGGTGCTGTTGCACGGTGCTGTTGCAAGCACCGTAGCTGTTGTCCGATTCGCCAGGCCAATTGGTTGATGCTACAGTTTTCTAGCCCCCCCCCCAACAAAAAGTCGCTAAAAAAAACACAAAGGGACAAGCCAGAGCGCGTCGACCGAACTTCCAAAGAAACTCATGGGCCGGCCATGCGCGGGGCCATCGCGAGTTTTCTCGGCCTTCGGGACTCCTAGGTCCTCCAGTAGAGAGGTTAGAATAAGTTGGTACCAACATTTTTTTCAGGACGTCTATTTTGGTAGGCCCTCTGGTAGGGGGGTTTCTTCCCCACCAACAAAAGAAACGGGAGAGAGGTCGTGCACGACTGGCTGGGGGACCTGCTGTGGATGGACGAAATCCGATCGCACCACCAGAACAAAAACAAAGACCAGGAATGGTATCCGATTCCCCGACGTAAATATACCACCAAACGTCATGGTGTCCATGGTTTCATTCCGTGGCGCCCAAGGAAGTGGCTGGATGACTCGCCACACCATCCACGACGGCGAGGCGAGCGCCGAAGCGGAAGCCGAGAAGGCGCCTTGCTGCTCTGCACGAACTCCTGGAGCTTGGAGATGGGCCCCTTGGAGCTGCGGCTGGGCGGACTGGCCTCGACTGATCCGAGTGATCCGAGATCCGAAGAATCCGAACACTTCGGCTCCTCCCAGAAACACCCCAGACCCATCCACATGGGGCTTCACATCCCCCGTACCTCAAGCAGGTGTCATTCGCTTGGCTGTGGCGGTTATGAATGTCAGAGTTGTTGTTGGTTGCTTCCCTTTTGCCCACCACTTGGGGGCGTGACTTTGATCATGGTAAATCATGAGGCCTGTTAAGGGGGGGTGGGGGGTGGGGGGTGGGGGGAGCCTCGCCAATTCAGTCTTCCCCAGAAAACGGAAAATGGAACCATAACTAGGTCCTCCAGATTTTAGTGGGGGAACCCTCCCAACCAAAAAAGTTGGTACTACTGGGCACCAATTGCTGGGGTGACCTAGATACATGGAGCCCCCTCCCCAAATTCCATAAATAAAAAAAAGACCCTGGAAGGCGATGTTCACCCTGGTTAGTTTGTGATGCCCGAAATTGAAGAAAGTCAGCCACCTTCAACCAAAAAACATGGCAAACAAAAAACCTGTAGATTAGAGGGTGTCCTTGTTCCCCTACTTGCAATATTTAGGGCATCCACCGTACCCACGCATCCTATGTTTCTTCAAAAGGGACCTAGGAAGGTATAGTATAGGCAACCCTTGCCCAGTTTCGTTTAGCTTTGAAGTAGTGGTTGCCTAGGTCCTCCAGTAGAGACGTTAGAATAAGGGTGCCATTTTTTGCTGTAGTCGATTTTTGTCTGGGAGCCCTCCCAACTAAAAAAGGGTGGGAAGGGGCACCTAGCTGGGGGACCTAGTTGCACATGGTTGCAGTCTTTTTTGGCAACAGGAACTTGGTTTTGGCGACTTGCTGTTTGTTCTTCGTTGCAGCTCTTCACCCGCATCATTTCTCCATGGAGCTCTGGGCTAAGGGTGCCTCAGGTGTGGACCGGCATGTCGGGATCTAAGAGTGGCTTGGTTGCTGTGACGACCCCTGGGCAAAAAGTGAACATGACTTTCTGGGAAGATAGCGCCAGTTTCGACCAAAAAGTTAGAGAGCAAAGATCCAACAAAATAGCCATAAAGCAAGAGTCATGGAACGTCTTGCCCGACAAGTTGCACATCCAAGTGAGGCTTTGCCCCGGGCAGTTGGTCACCCACCCACAGATCATGGGGGCTGGGGGGGAGGGAGAGGAGGGGAGGGAGCCCTAAATAAGCCCCTATTAAGCCTTTGCTTCCTCCCCCCTCCCTCCCCCCCAACCCCCATGAACAGAAAGTTCGACTTGGGACCGATCCCACCCGCTAAGCTAACTTCCTTAGTGGCAAGGGAAACCGATGAAAACCCAAGGTGGTAAGGTACTGTGGCCGCGAAATCCGTTCGCACCATCAAATGAAACCATCGTTGAAGCCATAACGTGTGTTGGTATTTACGCCGGAATCGAATCATTCCAGGGTTTTCTGAACGGTGGTGCCTTGGATTTCGCCCATCGGCCAACCAAATGTAACTCCAGTGTGCAACTCAGAAATCGAGAGTTGAAGGCAGTGGCCCAGGTTTGGCATCATGTGGTTAGGCCAGTGCCATGCGTATTCTTTTTCAGGGTGCCCTTTTTGCCGGTAAGGGGGTCGTTTTCAGGGGACTCCCCGTAAATATGTAGATACATGTGTATGCATATACTTGGCTGACGTTGGAAGGGGAGCAAACATTTACATTTTAGCAGTTAAGTGGGGGTTTCCCACTAAACCACCATAAGCAAACATGCAAACTGTTTCCCAACAACAACCATGTGTATATATACATATATTGGTTTCCCTTTAAAACCAACTATATAATTTAATGAGGCTAAGAGGGTGCAACAAGAAACATACCCATAACATGGAAACCAAACCACCAAGCCGCCTCTTCCCCGTTTCCCGGGCCCCGGCCTCGGACATATCCCCGGTGAAGCTCCTGCCATAGCGCGCCGGGCTGCCGGGGTAGTACTCCGATCCCGGCGAAACCGGGGAGCTCATCAGTGGGCTCACGGGGCTCATGGGACTCATCGGCGACATCGGCCCGCAGTTCCCGTGGCTCCTGGGATGAAAAATGTGTCTAGGTCATAGGTGTCCAATTTTCGGTAGGAAATAGATGGGTTTCCCTGGTTTTTGATTAAACCACCAGGTAAACCAGGAATCGCCATCTATGTGTCGAGCAAAACAACCAAAAAGGACACCTATGCTCTAGGTCCGTACATGAACCCATGGATTCGAATCCACTTTGGACGCCTTGGGGGGCTGATTTCCCATAAAAAGCCACTGACGGTGACCCCTGAAATAGTTGACTTATACTGTGAGTGGATTCTTAGGCACCACCGCAGAAACCCTGATTTCTGATTCGATCCCCCTGCAAATTGCGACAAACGGTGCGGTTTCAACCATGGCTTCAAAGTGGTGCAGGATTCTGTCCATCCACAGTTTTCCTGAGAGGACAAGCCAAAACAAGAGTCATTTTTGTTGCTTGCCACTAAAAATGGTACCAGAAAGTATAAGGTCCATGAACTCAGGAAGGGAGACCCCGGGTATGAAGCCCTAGTTTTCCTTGTTTAAAGTAATTAACCAACTAATAACCCCTCGCTGTAACTTTATAATCACGAGTCAACACCGGCAAAGTTTGTGAGAAGAAGAAACAAAAACGGCCCCACACGGGTGGCTCGTCGTTTTTGGAGACAAGAAAAGGAAAGCCACCACCATTGAGTTGTTTGGATTGGGGGGGGGGGCCTAAAACAAGGCACACCCGTATACAAGATATATATATATATACACATATTACATGTTGTTTGCTACTTTTCAAGTCAACAACCCCGGTTTCTGACATTGATTACCCCCCCCAACAGGCAGTCAATAGTATGACAATGGGAGGAGGCATTTGTGAACAAGGTGGGGAACACATCAAACAACAACCTTATGGAGCAACTGGGCAATAAATGAAAAGTGCGTCTGAGGCTCATAGACAGGGGCGGCATCAACAGAAGCATGGGCTGCTGCTGCTGCTGCTGGGTGTGGTTCGCACCGGTGCGATTCGTGGGCGTGGTCCATAGCGGAGAAGAAAGCTGCAGGTCTTGGTACATCTGGGGCATCTGCCTTGGTGTGTTGTGTTCCTTGCTGCTCAGCAGGAATTGAGGGAATGAACCCAGGGGCCCCCTTGAAGGACACCACAGGAATTAGTTTACTTCCATTTGGTTAAAACCCCTGGAAAAAAAAAAGACATAGTTCTATCGCTGCGCGTCGCTGCTTGCAACCGGAACTTGCTGGTGCAATAGGCAGGGAATGGAGGCATTTGCTGAAATGAGTTTTTTTTGATGGTTATTTTCCCTTGTTGGTGTTAAAAGGGTTTCTTCACTTGGGGATCTTCCCAAAGTCGGCAACCCAGCAGCCCAAAAGGTAGACACTCCTTTCATCTTCTCTCTGTCTTTTTTATATATTGTGTTGGGGCACGGGAGGGGTGACTTCCGCTTTCCTCTTTTTTTTGGGGGGGGGAGCTTCCAGCAGAATGGTCCCAACAAGTTGTTTGTCGGATTATTGTCCTTTTCCTTTTCTTTCATGTTTTTTTTGGGGGGGGCATGGTCCCAAAAAAAAGTAAGTCCGGACACTTAGACTAACCGAGATCACTCTTGGTGGCCCAAGGGGCACCTTTCTGATAACACCTCTTCCTTCCATTTGCCTAAGCCCCCCCCCCCACAGAGACCCCTGGAAAACGGCGTATTTTTCCAGTGAAGTCGAGCCCGCTGAAAAGACCCACAAGGGAAAGTAGCAGATGTTCTTAAGCACATGGAGGTGGGTGAGAGCAAACTTTGGCTGGCCACTTTTCAGCTGAATGAATTCCCAACGCCCTGGGTCATTCCCGACGCAAGAAACCAACAAGCGGGGTGGTTCCACCGTGGTGTGCGGGGTGGTCAAAATCAGGGCCGCATCCCCCCCAAAAATAACGCGGCACGTGGCCATCCTGGCTCCGAGCAAGCCTGATATTTGGATTGGTGGCTCCCCCCAATTCCAGTTTTGGATCTCCATGGGGGTGAAAACTTCCCCGCCCCCCATTCCAGTATTGAGGGGGTTTGGCGCTTACTTTCGGGTCCTCCTTTGGCTTTCCAAAATCAACAAACCTGGAAAGGGTAGAGTTACTAGGGCTCCTACATTTTGCGTCACCCTTTCTCAACCAACTAACCCTGTCGTTCAGCCGCTCAAAGCACAAACCTTATTCTTTTGGGACTCCAGTCGATGTGGACAGTTTCGGAACCCGGCCAAAAACATGAATTTCCTCCATTTGCTTAAGTCCACTGGAAGAAATAACATATTTCCAATGGTGAGAGCGCAACCGGATGAATTCGAGCCTGGGGATAGCTTCCAAGGTGCTGCTGGTCCATGTTCACGGAGTAGGGAGACACGCCGCAGTAAGCCATGGGATACCCTTTGGTTGGTATCGCTGGATTCCTCTGGACTGTCAAAAGCCAAAACGCTGCCGTGCGTTTGAGTGATCATGCTGCCCCTGCAGACGAGGGAAATCCGAGAGGCTACCCCAGTAGGTAACCAGGATAGGCGATACCCAAATTGCTGATCGCCAGTACTTCTAGGGGTTGATTCCCCATTCTTTTCAACCATCGTTCTTTTCAACAACCAGCCGTTTTCCCTGGGTTTACAGGGATATTTTAGAAATAAGGATCCCTGGAAAGAATATGTACTGGGTACTATTTTGTCTGCTATGTTGCTGCTCGTGTTTGGGTAACAGAGAGAACTTCCGGGAGAACCATAAACATCTGATCCCTGCATGTTCATCGATCCCACCAATCAGAGAAGAAACCAAGCCATCACTGGGCTGCTCTGAAAGCAAACCACAGACGCACTACCCTGATTTGAAGTGTACTCTTCCATTTGACCAAGACCTCAAAAAAATGTTTCCAGTAGTGATGAATTCCTTTTAAAACCAACAAGAGAAAACATAAAATATTCTTAACTTAAGCAACTGGAAGTACTCCACTTCTCTTTCAATCTCTGCCATCGGGCACCGTCCTGCAGGGAATCGCCAGGCTCAAGGCTGGGGATCCTCTGACTACTGCCTGACGATCCTGAAAAAGGTGATCACCCGTCGGAGCTACGGACACTGGGAAAAACTCGAAAAGCAGGGAAGCTACGAAAAGCTCCGTGCGTCCACGGTTTGGTTGCTCACTGTTCCTCGACTGGGCTCCAAAAGCGCGAGCAAAAGCGCGAGCCGATCGATTCGCTTTGGTGTCTAACGATTACAATTTATCATCCGACAAAAGAGCGCCCTTGTGAGAGCGTATCTCTCGCCCTTGTATAAGTGCATGGTATTTGGGGGTGTGTTTTTTCTTTAAAACCACCATACAAGAAATATCAACTCAACAATAACACCCATATGTCTCTCCCTCCAACCCCAGCTAAAAGCTGTTAACCTTTAGTGGGCTAAATGAGAAACCCCACTAAACCAAAAAAAAAAAAACGATAAGTGGTGTTTCTCACCTCCAAAACCCCTCTCTACAACTTGCCAACTTGACGCTTTGCTTCCATTTGGTTAAGGCCCCAGGAGGGGGGAAAAACATATTTCCAGTAGTGATGACTTACTTTTGAAACCAATAAGGGAAACTAACAATAATGAAAACCAAACAAGCATTTCAGCAAATGGAGGTTTGCGCCCGATCTTCGACCGGGGTCCCGTGCAGGTCTGCGGGCTGTACGCGGACCCGCTGGCCGGCACCGGGAAGATCCTGACGTGCTCACGGCTGCAGTCGTCCAGGCTGAGCCTATCGAAGCGGCTACGCGCCACGCGTGGAGCCCCTGGTCTGGGTACATGGAACTCACCCAAGCGGGACATGTACTTTGACGTTGGGCTTGGGGAGCAAAATTTAGATGGAAAAGCCATGTTTCAAATGGGCAAAATGTATCTTTTAAGGAGCCCTGCACATTTGGGGGGGACTTTGCCAAAGCTTAGATCCTGCCTATTCGTTTTTACGCGAAAGTCAGACTTGAATGGGCTGAATCCTGATCCTAGGAGGGTAGGTAGCATGGAATTCGCGCACCACCCCCCAACTCGGCCACGCCAACTCGGCCAAGCTCCGGGTCCAACTTGGTTGACGTTGGGTTTGGGGAGCAACATTTCTCAAATTTTAGCAGTTCAGTGGATTTGGATTTCAACCACTCAACCACCAAAAGCAAAAATGCTAGAGATGTTTCCCAACAACAACCATGTGTAGGGACGTAAGCAAAAAAAAAACACAAAAAATAACATAAGACAAAGCCAAACGATCATTTCAAGTCGATTTGCCTTGGGAATCCCTATTTGGCCGCAGTTCCAACCCCTGAACCTATTATGTAGGCGGCACTTTTTGACACCAAGGCCACCAAGGGGTAAATTTGACCTAACCACCAAACCAATAGAACCATTCCCGCTTTTCCTTGGAATCTTTCCTGAACCCTGGGGCTCAAATCACCATTTAAACAAATGGGGGGCTCATATAACCACCATTGTTTACCTAAGGATTGTCATCATCCAAGGTGGGTCAACCATTCTTTTACTGGGGGTCAACCATTCTTTTACTGGGTAAACCTGTGTGAAAATTTGACAGGGCGTCCGGGTTTCCGGAGGCCCCTGCGCTGAAGGAGAAGCTTCTTTCGAAGCCCTCCGATGCTCGACTGCCAGGGGTTGGCAAGCCAGGTTGGCCTGAAACAAATCCTGCTAGATGTCTACATACTGTGGATGGACGAAATCCTGCACCACTTCGGAACCATGAGAAACCATTGTTTGTTGTTATTTACAAGGGGCCTAATCATTCCAGGGCTTCTTAGGTGGTGCAGGATTTCGTCCATCCACAGTACTCCTATTCTAGATGTCTATATCCTGTTTGTCGCTTTGCTCCGGACAAAGGGTACTTCTCAAATCCAAAAACGGTTGCGAGGTCTCTGCCTGTCAACCTCACCTCTCAAACCAGAAGGCCGGACTCCAGTTTCGAACTACCCCCAGGATTGATTGGAGGGCAGCCCCTGGGCTGGGTTGCTCCACCTTTAGCTTTGATTTTGGACAATTCCTTTTGCTTCCCGTCGTCCAAAGCAGCAAAACAGGGAGGTCTGTAGTATGACATCGCCACGTCGGCTTTCAATGGAACCAGAACTAAAGGTCGACTCAGTTGCAGAAAGGGGCTGGAAATAAAAGGTGACCACCTTTGGGGGCCAATGACGATTAAATGGACCAACATGGGCAGCCGGGTCAATTCGCCCTTGCTAAGTCGAGTGCGTGCCCCAACAGCTACCCCGCCCTGAACACACACACACACAGAGAGAAACACACAAAAAACGCCTCTTCCGCTGAACTAGACCATCTTGGAGCTGCCCTTGGACTGGGTCCCGTCATCCCCCCGATCCGCCCCGCTCGCGCGAGCGAACCCTCGCGAGCGAACGCGCCAAGCGGCATGGGGAAGCGGCGCTGGAAGACCGCGGTCAAGTTCTCTAGGCCGCCAGACGCCGCCAAGACCCAGGAGGTGATCAGGTCAGAGCACACCTCGCACCCGGATGTGGGCAATTGGGCGGTCAAGTTTCCTTTTCTTGGAGTTGGTACACCCCTGCTTTTAGAGGCAGTTTGAAGGATTTGCCAGGAGTGCCTTCACCTAGGTGCAAGAGCAATGCACCACCAGAAACACCCCAGCTCGTACAAAGCCATGTAAAGAAGCAGAGAACTTGGCAATTTTCTTTTGGAGCTGGACAACCCCTGCTTTTAAAGGGCTAAAGGAAAACCAACAACAAAACGGGTAAGGCAAAGAACAAACATTGGAATCGGGCCTGTCGTCGTGGTTTTTGGGCTGACAATTTTGTAAGGGCAAGGCCTTAAACATGCTATGAAACTCAACCAAAAATAGGATGCCCTTTTTTCCCCCTGGCCACTTGGCATCTGAGAACCAAACATGCATGTGCTGTGTCTTTTAGAGGCTACCCATGTGTTCGTGGCTTTGAAGGGAAGTCAAGTAAAGCAAAACCGCCATTTTCAGGGGTCCCCTGAAAAGCCAGCTCCCCCTTGGGCCCCTTGGTTTCCTCTAACAACCCCGACAGGGAATTTTGAGGCATACCCTGTTTTAGGACAAGCCTGCCTTGAACAGAGACCCTAATCCTGGCCCGCTTGAAAAGGGTGGGCACAAGCGGGGATTAGAAGTGACGGTCAGTCGTGAGCACGTGCAATTCCCACAGCCCTGATACAAGTGTCGCATACAATGTTGTATATGGGTATGGGGTCTCTTTGGTGGACATCATTGGAGGGTGTTCCCCATTCAAACTCATAGCCGTGCACCTTGCCCGTGCAGAGATCTTTTTGGGCGGATCCCAGTCCTCCTTTCAAAGCTTAATTCAAGTCCCGCAGAGAGGCAGCCGCGACCTCCAAAGAACATCACGCAAGGCCCTCTTGTCGCCGCAAATTGTTGGGTGCATAGATCCAGGGTCAGTTCGGTGACCACCTTTTGGGTCCAGCTGCAGCTTTCGAAGCTTAGTGGCCCAACGAAAAAGAAGGGAAGCCTTCTCAAAGTCACAGAAGTCTAGGGGTTGATTTCTCATTCGTTTCAACCATCCTTCTTTTCAAAAACCAGCCGTTTTCTAGAGAGAAGGATCCCTGGAAAGAATGGAAACGGAAGGTATCCCTAGAAGAGGGCACCACTGAGCAACTGGGGCTTGGCGGCTTCAATGCAAGTCGCCACGCTCACGTGGACGCCCACCATCGCAGCGATGGAGAACTCCTCGGCATGTTTTTCCGTCACGCGCTCGGAGTGGTCCCATTGATCCAATGCTCACGAAGACAGCGCCCACAAAACGCTGGGTGGGGGGGGGGGGTTCGAACAACAAGTGGGGGGGGGGGGGGTTGTTGTTTGGGCTGTCCTTTTGGCTTCTCTTTAAAACCCAAAAAATGGGCACCATCGAAAACGGAAAGACCCTATTCATTTTGTCCCAACAGCATGGCCCACCAATCCTGGGTGGGGGGGGGGGGGGGTTGTGGAGGATACCCTGCAAAATTAACAGTGGGGTCACCGGATTTCCCCAAATCAGAAGCTGATGCGTTTCTGGGTTCCATGTTCATCCGGGGTACTCCAACCAAGGGATGGCTTTTCGCTCTGACTCCTGCAAGTATTCTAGGGGAATCTACAAAAAGTAAACAAGGGTTGTTTGGTCTCACTTCTGGACCCAACAAAGTAACCAAACTGTTTGTGCAAGCCACTAAAATGGTTCAAACCCAAAAAGTGACTAAAGTCCATGAACTCAGGAAGTGAGTGGTGGCTCCACACACAGGTGGCGTTGGCGCTATGTTGTCCAACTTGTTGGCTAACTTCCCCCTTCAAACATCACCCAAAGGAAACACATCTGCGATTTGGCCCTTCCACAAGGTGGCATGTGGAACTAGCTCTTTGACCTGGCTTCAAGCAGAAGGTCCGAAAAAAGGATTTTTTTTCCGGAAAGCCAAGGTGGTTGATTCCTTTGACTACTCCTGTATTTAACATAGGTCACTCTACGGAATTTCGTCCTACCCAAGTTTTTGCAAAGGGTCACCTTGGCCCCAAATTGGTGGTGCGGTTTGGCGGCTTGGATCTTCGGAGTACCGCAACCCCATTTGGTCTCAAGAAGTTGGGGTTCGAAACCAACCACCCCAAACCGCAAAATATACTCAGTTGCCCCGGGACCAAGTCAAAGGTGATCACCCTTTGGGCTTGGTAAAGAGAAGAGTCGAATTATAGTTGACTGTCTGTTTTCATATCCTCAAAAAACCGTCCCAAACCCATTTCTTCCTCCATTCTTTAAAATCCAAGTCGACTCGCTTTCTTTGCAAGTGAGATAAGGGCAACTGGAATGGCAACCGTTCAACAGGGATCCTTACATGAAAAACACCTGAACATTGCAACTTGTAAATAGTGGTTGCCTTTTTATTTTGTTGAAAAAGCCACATGTTTCAAATGGTTGCAAAATAAATTTCTTTTAAGGAGCCCTGTTCAAGGTGACCATTCCGGCCGTTCCAATGACAGGCGGCGTAGTTGGCGTGATCTTGGCTGACCCGCCGGGGGTCATCGCCTAACGTGGGTGGACCTACCGAGTTGACTGTGCTGGGATTTCGGGATTTGGACTGAGCAATCTTTAGTGGAAAATCAAAAGGACCGAATTCTTGAATACCCATAATTCGACTTGTTTGCTCGGGCTTCCGGTTTGGCGGTAGTGGAACCAAGCTAAACTCACTTCTTGATTGGGTTTGGCCAAGAAACAGGCTTAACTTGCTCTTTGCCGCGAAATGCCTCACTAAAATTTGGTCCAACCCTCAACCGTGATGTTTCAGAGAGAGCCATGCTGTAACAACCTTCCATTTGCTTAAGCCCCTGGAAAAACAAATCATGTATTAATATGGATGCCTGTTGAAACCATAATCTAGTATACGCAAGTTCCATACTCCACGTTGCCCCTTTTCGAGGCAACACATACTGGAGATGCCTCGCTCAAACATGCCTAGAGGCGGACATGTGAACCAGATATTGGCTTACAGCGCGGAGGTCCCATTCTACTTTCGGAGGGACCCAAACCCAAGAACCGCCTACCTCTTATTTCATGCAACCTTCCATTTGCTTCAGCCCCTGGAACAACATCCTATGATAGATTCCTTTTGAAACCAACAAGGGATAAACTAAAATACTCTTGCCTAAGCAAATGGAAGCAACTACCACAGTTTGGACGACTGACCTGAGGGTGACTGAGAGCTACTGAAAAAACGACGGAGTCATATTTTTCCCCCAGGGAAGCCAAGCTTCAACCACTAAGCCAAGGCCCAAACGCGAGTCACCTGACTCAACCCAAAGACCTGCGACCTGAGGCTGGCGCCCTTCTTGATTTCCTCCAGCACCGCTTCATCCGGAAAGTCGTGCCTGAGCGAATGAGCGAAGGGCACAGACGCTGATATTCTTGGGCGCCGACTTTTCGGCCCAATGCCCTTGAACAGGGCCATGGATTAGTGGACACAGCCAAGCAAACAAAGAATCCATGCTAAAATAGCATTCACCTAGCTTTACTTGGTGGTCTTGACGCCTGTTGCCAGCGCCCTCCCAAGTCAAAGGAATGGGCGGTGGAGACGGCCGCGGGCCCCCCCCCAATCCCCCAATCCCTCAAGCCTAGGGCCTTTTGGCGCCCATTGTGTTCAGAGCTTCTCACTGTCTGAGTGGGTTGGCTTAAAAAAGTCCAAGCTCCTGGTTTACCACACTGGCCAGCTTGTGGGCAGTTGTTTCAAACGGAACAAAGCTACCAACCCGAAGTCGAGGAAATGTGCGTCCATGTTGACATGACAATGGGAACGTACGGGTGGCAAATCATTTAGATCCGCCCTTGCGGATTAAACCACACGGAAAACTGGATGGGATGTCGCTCTTTGAGAGGTTGCCGCCCAGAAACCCTTTTTTCTGACCCGCAAAAAAGGGGTAAGGCAGAAAGAAGGAATCCGTCCTTCCCCGGCAACTCAGCAAGTGCTTCAACAAAATGTTAACCACCGGTACTCAAAGGGTAAAAAAATGACACGCTCAAAGCTCAATAGTCGGTGTCAAACCTTGTCAAAAAATGGGGCCAGTCCCTAAATTGTGGCAGCCAACCAAACTCAAACCATGACTGAAGCAAAAACAACCTTGCAGGTTGAAATGCAAGGTTCATACTGCAACGTCTTAGTAGTTGGTGGCTGAATTGACCTTCAACTGCTTGGCAGTTGCTTCAAGGATGAAGAAGTAACCCAAACACAGTGCAAACAGCTCGCTGCCATTGTTGTCGGCTTGACTTTCTCAGTTGCCCAAGCCGATCAATCAGCCCTCGCAGAACCCCCCATTACAAAATACAACACCTCCTTTCCAACCAAACAAACAAAGCCTCAGACTGCAGAACAAGCCCCAAGCAAACGTTCTGCCGGGCTAAATAGTGGTAAACCCAGGCAAAATCAAAACAGGACCCTTTTTCGCAAATAGCAATGGACCCTCACGTACCCTCCCCAAACATACCCATTGGTCTCCTTTCAGCTTCCATTTAACAAAAGGGGCCCTTGAAAAAACAACGAGCCACCCCTCACAAATTTCCATGGACCCAGGCCAAGTCGCGGCTCCCACTCCCGGGTGTCGTCGAAATTCCCAAGACCCTCCGGGGACTTCTGATAGTCCTCGAGCGCTCGCGAGCGTTTGAGGCGAGCTGTCCTCTTCTGGTAAAATAGATGGGTTTCCCTGGCGAATGGATGGCATAAAACCAAGCTAAAACCAGTGCAACCCATCCAATTCTAAGCAAACTAACCTAAAAAGGACACCCGGACCCGGTAGGAACCCGTTTGAGGCAGCTCCACGGAAAGGGGTTTTGGAGGTGTGGAGGTTCTATACCATACCTCCAAAACGCGCACCTGGACATGGTGTTGGCCCGAAAGTTGATGACTTTGCTGGTGGGTTTCTGGAGAAACTCCAGCGTTTCCTTTGGAAGAAAAGGGAACCTGGTGTGCCTCTGTTTTAGGATTCTTTTTGGCTGGGTTTTACAGGGGGTCCAAATGAAAACCGAAGCCACTTTGGGGAGGGGGGGGGGATCCGAAAAAAACAACAACAGCGGATTGAGCAATTGCGGCCCATGTTGAAATCTCATGAGCTCGAATGTGCGAGGATGTTTTAGTGTGGTTTTGGGCAAGTCATGAAGGATTTTCGGGTGGGGGGGGGGGGAGAGGTGCGGGGGGGGTGGGGATGTGTGTGTGTATATATATATATATATGTATATGTGCCCCCTACACCCAATACCCACGTTTTTCAGGGTATCATGTCGACCCTCTGCTAAAAAAGGAGGTATTTACCATGGGAAACCCAGGTTTTCCTAAAAAATACCCTAGCAAAAGTTGGTATTTGGAGTAGGGGATATATATATATATATTGTGGGTGTTGTTGATGTTCATGGGGGAGCCTTGCTGGACATCATGTAGGTGGGGAGCTAAGCCACCGACCATGTGGGAGGTGGGTCCACTGAAAATCATAGCCATATAGCCACAATCTGCGTGGCGTCCATCTGCAAATGGAGTTGGTTGCCTCGGAAAGGGTCCCATTGTCATGTTCTGGATCAGAAGTTCCTAACTTTGGAAATGCAACTCACGACGTCCGAACTGGATTGCCTAACAAGTGCCACCGAAATGGTCTTCCATTTCGGTGACTAGAGTGCCAAACGGAACTCGTTGGAAGTGAGGCAACAGCTACAGCATTGGTACCAAGCCAGCTCACATTTTTTTGAGGGCCCAAAGGCCAGCAGAGGCCCCGGATGGGCCCGGAAATAAGAGGTGATCACCTTATCAGTTGTTCAGTGACGCTGGAAACAAAGGGAACCCTTTTTGGGGAAGACCATTTTTAGTGGGGCAGCCACCACCCAAAAAAGGGAGGAAAAAGGGTGCCACTGAATAACTGAGCCTTGGAAAGCCACAAACACCAAAACACAAACAACGAAAAGGGCGTCTCATCCGGCCAAATCGCTTCTCGAGTATATAGCGGTTGCCCACTTCAATGGGCCATAATCGCTTTGAGCCTTGGTGAGTAGCTGGTGCCCATTCAAGTCTTCCATTTGGTTAAGGCCCCAAGACAAAATGAAAGTATTTCCAGTAGTGATGAATTCCTTTTTATTACCAACCAGGGATAATAAAACATATTCATTTCAGCAAATGGAGGAGATGGAGCGCCAAATCCGCACCTCTCTCGTTGGTCTCGGCTCGCTTGAGCACGAGCCCGCTCCTCCCAGGCCTGCTCCAGGCCCTCGAGGAGCCGACAGCAGCCCTCCTGGGAAACAGGTTGCAACTTGTTAGTCACACCGGAAGAGGGCCAAGGTTGACAGTTTTGTATCCATGACTTAAAATGCACCAACAAGTGGAACCCCAAAATGGGAAAAACATAAGATGAGGCCTGCGGGAGAGGGGGGGGGCAGCCCAAATGAGCTCTTGAGCCCTTCAAGTCCGCCTTGTTTATGTCCCCCCCCCAAGAAAAATAAATCCCTTCGCAGGCCCCGTGATTCTCATGGAACGAGCTCCAGTTACCACTGGCGACACGACCTTAGCTGGTTCAGAATCCAACGGTGCTGGCAGCCTGAGAGAGTTACGTACAGCAAGCCAAGCAGTAAAAGACCAACGGGTTGGAAAGAGCCTGAACTTTTTGGTTGCCACTAAAATGGTCATACCCAAAAGTGTAAAGTCCATGAACTCAGGAAGTGAGTCCATGCAAAGCAGAGCACCAACAGCAGCCCCTGCTATAACCATGGCAAAACAACAAAACTGCCTAGCTTGGTTGAACATGCGATCACCCCAAGCTATGCAGCGAAACAAGGCCGGAGACATCCATCTTTGATGGGGCAGGGATGCGGAAATGGTGGCTTAGTTTTTGGTTCAAAACCTTTGCCACTTGACCCAGGTTGCCACCTACTGTGGGTGGACGAAATCCTGCTCCACCTAAGAAACCCTGGAATGATGATTCCCCTGTAAACACCAAGGAGCAATGGTTTCCGTTAATTTCAAAGTGGTGCAGAATTTCGTCCATCCACAGTATGTCTGGTTAAACACCTACAAGTAGGCGACCAATTCTGCCGAACGCAGCCGAGGCACAAAAACTTGGCTGCCTGCAAGCAACAGCGAACCGAAGGACGTCTTCAGGCAATTCAACAACACAAAAGTGGGTGTGTCTTTTTGGAAACCAAAAAGAACCCAGCCATTTTGGGGCCCCAAAAATTTGAGACAACCCCAAGTGAGGAAAGATATAGGGACAAACCAGTCATCGCACTTCCCTAAAAGCTTAGCCCGAAGAAGTGCAAACTGTTCTAATTCAACAAATGGCCTTCTCCAAAACAGCACTATTCATGAGTCTGGGGGAACAAAGACAACATATTCAGATTCTGGCCCCTTCAAAGCCGAACAGGACAGAACCGAACCAACCGAAAAATAGAAGTCCAACTTCCCACTTGCCGAATGGGACCCAGAAATACTGCAACAAAATGATCACCTTTTGGAGCCACGAAAAAAATGGTCCGAACAAGGAAAAGCAAAAGGTCGATTCGCTTTGGGCAAGTGAGATTCGCTCTTTCCAGCTTCAGTTCGTATTCCCCAGTCGCTCGGCGACCTGGAAGGTAGCAACCGAACAAACCAAAATGCCCAGAAACCCTCGAAGCGAGTGGAGCACTCGCAACAAAATCCTGTCTCAAATAGTGAAGACTGGGGATCCAACAAACACTGAATGCCCCCCCCCCCGCAATTTCGGGAAACCGAGCCCTGAAAGGATGCATCCAACAACCAACTGGTTCAGGTCAGGTGCAAGGAAATCCTGTAAGTCAGCTGCTGTAGGTGTGCAGCTGGTTTTGAGGGTCTCCAAAGACTTTGAGGCCAAAGCCACGTTGAAACCAGCTTGCTTTTCCGCGTAGCTTGGGGTTCTTGCATGTTCGACCGGCCTAGGTAGGTTACAACCATGGGGTTGGTGCAGCTACTGTGCAGTGGAGTCTCTAGGCAGGCTCCTGCCCAGCGACCGTACGGGATATTCAACAACTTACCTTTCCAACAAATATGGCTTGACTAAAAACTGACTGACTTGTGTAGGCCCCCTGCCAAAAATGAACAGAACCGAAAGCCTAAAACCCAAAAACATGCCAAGAACAGTCAAGAGTAAGCAGGATTCCCGGAGGCACGCCCTTTGTGCCCGACATAGGATTCAACCCCTCCCCTTCTCCCGGTCTGCACAACATCGAATCCAGGCCTTATTTGGAGGAACTCGGGGGGCCGGAGTTAGGACGGGATGGTTTGAACCCCTACGATGAAAAGGTACCGCCAGAACACCTCCCACCCAAGCGACAAGGCTAGCAGCGTGAAGCCCAAACTGGCAACGGAGTGGTTCATGTGGGGAAACGTTTCGAGTGGCTCGTCTTTTTGAGGGGTTTTGAGGGAACACATGGGAACACCAAAGGAAGACGGATTTTTTGGGGAAGGGACCCATGTCTGCTGCTTCATATTCTTTATAACACTTGGCCAAATAGAACGCGAGGTCTGCTGAGGCCTCATTTGCAGGAAAAGAGGAAAACAGGGGAAAAGGGGCTACTTGAAGGGGCCGGGGGCTTGATAAGTTGATAGTAACCCTGGATGTAACTGAACTGATTTGGTGGGTAACAGCCATTGTTCCTAGCCACGTGCTCAGCCCCCTGCTTTTGCAAGTCTGGGGGGCCGAATCTGAAAATTGACTGCCCCCCTCCGAAAGGAAAAGGCGATGTGCCGCCGTGGTGCTTCTCTCTCGCATGGAGAGGCAGGACGCCTGACCGAAGCCGTGAGAGTGTAACATCCAGCTGCCACAAGACAAGTTTGCTGTTGCCTTTTCGGGTTGGGTGAGTGGGAAGCCACACCTCACTTGAGTGGACTGGCCAAAAGCAACCTAACTTCTTCACTTTGCCGCTCACATCGCAACCCGAAAAGTTGGAAGGCCATGAACTCACGGAATAAAAGACCCCTTTTCCAACCAAAAACAACCAGGTTGAGGATACCAAGTGGCCCAGCAAATTGCAGCTGTGAAGCTTGGATCCAGCTTCCTATTTGACAGCCGATCGCTTTTTTTCTTTTCTTCGCAATGCCGGCGCGGACGATCGTCTTTTCTTGTTTTTTTCCTCGCAATGCCGGCGCGGACCTTTGAGAAGGTTTATTTTTATTTTTATAAAAACAAAAGGAAAAAAAACGGACCATTGAGAAGGTTTTTTTTAATTAAACAACCGCATAGTTCTTCCCGAACTGGGTTACCACACGTCGGCGTCAAAAGCAAAACAACCCCCAGCTCCGAGTCCGGCTCCCATCCACCCACCAGACTTCCAATTCGACAGTTTCGACCGATTTGTGGCTGCAGCATTAAAACGATCTTCCCTTTTGGAGGTTCCAAAAAGGGAAATGGCTCGAAGAAAAGAAGAAGAAACAACAAAAACAGAAAACAAAAAAGGAAAAAAACAGAAGAAACAAAAAATCTAGGGGGCGACAAAGACCACCGCCATCCCACAGGGGCGACGGCCCGTGCGCTTTCCGCGAATTCCGGCACCGCTTTCCGCCTCCTCCTCCGCATTCCAATCCACGGCTGCGGCCAGGTCCAGGGACCAAAGGTCCAGGAGCTCCTGAGCGCGGTCCGTCCGAATCGACCTCCCGAGTCGCATGTCCAAAATCCCCCGCACCTTGTGGGTCCAAAACCCCCCGCACCTTGTGGGTCCAAAACCCCCCGCAGCTTATGGGGTGGTGTGGGTCATGTCCAAAATCCCCCGCACCTGGGGTTGGGGGTGTGGGTCCAACTCCATTTATCTAGCCTTCCCATTGACATGTCCAAAATACACCGCAGCTTATGGGGTTGGGTTTGTGGTTCTACTAACTCCATTTATTTAGTCTTCCCCATTCTGGAAAATGGGCGCCAGAAATGGAGATCTTCAGGGTGGGGATGCGATCAACCCAAACCACAACCCACTCCCGTGCCACGTGCGGTCAAGCCGAGTTGTTTTTGTTGCAACCTCTTCCTGACCCATTTACCTGGTTTTGTAGGTAACCCAGGCAGCCACACAACATAAAAACCAAAACCAGAAATGGCGAAGGGCGGAGAACTCTGTTGCTGTCATCACTTTCTTGCCATCAAGCAAGCGAACACACGCCATGTTTCGACGCTGCGCTCGAGCCGCACTTTCTGGCGCACTACTGTGAAGGAGCGGCCTTGCATCCATGACAACACTCGTCATGAAGCCTGGAGGGATCGTAAATGCTGGGTGGGAGGGAAGTTTCCGGAAGCCAATCGATGGAGGATGTTGGGCTGGGGGGAGTGGGGTGGCGGTGAGGGGAAGGTGTCTAAATCACAAAAATGGGAAGTTTGCTGTTGGTGTCCATTTAGGTGAAAAGGGCGATGTCAGAAACAGACACACAATCCTTGCTACTAACCTCGGTACTTTCTTTGCTGGGTGGCCGCCACAGGGAGCCCAGGCCGGTGCCAAAAAAAAAACATGTTCGGCGGTCCTCAGTGCGCCTGCCCTCATGCAGGAACAGGGCGAAGTCTGCCTTGGGCTGATTGCGCGGGCGGGGGAATCCGGGAAAAGGGGTTGGGGCAACAGAATTTCTGGTTTGCTCTCTGGATTGCTCTTCTCAGTTGCCCAGTTTGGACCCAGAACTAAAAGGTGATCACCTTTTGGCACCTCTACCAAAAATGGGATTCGCCAAAATGGGTAAAAACCAAAAGGTCAGATCCGGTCGCTTCGCTTTGGACAACTGAGTCTTTGCGAAGATGTGAATGAATGACTTCTGAACCTCACCAACTATTCCCAAGCATCTGGCCCGACGGATCCGGCCCCCTGCGGAAAAATTGATTGAGCTGCTTGCAAAATGAAAAGGAAACAGCGGGTAAGCGAAGTCTAGCGATATAAAGTGATACGCGGGCAAAATGCGCAAAGCACCGAAAAATATGTACCCCTGGAAGAACTCAAAGGAATCACCCAACGCCTGCTAGGAACATACCAAGGGCAATGACATGCAACGGTAAGCCCTCTAAAAAGTGGTTGGTGGACATAAATCCTTACCGAAATGATGTCCGCCAATTCGAGTCTCCGATTGAGATTCATACCCAAACCGGCAAGCAATTTTGGTGTTAAGGTTGGAATCCATCACTCCTCGAATGAGTTTAAAGGGAAGCCAAAAGGACAACCACCATTTATGTCGTTGCTTATTTATTTATTTATTTATTTATTTATTTATTTGGGGGAGTCCCCCAAAAAAAGACACCCTCTTATGCAAGTTGAGATCCCGCCTTTTCTGGGTGATGTAGCTAAGCACCAACATCAAATGGAACTAGGTTCAGTAGAGAGGTTGGATAAGGGTACCATTTTTGTCTGTAGTCTTTAGTAGGGGAAACCTCCCCCAAAAAAAGGTCGGCTTCCCGCTAAAATAGATGTCCCAGTTGCAAGCCCAGCCCAAAAACGGGGTGTTACCCCCGAAAAAACCCTTTAACACCCACCCAACATGTGTACCTGGAGCCTCCATGCCCCTTAAAATTTGGGGTCACCCCCAACTCAAGGGGTCACCCCATATTTAAAGGCTCAGAAGGAGACCAAAAACGAGTCTTACCCCAAACAAATCCCTTAAACGGTTTAAAATTAAGGTGTCATGACCCCATGTTGCAAGGATCCGGAGATTTAAAAAAAAAAAAAAAACGGTTCAAACCCGCCAGCCATGCGGGTTTAACGGCCGCCCGTTCAAAAAAAAAAAAAACCTGAGTGGACGAGGGGCCAGCAGGCGCCCATCCTGCGCGATGCGCTTCGGCAGGTCCGAGTCCGAGGCCACCGAGAGCCGGCCGAAGCGGCGCTGGGACTTCTCCTGAGCGAATCGAATACCCGGTGGATGGACAGAATCCTCTTAGGCACCACCTAGAAAAACCTGGAATGATTCGATTCCCTGCGATCCTTCGATCCTTCGATCCTTGCATTATACACCTGAACATTGACTTCTAAATGGTGTTTTCCCTGTATTTTGGCGTTGAAAAAGCAACATGTTTCAAATGGTTGCAAAATGGAAATTTCTTTTAAGGAGCCCTGCATTACATGGTTGCTTTAACCTGGGGTATCAACCTGAACATACTGTGGATGGACGAAATCCATTTCGCACCACTTTGAAACCATGGTTGAAACCAGAACGCTTGTTGGCATGGGGTGTATGAAGTGCTGGGGTATAAAGTGCGGGGGGGGGGGGGAAGAAGTAGTGGGGGGGGGGGGAGGGTATGAAGTGGGGGGGGATATGAAGTGGGGGGTTGATGACGTGGAAAAGCTCTACCTAGAGTTTCCATGACCCTCACAAGATGGGGTCATTGCCCTAAATCATGAAGTCATGGACCGATTTTTGAAGGGTCGTGGAGACTCCAGGTATGTTCAGCTAATCTTCGGTCCACAGTGACTCACGGGTTGGCAACCAGCACCCAACCTGAAGCCATGGGGCTGTGGGGCTATGGGGCTTTGGGGGGGGGCTATCCCTGACTGGGCTGTTCAAAATGGAGGGTTGGCCAATCCTACTCCATAATCCCTATGGGAAGCCACGACACAAGGGACCCCGTTGCGTCACCGAAGCTAAGGATTAAGGATCTTTGAACAGCCCAGCCTGATAAGCCCAGGACAAGCCGTGTAAACCTCCGTTTGCGAATGCGTCCCCCCTGGAAAAAATGGGCCACCCACAGAGAGGGTCTAAGAGGCGCGTCCGTCCCCGTTTCGTGGGGATTCAAGGGGGCACCCCAAAAAACCGACAATTTGATGAGTTCCTGCAGAAACGGGCCATCCCGTTTCTCCGATCCAGGTGTATGAACTTAAAGACCACATCCCCTGCATGAAGAGGTGTGTGACATTTGGTGGGGATTAGGAGGGAACCCAAAACCTCTATTTGCCAATGCGGTTGTTGGAAAAACACATAAGGACCACATCCAGGCCACACAGAACATCGATGGGGAGCGAGCCTCTCTTGCCCGCTTGGACCTGGAAAAACAGGTGATCACCCTTTTGGGACCTTTACAAAACAAGGGACAACCAAAGGTCTGAGAAACTCGGAGAAAGTCGGAGCCTGATCCTTCTCCAGAATATTGGGGGTGATGACGTGGGGGAGCCATATATGTTCAAATAACATTGGGTCCATATCAGCGACTTCCAGATGGCAACCCACACCCCCCGGAAGTCATATTGGTTTCAGGAAATCCTCTGATCGCAACACCTGCGCGCGAAAATGGGGGGGGGAATCCTTGTCCCCAGTGGCCATGGGAGGGGCTTCCCCTTCCCCCCACCCAAAAAGACTGAATTCCCAGAAGCCCAGTTGGCCAAATGGGAGGGGCTTCCCCTCCCCAACAAACTTTGTTTTTCTAAAAGGGCGGAATCCACGTGGCAACGCCACCTGTGAGCTGAGCCGCGACCTGTTCTTAAACTCGTTGCCCCTGGGAGTTCAACCCACTTACCTGGCGATAACCATGCGCCTTTTTCAGGGCTTAGTTGGCTCAACACCCAAGGGGGTTCAACTGGTTCTTGACCAAACCATGGTCAGAACCTACGAAATGGAAGCCCCGGACTATTCTACCCCCGGTTTTGGTTGTTATATAGGGAGGTGCCCCTTCTCATAGGCAGGTAGACCACAGTAGCCATTGATTAGAACCCGAGTCGGTCGAGCCATTGGCTTCGTGCCCTTGGTTCTCATGGGGTCAACATAAGCCATAAGCCATAAGCGCAACCAGAACTCAATCATAAGGTGCGACTTTTGGATCCTTTTCAATGTCCGAAAACACAGTTCATGAAGGGTTCAACCACATACCGTGGTGTTCAACCAACTTTGCTAGGACCCAAGTTGGATGTTCAGGCCATGGGTTTAGTGCCCTGTCCATGGTTGTTACCATGCGGTCACCAAACAACTAAGTTGTTTCAACCCCCTGTGAATATATGTATATATGTATATGCATAATTATGTTGTTGCTTGTATTTATACACGATGTTAATATATATATATAATTATATATATACATATATGTATACACCAATTGGCATATATAAATCCATTGTCCCTTGGTGCTCCTTTGAACCAACCGAAAGGTTGGTGGAACTCCCAATAAACCGAGGCGCTGCAAAGGTAGAGGTCGGCACGCCAGCGTCAGAGTCAGAGTGACAAGCGCCCATGGCGCGATCGAAAGCGCAAAGCGAGGGACTGCCACCGGTCGTAGGGAAAAAGGGGCCCAGACTGGGTCCAACTTCTCACTTGCTGAGTGGATGGCCCAAAAAAAGTTCAAACTTTATATTTACCACTAAACTGGTCTTCCCAAAAAGTTTAAAGTTCATGAACTCAGGAAGTGAAAGACTTACTTGGCCCACATCTGGGGTAGAAAGACATATTCTCAGATTCTGGCTCATATTTAAGTCTTTCCCTTGTTTTGGAGGAGACTCGCAGTTGCAGCGGTTCCAGTGGAGAGGTTCTGAAAATTACTTAGGTCGAAGACCCTGAAACAAACGCCAAACTCAGATCCATTTTTAGCACGGGGAAGTTTGCGGACACTGCCACCCAAAGAAACCTCAGGCAGCTTCGCAGCCATTTCTTCCATCTTGCGGGGGTCCGCATCCCCACTTGATCATCTTTTGCCCCTTGGTATCACAAAGAGTGACCCATACCAAAAGAAACCAACATTTGGGGGGGTCTATAGCAGCAAAGATCCGTGGTCATGCGTGTCTGCAACTCTTTTCGTTTTTGGACATGGTTTGTCGTTTCTGTTTTGTGTGCCTGGGAGTGTCGCATTTTGCTTCCAAGTGCTGCCTGTAGGGCGACGACCTCATCTGGATGGGTGGAAGGTGGGAAGGCCGTCTTGCCTGTATTTTGAGCTGTGCTTCACCAAGTTTGCGCGGCGCCGCAGTTTGGTCGCTGGTCCATTGCTCATAGGATCCGCCGCATCCCCCCCCCACTAAACCCCAACCTTTGAAGGGGGGGAGGGGTAGTCCGCAAGTGCCAGCCATAACGCATCCATAGAGCACCCACCTGCTCCAAACGTCACATGTTGCTTGGTTGCTCCAGGACCTCCCGGAAGCTTGTGCATTCGACGCTGCCTGCAGCTTAACATGGAACCCATGTGGGGCCATGACTTGAAATGACCAAGGGAAAGCAAAAGGTCAGATCCGGAAATGACCAAAAGGTCTTGGTTGCAAGCGAACCGAGGTTGAAGTTCATGTCTGCAACCTTCCCAAGCCCTCAACCATAAGAAAAGTATTTTCGCTTGACCCATCTCCCAATACTAAATCAGAATGAGCCAATATCAGCTCATTTCCCAACGCCTAACCCCAACTCCAGTCGCATTGGTGGACACTTTAGAACCAATATTGAACCAGGTTCAATTTAATTAAACCAATTAAACCAATTCGAAGCCAGCGCAGGACAAATCCTCAAATAAGACATACTAAATTTCTGCTATTCAAATTCTTCACTCGGAAAAGTGCCATTTGAACGAGGACCGTGGTGAAACCCTCCTGGTAGCCTAGTGTAGTCTGTTAACTGCGGGGTGGGGGGGAAGTCGGGGGTTGGGGCATGGTATTATGCGACACTACTGTACTATGCTCTTCTCGAAAAGTGGTCCAGAAACTCAGGTGGCAAGTTGCATCAATAGGAATTCAGGGAGTGGAAAACCTGATCCCCAGGACACCTACTATATGTGTCGCCAAGCAAGCGCGCCCAGCAACCGGCCCGCCTGTCCAAAGGAGCGCCGGAACACGCATGGCTACGGCCACTCCCGCACAGACATGTTCATTCTATCGTGGACACTTGCAACCATGGGCTCCATTGTTCTTTTCAAAAACCGATCGCTATTTTCCCTGGGTTTCCGGAGGCTTTCTAGAAAGATTCGGATCCCGGGGTTCAGAATGGACATGGAAGGTAGCCCATTCGAGCTATACTCCCCTGCCGCTTTTTCTGTGCTGGAATTCTTGAGGCCTCAAATTTGGGTGGACCCAAGTCACTTAGGCTCAATCCCACAACCGATGTTTACCCGTGTGCGCGACTAAACGACATTTAAGTTGATTCCCCAAACTCAACTTGTCCCCTTCAGGCACCTTCATGGACGTCTGCTGCGACGTCCCGAGTGACGCCGTTCTTATTCCCCGATGAGTTGTGCTGATTGATGAAGGCAGCCCTTCAAGAAACATCCGGGGCCAACATCCGAACAAGTCCAGACTTAACCTGCCACCAAACAACTATAATGTTCCGAAAAGGTGTCGGGTCTGTCCAGGAACTGGCTGGAAGTGAGACACTGGATTTGAGCACAAGGGAAGAGGCGCAAGGCACTAAACTCCAGCAGCTGAACATGAAACCGAGCAACTTTTGGTCCAGAACTACTTTTGCATGTGGCCGATTTTGTACTGCCAAACTAGCTGTCTCACAACAAAGCCTATAAGACTGCCGTTGTTTGGGGAGTCTGCCCTGTGGGTGGGCTGCATGTGAAACAATCCATCTGAATCAGATATCAAAAGAGTCTCAAAGGACTGTGGAGGGGTCCCTGGTCTTAGTGGGGTTCGCAGGGGGCTCACATTCCCAACAAGCAAGGTTAAACATGTGGCCATACTGTGGATGGTTGCGAAATCCATTTCGCACCACAACTGAAACCATGGTTGAAACCAGAATCTTCGTTTATATGTACGAGGCAATCATCAAAAACCAGTTTTTGTTTTTCACTTTTCGAGGGGAACACCCCAGTATTAATAAGCGGGGGTCTGTTAATCTGGGTCGATATTGCCCATCTTTCGTCAGCGACAGTGCTCATTCCTGCAATGCAAAGTCCAAGAATCCAACTGCCTGATTCTTTTTTGACCATATTTGGAGGAAACCAGCAAAGGGGTCTGGAGGATTCTATCAGCTTACCAGAAACATGGTCCAACCCCAAAAAGTTTCAAGTCCAGGAACTCAGGGAGTGAGACCCTGGGGAGCATGTCGAAGGATTCCCGCCAGGGGTCGTAAGTGCACTTTGCCTTGCGCGGAAAATGGGCTGGCCCATTTCCCCAACGAGCAGGAACAAAAACAAAAGCATCATGGGGACGTGTGAACAATTTGAGCGCGATGAGCCGTTTGGACAAAAGCGCACACTGACTGACCTGCTAAGTTGATTGCCTAGGAAACCCCTGACAATCGACAAATAGTTGCGCCTCACTTCCGTGGATTTGCGAAACAACCCCAACATGGGTTTTGCCTCAGCCTCTGACCGACAAACAATGGGGTACAATGGCAGGAAAAAGGAGACCCCAGGAAAGTCCGATTGCCAAACTCTTTGATTGCCACTGAAACTGGTTTGGAACAGTGTGAAGTCCGCCGACTGTCGAAAAGCGAACGTTTCTTTTTTGACACGCGTTCTCTTGTTGCATCTATGGCATATACCTGGGAGGTCTGTGCATTCTGCTCGGGCCTTCAACTTGGCCGGCAGCCCATCGGCGCCCCGGCCGGAGTGGGAGACTGGGACCGCGCCGCGGGACCCTCTCGGTACGGCAAAAAGCGGACCTGACCTGAACCCCAAAAGGCCGAATCCTTTTTGTCTCCTAGGTCCTCCAGTAGAGAGGTTAGAACAAGGGTACCCAAAAAAAGGGTAAAAGGGCACTGGGGGACTCAGTCTTTGTGGGTCAAAGGCAGAACAAAGGGTTCCTTCAGGGTCCAGGTCGTCAAGAATGCCCTTGGAGAGGGCCCTGTGCTTGCCATGGTTCAAAGGCAACCCCGCATGGCGAAGGATCTTTGCACCCGGGAATGAAATCAGCCGACCGGTGCCGATCAGCACCACAGGCCAAACCCAGCTTCCCTCAAAAAGGGTGGTTTGGATGACGGTGGTATGGTGGTTGGTGGTTGCTGGTTTCCCAAAACCCACAAGAACCAGGGGCTCAAATCTAAAAACCACCAATCCAAGCCACCAACTCGGTGCCTGAAGCATCTCATCTTCCCAAATCGCCAGGCAGATGCCGAGGATCATTCAAACAAAGGTAAGCTGCGGCGTTTCAAAGTGGACTGTGGCGACGCCCTCCTTCTCGAAGTAGACCTCTGGACGCGTCGGGCAAGCGGTTGGCTGGACATACATGCACAAGATGTCCACCAAAAAATCCCTGGGGATTTGTTTAAAGCTCCTTCCAGTCTAATCCTTAACGGCTTAGCACCCCCACCCCAACACAACAGCAACAAAAACATCAAAATCAAATAAAACTCAACTTTCCTTCACAGCACTTGAGTCACAGTCAAAACCCGGTATTAAAATGGCCTACCCAGAACCATGCTTCAAGAATCAAGAAGGCGGATGTCCGCAGCTATTTCTGGCTGGGATCGTCCCTTGCTAACCTTCACTTACCCGGGTTTTGAGCACGTGGCTCACCTGTTCAACCAGGAAACGGTGGGCATTGTTTGTTGGTATTTACAGGGGAGTCAACATTCCAGCGTTTCTTAGGTGGTGCGAACGGATTTCGTCCATCCACAGTAGGGGTTACTATAACCACCATGACTTTCCATCCAAATCCTCAGCTGACCCAGAACCAAAAGGTGATCTTCTGGGGCCACTGGGCATGGGAACTTAAAACCTGGAAACCAGAAGTCCGACGTTGAATCCTCTCCCTCGCCTTCGTTTCCAAAGCCAAAGGCCCCCCAAATGGCCTAGGCTTGATATGGAAACCCAAGAAAAGCGAAGATGCTGGGATTCCCAAGTGGAGTTCGAAATCCAGCCGTGGCAGACATAGCCGCAAAATATGTCCAAAGTGTCCAACTGTTCAAACAAGCTCCTTCCAATACTTTCCAACCCTTATGTTGCTAAACAGCGCTGCTCTTTGTAGCACCCCCTAAAAAACAATCAAACATGAACAACCGCAAACAAACACAGCTAACAACATACCAAAATGGGTGGGTGGATGAATGGAATGGAATGCAATGGAATGGGATGGTATGGAATGAACAGAATGAAATGGAATGAAATGGCATGGATGGACGGACGGAAGGATGGAGCGACCTGAGGGCCATATAGTGGCTGCCATATCGCAATCAATTGTTCTTCTTCCCTCCACGAGGGTTCCACCAGGGTTCCACAAGGTTCTGCGAGGGCTGCGGGGTGGTACGAGCACTAAAAAGAGCACCGCATGCTGTTGGGGATATCGCCTGAGCTTCATTTTTGTTTCTGAACCAGAAGGCGAGTGGCCCGGGAGCACATGGTCTGCTTCGAGCTCATCTCCGCCGCGCAGACTTCCACATGCTCTTTGGCAGCCTGGGAGCGAGAACGAAGAGCGCGCAGCGGATTGACTAGGTCCTCCGGTAGGGAGGTCAGAGTAACTCACTTGCCCAAAGGACCTGCAAATAAAAGGTTAACCTTTTGGAACCTCTACTAAAAATAGACCAGAAAGCGAAAACCAAAAGGTCAAAAGGTCGGCTTTGAACAACTGAGGTAAGGGTAGCAACTTTTTTTCGGTGTTGTCCATTTTAGCAGGGGAACCCTCCCCCAAAAAAGGGGTAAAAGGATGCAAAAGGGCACTACTGGGGGACCTAGTTGAAGCACAAGGGCGACCTGACGCGCGGAACAACTTGATTGCTGTGACGACCCCTCTGCAGGGGGTCAGGGGTAAGGTGTTCTTCAGCCCAAAGAGCAAAAAGTAACGTTGACGTCAAGTTTCGCATAAGGAAGAAGGGGACAGTTGATCACTGGAGCCCTTAAAAATAACAAAAGCGACCAAAGCCGTCCAGCTCCAATACCCCCAAACGCCGCTAAAGGCTGTTGCCAGGTGGATACACGCCATCTCGGTGCGTTTGCCCATCTCGGCAAGCTGTGGGTCAAGGTCTTGGTACCGAACATGACTTGCCCTGGCAAATGGAAACATGCACTAGAATCATTTCCGAAACCATTCTCCTTCGACAAGTCATGCATGCGCTTGGAAGCATGTGTGTATGTGTGTGTGTGTGTGTGTTTTTAAGGGTGCCCTGTTCGGAGCAAAGCGAAGCTCAAAGGAAATCAGAAAACAGGGGTCCCTTGGGTCTCAAAAAATAGGGAGCCACATGGAGCCACTCTCAACAACAAAATGTGGTTTCCCTCTTGCTTTCCTTTAAACTGAGCCCAACGGGACCCTCAAAAAAGACACAGGGACTGGCCAGCAAAAAGTCGCCAAACTGTTTGTTGCCACTCAAATGACCCAACCCCGAAAAAGTCATGACTAAACTGGGTTGCTTTCTGCTCCCCTGCTAAAAGTTTAACTTTTAGTGGTTCTGGAAAACCCATTAGTTAGCAAAACGTTATCCAGTCCTAACATCCCTTGGCAAAATGCACCAAAGTAAAGTCCATGAAAACACGCCCTTAGGTTCTAAAGGACGCATCCGAGGTGCCCCGACCACCTCCACGGTGAGCCCTCCGTCGGAGACCTTTTCCACGCGAAGACGCAAAGTGCTGGTGGGGACCAGCTTGGCCTGAGGTGCCAAGAGACTAGTCGGAACTCCCGAAACCCATGTTGGCACCCAAGTCCATTGTTCTGAAGAGTCGCTTGGCAGAACAATTCCGAATTTTCTCTTAGCTACCTATGGGTAGCTAAGAGAAAATTCGGAATTGTTCTGCCAAGCGACTCTTCAGAACTCCCGGAAACCCAAGGACCCGGTTTTTCCTACCCTACGAAAAAGGAGGGAAAAGAGCGCCCGTTGGGGGTCCAGGTCCCAAAACAAACTCCCGAAACTCTTCCCTCGTTGTTTGGTGGTTTGGAGCTGAATCGGTGGTTTGGCGGTGTTCCGGGGGGTTGCGCAGGTGCCTTCTAGAACCAGGGGTTCAAATCCAAGCCACCGATTGAGGGCTAGGTGAGAAATCCCTTTTGGACAATGTCTCTCCGCAGTGATTCCATTTCTCACTATGGGCAACCAAGGGAACCGCCCTTAGAAAACGCTTTAAAACAACAATAGATATTTCTCGTTCTGGAGAAAACTCTTTTTGTTCTTGCGGATCCGTGTTAACCTCAAGGAGTAAAATTCTGAAAATGGTGCAAAAGCAGCCTTCAAAACTGTTCATGATGACCTACCCAGTGCAAACACATCTGTTTACTGTTTCAATTCACGCCCCGCGCGTAGGGAGTTCGGTGTTCGCAGTTACCCAGTGGATGTCCAAGGACAAAAAGAGCACCTTTGCTTGATCACTGACGTTAAGTTAAGGGAAAAACAGCAAAACACACATCAAGGACAACGAGCGCCTTGGAAGTGATTGGTTAAATTTAGTTGGACGCCTCATCAAAAAGAGGAAGGATCCCATTTGATTAAGGTCGCAGGAAAAAATGACAATATTTCCAGTAGTGACGATTTCCTTTTAAAACCACCAAGGGAACATATAACATATTCTTAAGCAAATGGAAGAAGAAGGAAGAAGGGCACTGCAGGCCTGGAATTGACACATGCCTCAAAGCCTTTTCGGGTGATCACCTTTTAGGACTTGTGCTAGAAGTGGAGCAAACAGGAAAAAACCAACAGGCCATTTCAGGTCGATTCGCCTTGGGCTGAGCCGATAGCTTCCCCCGACCCCTATTCATCAACCCGAGAGTGAGTCTGGCAATGGAATCCTCGCTTTTTGAGTGGATGGCAAAAAAACTATGATTTTGTCCACTAAAAACATCTTCCAGAATCGGGTTCCTTGATCATTAACTTTCAGTTTCAGGGGTAAAAACAAGGAACCAAAATCGAAAGAAAACCCAAAAACCCACTCAGAAACCCAACTGCTCCCGAACCTTTTAATGGCAGACTCCACCCCTCCATTGGACACCCCGCGAATCGGTGTTCGGGGGTCTGAAAACCTGGCTGTTTGAGGGCCCTAAATGAATCGGGAGCCTCTGGGAAGTGAACATCTGACAGCGGTCAACGGGTCAAGCCGCTCGCTCACCGATTAGCGCCCATCCGCCGATCACTGGAGAAACCACTGCGTAGCCTCGGGCGCGTGCGAGCGGAAACAAAACTCCAACCGAGGGTCTGCTCTGACTGGTGACTTGGAGCCCGGTCCGTCTCAGTTGTTCAGTGACCTTTTTAGGGAAGACCATTTTTAGTGGGGCAGCCACCAAAATAAAAGAAGGGAAAAAGGGTGCCACTGAACAACTGAGCGGTGGTTTGGTGCTTAATTTGCACTTTCAGAGTCCCTCTATTAATTAAATTATGGCAGTGACAATTGACAATGAACCAGCTGACTGGGATGAACAAATGTGCCTGGCTGCCGGGGGGGAGCTGTTCTTTTAAACACCTCTCTGATTTGTTTGGGGGTTGGGAGAGAGCCGGACTTGTTCAAACTGGAAGTAGTGGGAGGGTGCAGCCCAGTCAGACCAATAGCAGGGGTTTATTATTACTGCCATGTTTTTTTAGTCAAAGCTCAGGCACCGTAGAAACCAGCTGCCACGAAGAGGGCTTGGTAACTTCCTAGAACCTTGGCTTTTGTGCAGGAAACATGGGAAACCAAGCCTTGTCTACTTAAAGATTGTGCAACAAGAAATGGAACCAGAAGGTCACACGAGGTACCCCACACAAATGCCCACCCCCCTACTCTGGTCCCCCGCAAAAAAAAAAAACAGAAATCATCTGGCTCCTCTGCCCCTACCAGTAGTTTTTTGTTGCTACCACAATATTGAATCAAACTGAAAGTTCAATCCAACAAACTCTAAGCCCAGTCAACTGCAACTCAAACGAAATCTCACAAGAAATACCACATCAATGGAACATCAAATCCAACACATACTAAAACACATGGATATGATATCTCAAAAGGAAGCTCCAGCAACAATTAAATCACACGGAAACACGGACCAAACATGCTTTTGGAATCCTGTTGGCAAACTGTCGCAGCGTCATGAAGAGATTGTGACAGTCGCAGCACTTTCGCAGCGTTAGACATATAACATTGCATGATCGGCGCGCAAAACAAGAACAAGCAGCAAAACACCTCAACATCACGAAACATCACAGTCATACCTTGTCCTTCCAAACGGATCGAAACAGTCACCTCATGGCTATATGCTATTATATGCTCATGCCGCATATCTGATTGAAACTTGCGCCAACTGGCGTCGCCCGACCTGCTTGTAATGTCCTAGAGACCCCCAAATCACACAGGAAGCCCTCCAGATTTACATGGTACCCCCCAAGACCCTCATTTCTGGTTCGGAAAGCGGCTTTTGGACAACATGTTGGTTTTTTACCCCGCAAAATCCCACGGAACCTCAAACAGGGACCCTCCCAAAGCTGCCTTCCTCCACGTTTGCTTGGAGCCAGGGGTCCGTGACCCTCGTAGCCCGCATGAAGCTGCAGCGTCTCTGTGTTGAGCCAGGTCAAGGTGGAGGCGTACCAGTCATAGACCTCTAAGGGCGTATTGGTGGACGAGCCAACTCATCTAGGTCCTCCAGTAGTAGGGATTAGAATAAGGGTACCACGCTAGTCTGTTTTAGTAGGGGAACCCTCGCCCCAAAAAGGAGTAAAAGGGCACTACTGGCAAACCTAGTCATGTTGATACTGTGGATGGACGAAAGCCATTTCGCACCACCCAAGCAACCATGGTTGACACCGTGGTTTGTTGGTATTTACAGGGGAATCAACATTCCAGGGTTTCTTAGGCGGTGCAGGATGTTGCCAATCCACAGTAGGTGGCCTACATATTGGTGAAAGATACGGGTTGCCCATAAAACCCATCTACAAACCAGTGGAACCCATCTATGTCTAACCAAGCTCACCTTGAAAGGACGCCTGTGATGTTGACCCCAGATTCATTACCCAACCAGTTTATTGATACTGTGGATGGACGGATAACCTCTGCCTCCTAAACCGAACACATCTTTCCTTATCCGCTGAACAGTTCGAAAGAGTGGATGTACAGGAGGGAAGTCCAGAAAACTAGGCTGAAATTAGGACCCCAGCAAATAAAAATAAAAATGCCTGGTTAGTGGAAAACAAAGGGGACCCAAAAAAACAAAAAAGGAAAAGGGGGAGCTAATTCTGGGGAAGAAAAGAAGGAGGCGAGAGCAAGACCTTGCATCCTCTCGACCCCAGAAAAAAATGTCATCCAAGTGGCAGCATAGGCGCTTGCCCACGGTCCTGACCAATGTCGACCCCAGATTTTCATCAACCACCCACTGGGTGTGTGTGTGTGTGTTCGATTCTGGGTTTAGTGGTTGGAACTTGGAACCCGACCACTCTTGGAGGGGCCCAAAAACAAACCCTGATTAAGAAGCTGGTTGATGAAAATCCGGGGTCAACATTGCTGGAACCTGCAACACTGCACGACTGGGGCTCGGCTGCGTGGCCCCGTCCCTCAGGTCAACTGACCGGGCATTTAGTAACGCTGCTCCAAAGTGCTGCAGTGGCCGAGGCGCATTTTTCCAGCTAGGCCAAGCGAATATTTAGACACCTCACGTGAAAAGCATCCCTGAGCCGGCGTACAGCCGGAAATATCTGGGTGATGGTGCCCCTTAGCAACCAACAAAAGGGACGTGATGCCCCAGCGCCCCTCCAGGGATTGGGCGTGTGTGCGTGTGCGTGTGCGCGTGTGCGCGTGTGTGCGCGTGTGGGCGTGTGTGCGTGTGCGTGCGCGTGTGCGCGTGTGCGTGTGCCGGTGTGCGTGCGCGTGTGCGCGTGCTCGTGTGCGCGCGCGCGCGTGCGGGGCGCGCGGGCGTGCGGGCGGGCGGGCGGGCGGGTCTGGGTGTGGGTGTGGGTGTGTGTGTGTGCGTCCAATCCTGTTTACTAAGGGCGGCGTGTAATTCGAAGCTCAAAATGCAAGCTGGAAGGATTTGCAAACTGCCGAGCTCGGTAGCGCCAGCTGTCCGGAATCTTGTTTGTTTTTGTTTTTTCCCACTTTTTTCCCCTCCCTAAACCCGTGGGACTTTAGATGTCCAAAAAAGCAAGCCGGAAGGCTTTGCGAACTGCCAAGAACGGTAGTGCCAGCGGCCCGGAACCTCCTTTTTTAAATATCCGTGGAGTAGGCCACAGCCATCCTTGGGTCTAGTCTGTGGCCCTAAGGATGACGAAACTCCAGTTGAGCTACAATTAAAGTGCATAATCCGAACCTAGAGTGTGCCCACTGGGCTTGATCCTGAACCTCGCAGAAGAAATGAGACACAACAAGGACCGAGAGAGGGGGGATTTCACAAGTGTGCGTTGTGCGTGTGTGCGTGTGCGCGTGTGTGCGCGTGTGTGCGCCTGTGTGCGCATGTGTGCGCGTCTGTGCGCGTGTGTAAGCGTGTGTCGCGTGTGTGCGTGCGCGTGCGCGTGCGCGTGCGCGTGCGCGTGCGGGTGCGAGTGCGGGTGCGGGTGCGGGTGCGGGCGCGGGCGTGTGCGCGTGTGTGCGTGTGTGCGCGCGTGCGCGCGCGCGCGCGCGCGCGCGCGTGCGTGCGCGTGCGTGCGTGCGTGCGTGCGTGCGTGCGTGCGTGCGTGCGGCGTGCGTGCGCGTGCGTGCGTGCGTGCGTGCGTGCGTGCGTGCGTGCGTGCGTGCGTGCGTGCGTGCGTGCGTGCGTGCGTGCGTGCGTGCGTGCGTGCGTGCGTGCGTGCGTGCGTGCGTGCGCGTGCGGCGTGCCGTGCGTGCGGCGCGGGCGGGCGGGCCGGTGCGGGCGGCGGGCGGCGGTGGCGCGCGCGCGCGCGTGCCTGCGTGCGTGGGTGGGTGGGTGGGTGGGTGGGTGGGTGTGTGTGTGCGTGTGCGTGTGCGTGCGCGTGCGCGTGGGCGCGTGCGCGTTCGCGTGCGCGTGCGCGTGCGGGTGTGGGTGTGCGGGTGGGTGTGGGTGTGGGTGTGGGTGTGGGTGTGGGTGTGGGTGTCGGTGTGGGTGTGGGTGTGTGTGTGTGCATGTGTGTGTGTGTGTGTCAGTGTGTGTGTGTGTGTGTCAGTGTGTGTGTCAGTGTGTGTGTGTGTGTGTCAGTGTGTGTGTGTGTGTGTGTCAGTGGGTGTGTGTGTGTGTGCGTGCGTGTGTGCGTGTGCGCGTGCGTGTGCGTGTGCGCGTGCGTGCGCGTGCGTGCGCGTGTGTGCGCGTGTGTGGTCGTGTGTGCGTGTGCGTGCGCGTGTGCGTGTGGGTGTGCGTGTGTGTGTGGGTGTGTGAATCATTGTCTTTTCCAGAGTTCGGCTTGCGTGATGCTCCTGGCATGATGTCTTGGAGTTGCAGCTGGCCCGGAGCGTCCATAAAGACGTAGAAGACTCTGCCCCAGCCCTTGATGTCCTGAGCTCCGATTGCAGACCAACAAAACTCGCGAGTGAATATCTTTAGATTTGCTGAACCACGCAACGTTGTCCCCCTTTGTAGGGGGAACCCATATTTTGAGGCACAACAAGGCTGGCTTCGAATCTAAACGGGGGCACCCAAGGCACAAGTGGGTGCGGTGCCAAGGCTGGAACAAGGGCTGGGCGGGATGGGGGGGGCAAATAAGCCCATCTCCCTCCCCCCCAACCCTCATGAAATCGGAGCAGGGATTGCCTACCGGAGCGATCTGGGTGGGTTACCTTCAACCCGCCATTTTACATAAAAAACCATCTGATCGGGACACTCCGCAGCTGCCCGTGTGCGTGCGCGTTTTGTTTTGTTCGCGTAGAACATGTATAGTTCCCTTGTTCACCCCCAGTGGTCCTACGCACTTTCGTAGGCATCCTTTTTTCCAAATGGGTGTGTCTTTTTAGAGGGTATCCGTTTTTCCTGTTTTAAAATGGGCACCACAAGAAATGCACACTTCTGCGGGCCAGCTTTAATTGCAGGTGAGGGCTGAATTTTCAATAATTTTCATAGGGCACCCATCCTTGATGCTAACACAGCGCCTGAGGGGCCTCACACGCACACGCACACGCACACGCACACGCACACACACACACACACACACGAGGGTTTCCGTAAAACACCGAGAAAAAAAGCGGCGATCCCTCCGCTTCCGCGCCGCTACCTTCTGCAGCATCCATAGCTGCGAATGCTCTTCATCTGCTCTGGTCAGCTGTGAAAATGCGATTGGTTATTCAGAAGATCCAGACCAAGGCATCTCCTTAGAAGATCTCGAGAACATTCCGGGACAGGCTCTTGGTTCCAGTTTGCGGGCTATGCCAGCGATATGGGCATCGTTTGGGCATCGTTCGGGGCATCGTTCAAACCAAACCGTTTTCTTGTCCAGGCATGGTCAGTTTGATTTGTACAGCAGCTAATGAGTTGGGTATCGGTTGGGCATCGGTTTGGGTATCGGTTTGGGCCCTGCAACTGTCTGATTCCGCAATCTTGGTTTGCGACAACAGCTTGGACCTGATGCGTGTCTTGATGGCTTCTGGGGGTATCGTTTTTCCCCCTGTATCGGTTTACAATGGTTTGGGCCTGCAAAACAAGTTAAGGGACGTCCCCTTACATAACGAAAAGGCGCGGGTTTTTTTTATTTCAATACGCGTCGGGCACTTTCCGAGCTCTGGCTCGAGAATCGCAAATCTTAGCACAAATGTAGTACGCGAAGGCCACTTTCTCAGCTCCAGCTCGTTGATCTGGAACTTTTCATACACAGATGTAGTACGCGAGGCGCACTTTCCGAGATCCAGCTTGAGAATCGCAACTTTTCGGTACAAGGGTGTAACATGTTTAAAGGCAAGCCAATAGTTTGAAAGAACAAAACAGGTCGCAGCTTCCGCGCCGCTTCCGAAGAGCTTCCGCGGCCTGCGTTTCACTTACTTACCAACATAACCACCGCCACTAGCCGCTAAAAAACGAATACAGCTATTTACGGAAAGCGACACACACACACACACACGCTCACTGGCTGAGTGGATGGCCCACAAAAAGTCTGAACTTTTTATTTTCCACTAAAATGGTCTTCCGAAAAAGTTTAAAGTTCATGAACTCAGGAAGTGAGCACACACACACATGCCTCCGGGTCCCAACCACTGCTTGCTGGACAGTACTTGGGATTGGGACATGGTTGAAAAAGCAGTTGGACCCAGGTGCTAGCTGGTTGCATATTGCTGGTAACTGGGACATGCTGAAACTCTTGGAAAACGACCCTCGTGCTACCGACTGACGAACCCAACAAACTCACCGTAATTGAGCGAGAAAGGTGTTGCGTAAAAGCACCCAAACACAAAAAAATACACAATGGATGGAATAAGTCCTGCACCCGGGAACCTTTGGTCAAGGATTGCCCTGCACATATCAATCAGCGTTCTGGCTTCAACCATGGTTTCCAAGTGGTGGGCATGGATTTCGTCCAGTCACAGCCACGGGGGGTATTTAAGAACCCGCGTAATCAGCAGCGGCTCTGAGTAGCTGAAGTAGTTGTGGCAGCTTGCCTTCGCGCAGCGTTTTGGCGCGGATTGGACTTGGGACTTCGTGTCTTTTCTTTGGCAATTAGCAAAATTCTAGGTCCTCCAGTAGTAGGGAATAGAATAAGGGTACCCTTTTTCTGCTTTCTATTTTAGTAGGGGAACCCTCCCCCAAAAAGGGGTAAAAGGGCACTACTGAAAAAATCCGAGTAAAACCCGAAGATCGGGCCCCGTAGCCATCACAGGCCATGGAATTTCCGGGCTGACTGGGGGCTGGGCTGAAAAATGCCGCAAACCCGTCCCCAGCCCATTTCAAGGGTGGAATCAGCGTCCCTTCATTTGTCCATGGGTCAGAACCTATGGGCGGATGAACACCCATGCACCACCTATTTTGATGTTCACCAGGGGTACAGGGTTTTGACCCACAGCCATTTGGCTTGGAGTTGCGTTTCCATGCCCAGCGCAAACCTGTTTTCCCTAAAGTTTCAGCCACGTGGGGCCAACAAGTTGACCGAGAAGGGCAAACCCGCGCTGGCAAGCGAGTCTCTGTTCAACCGGGGGGGGCCAAAAGGAAAGCCCTCAAAAAGCAGCAAGCATTTTCTCGAACCCAGACATCAAAGGTTAAGCTGTCCCAACAAGTGGACCAAAGAGGGAAAACCAAAAGGTCAAAAAAGGCCAGCTCTAGGCAAGTGCAAAAGTGGTTAGTGCACATTATCCGAGCCGAATTCTGATATCCAACGCGGGTCCCTCTGATTAAAAACATGCCTTTTTGCAGGAAACCAAAGGAAGAAGTGATTGGGAGAGTCTGTACACTCACTTCCGATCGAGTGGATGGGCCAGCAACAAATAACCAACCCCCCCTGTAAACTAACATGGATTTCCCTTAGATAGGAAGGTAACCACTAAAATGGCAACCAGATCCCGTGACTACAGTCCCAGCTCAGGGAGTCCCACCAATTCGCATGGAACCTGACGTTTTGGGGGGTCCTGGCTTGTGTCTTGGACCATTTTCCTTAAGGGACCCCTGAACGTCAGGTCCCACTAGTGGACAGGCGGGCAACCACTAAAATGCCTTCCCAAAAAGCGCCGAAACTCCGAACCGGAGCTCAGGGAGCGAGTGAAACATGTTGCAACGCCGAGTTTCGTTCGACTATATCCCGCTCCCTGAACTGCCAAGTGGCTGGGTCGACACCTGCGAGATGCAGCACTCTTGGAAACAAAATCAGGAGAGCGCAACGCGATTCTCGTTCATCGTTCACTTTAGAAACCACCGTATTTCGCAAATTCTACGGGTTCGGCCCATTGGAAGAGAAGGATCCCTGAAAAGAATGGGGAGGGTACAGCTGGAACCAAACTTTTTATATCTCACGTCCTGCGTGGCGTGGCTGAAACACAAGTAACCAAACTGTCCGCTTGCCATTACAATTGCCGTCCCAAAAAGTGTACAGTTTGACAGTTCGGTTGGAACTTGAACCCCTCGAGGCTCGGGGGTGCCCTCAAAAAAAAACAACTTCATGTGGATATGCTGCTTGAGGCTCAGTGCCTTCTTTGACCAGCACATGCCCCCTTTCAACCGAATCAATATCAGACCGTCAATCTTGCAATCGGAGTGCCAAGCCTTTGATGTGTTGCCGCCCAAACGGGAGCATCTTGCTGGCTGGTTGGAAACCCTCATTCCGAATGGAATTCTTATGAGACTGCCATCCGTTTCTTTAACATCAGCCATCCATTTGGACAAATGCGTGCTGAGCAAACGCCACTTAGGCTACCAAGTAATTTGTTCAAGTCGATCCCTGATTACCAACATTACTTACCCCTTAAAACTCCAAGCCCTGGGGAAGTTCTCATCTTTTACAGACATATAGCCCATGTTACCCCCAAAAAGTTGAGAAAAGTTGTGTTTTTAAGAGGTAAGATTCACAACATCTGTAACATCCCCTATGGCTTCCTTCAAGGGAATCAAAGGCTTCATTCCCAGCACTCGGACTTGTCATTCCCGCACCAGCAAGCCTCATTCGGTGACTAGGTCCTCCAGATTTGAGAGGTTAGAAAAAGGCTACCATTTTTTTTTTTTTTTTTTTTTTTTCGGTGTTGTCCATTTTGGTAGGGCCCCGAACCCTCACCAACAAAGTAACGGTGAGAGAAAGTTGGCACCGGACGGGACCTAGGTGAGGCGCTCATTCGGCGCGGCCTGCGGCGAAGCAGGACTCCCAGGGCACCAAAGGCCTGTCCGGCTTCAGCACCTGGCTCGATCGGATCCCAACCGCTCCCCGACCGATGCTGTGGGCATAGGGATCCAATAGGTGGCAAATAGATGGGGGTTTCCCCGGAATCGATGACTCAAACCACCAGGTAAACCAGGAATCGAAACCCATGGATTCTTCCAAATCACCCAAAAGGACACCTATAACTGTGGGCTTGGGGCCCTCAAGTCCATTTTTCTAGTCTTCCCACCTTCTTATTTTGGGGGGAAGGGGGGGATCCACCAATGTCCATCTTACCCAAAATGGTCCAAACCCAAATCGTCTAAAAGTATCCCCCTTACCTTAAGGCAGGGGTTGGGAGGTGGGGATTTCACCAATTTCATCTTATCCAGTCTTCCCCATAAAAGGGAAGATGGGTTACCATAAATGGAGATCTCCAGGGGTCACCCCCCTGGCCGGCGGCACAAATCCATTTTTGGAAATCGGAATTCCCGAGTGGTTTGGCCGAACGAAGTCTCCCGAAGTCTCCACTAACGAATTTTCAGCGCTCCGTCCAGGAACTCAAGTGAGGTTTGGATTGCTGGTTTGAAGGAGGGGCGGCTCCCCATTTACCCGCAAGAACCAGGGTTCAAAAACCAAAACCACCCAAATAAACAATGATCCTGAACTAAGCAGTAGCCCCCCTAGCTTAAATACATGTCCTTCCACAGGAAATCGCAGGGCTCGCCCGAAGCGCCTCCAATACAAACGGGGGACCACGACTTCGGGCCGAAGCGTTTGGCCATCGGTTCCTTTGGGCCCCAAACCCAAGAAGCTTTCCTTGACAAAAACCGCCCACTCCTGGGCCAAGATCCACTTCTCAGTTGTTCAGTGACCCGGGAAAAAAAAGGGAACCCTTTTTTGGGCTTGGACCATTTTAGTGGGACAGCCACCAAGAAAAAATGGAAAAAGGGGGCCACTGAACAACTGAGACTTCAGTAAGCCGTCCAATGAAAACTCGTTTCAAAAGATGTCTCAGACAATTGAGCCGTTGTTTGGCCCAGCCACGCCCCCTTAAGAACCCTTGGGCGTAGGGAGACGAGAATGAAATGGTGCCAATGAACTTTCAACTGGGATATGATTGGGATATACTTGAGGAAGGAGGAGGCTAGGCGTAGGTTGAGTGTTGTTGTTATTTGTTTAATCTTGTCTTGATCTGCTTCGTAGAGTCTTATTCCCAATCTCGGGCACAAAGAAAGTATATTCTCAGATTCTGTCACATAGCCCACCCCAACATGCCAAATAGGTGTCTTGTTTTTGGGGAACAGCCAAAATTGTGGTTTCCTTTTGGATTCCCTTTAAAACCGACCAAGAAAGGTGTACCAACTCAAGGCAAAAATGCATGTATAATATACTCTGACCCCGGATGATTTAAACCTGTGGTGGGGGGTCACCCATCGCCATGGACACTTACGGTCTGTTTGGCAGACTCAAACCCGAAACAAAACAAGACCCTAGAGGATGGTGGTGTCCAAACGAGATCCTAAGTGTCCATCATCCCACCCCCCTTGGAGCACCCTTTCTAGGACCCACCCCCCCGCCCTCCCCTTCGTGGAGGAGACTTTCGGAACCCCACCCTGGGACCCTGGGAACACCCCCTCTAGGGCTGCTGCCCCTTCGTTTCATCATACACCTTCTCCCGGAAAATCCTTGTTCCCTTCGTTTGCCCGGAACCCCCCCACCCCTTAAGAACTCCTCATCTAGGGCTGCTCCCCTTCGTTTCGTTTCGGAGCCCCCCTTCGATCTGCCAAGAAGCTCGGCCATCTCCGCGGCACGTGGACATCACCCTCGAGGCGTTCAGCAAATTGATGCCGTCCTCGAAGCGAAGACCGACCGGCCAAAACCGGGAAAATCGGGCTTTCCGAAGTAAACGGATGGCAGGTTACCTTGGTTGACGTTGGAAGGGGAGCAAACAAATAATAATAGCAGTTCAGTGGTTGGATTTGAATCACTAAACCACAATAAGCAAAAATGTAAAATGCTTCCCACAACAACCATGTAAATGGATGGCAGTTGACCAGAACGTGGCCAGTTAGCACAACATGACTCCAGGGTCGATTTGCCCAATTTGTGTGTCTCTTTTTGGGGAACCCCCCCCCATATTTTTTGGTGGTTTTCCTGGTAGTTTCTCTCAACACAAAACGCGGGTCCCCCGAAAACAGACAAGCCCATGATGTTCGCCGCTCGAGGTTCCAACAGGGGAAATGGAGGATGGCACCATGCAGGCAAGGCGCCATTGGCCCGACCATCGCGCCTATCGGAGGCGTGAAGGCAGGAGCCAGGCGGTTTGGACGAAACAAAACAAAAAGAAGGGAACCGGATGGCTGGGAACCACCAAGCAAAGGTCAAAAAATGGAATCGCGTTTCTTTAGGCAATTTGCGTGTCCTGACTCTGTTCCATATTTAGTCTACCTTCCGCCCACCACAGAACATACAAATTGGTTGGAGATGCCAGCCTTGGGAAGCGAAAGGGCGTACTTGGAAACAAATCATCTGCTGCTTTACGACGGCAGAGGGCCCCGCGATACGCCAGTAAGGTTGAAGACAATGATCTGCCACATGAGCCGGTCATCAGTTGTGTCAATCAAAACCCGGTACAAAAATGGTGAACTCAGACCCATGGAAGGAATTCAAAAGGCGGATATCCGCAACCATTTATGGCTGGGATTGCCCCTTAAGCTTCATTTTTTCGGGCTTTGAGCAAGTGGCTCAGTTGAAAAGGCCGCGCCAACCTTGCTACGGGTAAAAAGCCACGGGCAGTCTCTGCGCCCTCCATGCGCGCCGACAACCTGGGCGAAGGTGCCAAACGGCTGTGGCTCCAGCGGCTCCAGGGCTGAAGCTTCAGAAAGGGCAGACCAAAAGCGGGCGCTGCTCTCCAAATGCACGCCGACCATAGGTACCACCATGTTTCTTGGTTCACGTTGGCAGGGGAGCGAGAACCAAAAATCGATTTTGGCAGTTCAGTGGCTGGATTTCAACCGCTAAACCACAAGAAGAGCAAAAATGCAACATATGCTTCCCAACAACCATGGCTTCCCCAACCAGATTCTCTTGAACGGCACTGCCGGAGAAGACCCACATAAGCGGGCAGAGTCGTGAGAGAGCCCCACGCCCGAGCCTCGCCGCCAAAACACCCGAAAAAACATAGCAAGTAGCTCAGCCATCTTTGGGAGAAAGCACCTCTCCAGCTTGCCACCACATCCTTTAGTTTAGTTCTCCCCCAAAATAGCTCAGAGCTGTTGCACCCAGCCAAAACCCAGATGTTTGACTCCGGTCCATATCTAGTGAAGCTTAAAATGCAACATCATTCCAAAAGACGTCCCACTCTTAATGCTTTCAAGACGGTTGCAATCAAGAACTCCCCCAAATCAGGTAGACCCGCCTGCTAGAATGGCCAGTAGGGGCTTAACCACAGCGATCCAAGAGACATCCAAGAGCCGTCCAAGAGCCAGAGCCGTAAACCGCCCAGCACAACCCTGAAAGAAAACCCGAATCCAAAGCAGCCTGACAGGACAGCCATCAAGGCCGCGCGGTTGGGCTTCGTCTCTGGGCCCACAATCTGGCCCCCCTTTTGCGGCAAGTTGCCTCGGAGGGCAGAGAAAACACACTCACTCCCTCAGTTCTTGGACTTTAGTCACTGTTTGTGGCAAACAAAAAGTTTAGACGTTGTTGGGCCAGTCCACTCAGGAAGTGAGGTGCTACAAGGGCCCAAAGTCCATCCAAGAGTAGAATCGATATGGATTGCTGGTACAACCCTTTGTTTGCCATATGATAGTTGCATTTCATTTGGGCCCTTTACTTTTACTTCCATCCTGGACCCAGGGATCCTTGCTTAAAAAAACCACAGAGAGAAACTCATTCACATGGAACCCAACCACAAAAACGTTTTTTGGAGGAACATCGTCCGGGGGAGTAAACCCTGCATGAATTGGCCCAAGGGTGCTGCAAAAAGTGATGTTCTTTTCTCTTGGCTGGTGGGGGAACAGTACTTCTTCCAACCAGGGATTCCGGTTTTGACTCCCCCAAGGTAGGCTTTCTCCCTGTCGGGAAAATCAACCACCCAAGGTGTAAGTATACTTTGGGGTGTTACAACAACTGGAACCCGGGCTCCAACACTTCACCTACCCTCCCGCACGGCATGACATGGAACGACAAAATGGAGTCGGGCCGCAAGTGAGTGTGGTGGAATGCCAGTTTTTTTTTGGGGGGGGGTTTGTGTGAACAGGAGGGTACGGGACCAATGGGGTGTTTGCTGATAGGGTCCGTCACGACGACATCCTGAAAAAGTACTATCCACTACTCTCTCAATGGTGGTGGGAAGGGAAGCCATCCCCAAGAGTAAGTCTGAGAAGCCCCAAAAATAACCTTCAGGTACATCCCCAAAGCCAAACGTCTACAGGAACAACAACGGACGCCCAGATGCAGGTTTGTCTCAAAGTACGGGACCCTCAAAAAAATTGTGTCTGTCTTCTGTTCCCCTGTGAAACCACTCAAAGGGTGCCCTGCAAAGTAGACGCACCTAGCCACTTGTCCCAGATCCTAGTCACAGTTTCCCACTTTGCCCCTTTCAACACCGCCCAGACAAGACTCACCTGACCATGTGCCTAACCAGAACTCCGATCGGTAGCTCCGAAAGGCTCCCTCTTCAAAAGCAAATTTTGGAATCCCCCAGCTCCTTCCAACCACCAGCTAGTTCCTTGGTGGATTGGCCAAAACAAGATCAAGTTGTGTGTAAACCTCTCAGAAAGCCTCAAGTTCCATACTTCAGCGCGGAGAAATCATGTAGAGGGATGGGATATCTGTAAACGACAAGGGAAACACAACACATGTTCAGAATGGACAATCCTGTTCCGATCCTGGAAGTGCGTGTGTGTGTGTGTGTGTGTGTGTGTGTGTGTGTGTGTGTGTGTGGGTGTGTGTGTGTCTGTGTCTGTGTCTGTGTCTGTGTCTGTGTCTGTGTCTGTGTCTGTGTCTGTGTCTGTGTCTGTGTCTGTGTCTGTGTGTGTGTGTCTCTCATTTCTGGGGATGTTCCTTTCTTTCGGCTTCCCTTTAAAAAAAAAAAAACGCCAGAAGACGGGGGCCCCTGTAACAAAAAGACACACCCCACAGGGGCCGGGCCAAACCGCCCTCGAGCCGACAGTCCACTTCACTTCCATGCGCGTGGCGGCGTGGCTCGCACCCCGCTTGGAGGAAACAACAAAGAAATCTGAGTGTGGGTTCTTTCTCACTCCGTTAGTCTCAGTTGCCCAAAGGACCCAAAACTAAAAGGTTAACCTTTTGGCACCTCTACTAAAAACGTACCAAAATGGGAAAACGAAAAGGTCAAAAGGTCGGCTTTGGACAACTGAGTAGTTCCTGAACTTTAGTATCTTTTGGGGGTTGGACCATTTTGGTGGCACGCATAAAATCCTGGCATTTCTTGCTTCACAACCACATGTGAACCTCTCTTGGGGAGTACTGAACATTTTGGAAAAACAACAACACCCACAGGGTTCTCTATACTTGCCCAGAAAAAACATCAGCTGGGTCAAGATGTTCTCGTATGGGCCAATACATCGCGAAGCCTGACTCATGGCCCATTCCAAGAAGTCTTTCGAGACATGTGGCGCAGCAAACAGGGCCACTCCTCCCCCCCCCCCCGCACTGCAGCAGGGTAGCTTGAGTAGAAGCCTGAGCTCGGGCTCTGGCATGATGCAACCAGTGACGCGGAGCTAGGAAACCAAGTGGAACCCATGCTTTGTGGGGGTGATTTCATGTAGAGCCACCAAAAAGTTGAAAATCGAAGTGCTGAAGTGGGAAGTGACACCGGGGTGAAAGTTGGGGCAACCCCTGTGGTTAAGCCAACAAACTTGACTAAATTGATGAAGAGAGCTCTCAAGAGTTGGATGTGATCACACATGCTTCCAAGCCACCGTAGGTCCGCAGAAACCGTCCATGGGAAAAAAAAGCCGAGAGGTAAACTCCGAGACCTATCGTCACTTTATCAAAGGACCTGGAGATACCTATCGGCAATCACCATTTGGAACCTTGACATTGAGTAAACATGGACCAAAACAGCGAAAACAGAACTGGGCCCATTATTTCACCATTCTCAAAATCACACCCTGTGCAGCGTCATGCCCCCTCAAAACACTCAAAATGATGACCCCGGCACAAGGTCAGAATGTCGATTCGCTTTAGGCAAGTGAGTTGTGCCTGTGCATGGGGCAGCGGTCGTTGCGCTCCACAATCCCCGCGCGCCGTATGGCATTTGGGACACGCAGCCATCTTTGAACGGGAGGATCCCGATCGCCCAGTAGAACATGGACCTGAGTCGACACCCGTATGCATCTTCGACCGGCCAGCACAAGCAAACGCACACCGATTCGATGTCCTTTCTTTCAGCTTGGGCTCGTTGCGCCGATGGCCCACTGCTTGTCTCTGGCGATGTAGTCATCTGCCAGCAAGTTCTAGTAGCTTGTCCATGCTTTGATGGGATCATTCTTCCAAAAGACACAAAACACCAATCCAACATGGTCAGCTTTAAAAACAAAACGATGGTTGTGAAAGGAGTCGGGAATCGGCCCATAGGCCATAGAAAGGTGCCAAGCAGCCCACGTGGGCAAGCAGAAACAGAACAGTGCAGGATGGACAGCTCGGCCAATTCAAACGACAAAACATAAATAGGCGGATGCAAGCACAGCCTCTAAAGCTGGCGCAAGCGCTGACATCGGCACGACTAAACAACAACCCATCATGGCGCTAGTGCGCTTCATTTTATATTGTGTATGATTGCACCCAAGCGAATGCGCGCGCCAGTGTGTGCGCCAGTGTGTGTGTGTGTGTAAGTGTGTGTGTGTGTAAGTGTGTGTGTGTGTGTAAGTGTGTAAGTGTGTAAGTGTGTAAGTGTGTAAGTGTGCAAGTGTGTAAGTGTGTAAGTGTGTAAGTGTCTGTGTGTGTGTGTTTGGTATTGTTTGTTCCTTCCATACTTTTGGTTCTCTCCTATTCATGTTCTTGCATTATTTCACTTGTTGTATGTTCATGTTTCTGCTTCCGTGTGTCTTTTTGCTTTGTTTTCTTTTGCTTTGCTGTAGTTTGTCGTGTTTTGCTGTGCTTTGTTTCGCTTTGTCTGGCTTGGTTTGGCTTGTTTGTTAGTTGTCGTGCTTGTTTGTTTGTATGTTTGTAATCGTTGGTTGGGAAGGGTCTGTGTTCGTGTGTGCGCGTCACACAACCCAATGTTCTGATAGAACCACTGTGTCCATTCCATTCCGCAGCTTGGGAACGGCCCAAGCACTGCCAATTACATCATCCCGCCTGTTGCACGTGCATTGGTCACTGCTGGGTAGGCCGAAGCTGACAGCACATCGTAGGGGTACGGCATGCAGTACCTGACGCACGCGTGCCCACATTTTTTTAAGCAAATCCGATCCCTAATGTTGATCCTAGAATAAATAAACCCGTCCTATACAGAAGGCGGGGTTCCCCTCCAAAAGTGATGGATCCCCAGCAAAAAGGGGACACCCCCCTTCCAAATCGACCCAGCGGTCCTGCTGAACATGCACACTTGCCCCAGAAAAAACCTGGAAATAAGAGACTTGCCTGTTTGGACCTGTAGCTAGGGTCATCGGAAGCAAAGGTTCAAATTTGGCTCCCCTTTTGGCTTCAAAGACGCGATGGTGGGCCCCAAACGCACTTAGGTCAACCTACGGGGCGTCCTTGTGTACGTTCCATCATGTTCCATCGAAATGTGCAGGGGAGTCTGCAGCGCCCAACTTGCAGGCAGCTCTTTAGACACGTCTGATGCGCCATATGGACGAGGGCAAAGCTCATTTATTGCGATACTAGTGTGCTTGAATCACCCAAGCAAGTGGAAAACTACAAACGTGAACATATGGGGAAACACAAGGGAACCCAGGATTGCTCATCAAAAACCCTTGGCTGAGTAATTCATAAGGGTGTCATGTGCAAAAGGGGATCCTTCACATTTGGGGTGGGAAACACCCCCACTGTCCCAATAAACTACCAGCTTGATTCTACTTGGCCGCCTTTGGATGGCTAGGTTTGCTGGGTTGCGACCTTTGTCACCAAACATATACCCAAACAAAGGCAGCCAACATAGTGGGTCTTCCTTTGTCCCTTTGGGCCAAACTGGAAAGAGCTCCAAAACTTGGCCCCCTTGCATCCCGCCAAGCACAGTGATGCACTCCGAAACGCATCCCAGGAACTGTGGTTTTTACCTAAGGCTTGCCATCCGAATTGGGTCCTTGCCTTTCCTTTCATGGGGGCAAGGAACCCCAGGGCTTCATGTACCACTATGTTCAAACCCCAAACAAATCCAGTCCCGGAACTCCTTGGAAGTGAGTATCAGATACAATTGCTTTGGCTCAGCCAGGGCCCGTGAGTTGGAAAAGACCCAAACCCTCACTTCAGTGGATTGGCCAAAGAAGAAAAACATCAAGTAACCATGTTTTTGAGGACCATCACTTGGTTGCTGTTGACCCCCCTGCAAAAAGCTTAACTTTTTGGGGGTTTAGTGGAAAACACCTATATTTCCCAAAAAAGTTAAAGTCTAAAGATCCAACCCAATAGCGGTCAAGATCATGGCCTTCGCTGGTTTCTTCTGCCCCAGAAACCAAACCAACACCATTTAGGACCTGATCATGGCTTTCCCTCGTGTTCTTCTTCACCCCCGCATCTTTGCGAGCTCGCCCTCAAAAACTGCGGCAGCTGCGGCACGTTGCCTTCCATTTGCTTAAGCCCCCTGGGAAAAAATAAAGAAATATGTCTAGTCGTGAAATCGATTCCTTTTAAAACGATTCCCTTTAAGCCGATTCCCTTTAAAACCAACAGGTAGAGGTGTTTTTTGTTTTACCAGACCTAGTATAATAATAATAATCATAATAATAATAACACTAGCTTCAAACCAACCAGGGGAAAAAGAAAAAGACAAAAACACATCTTAAGCAACTGGAAGTTACCCGCCCCGAAAGCGGAAGCGCGCCGGGCCGAGGGGTCACTGGACGGTGCGGTTGCTGCTGGCGGCGCCCACCGCCATGCCGCGCAGCCACTCGTCGGCCAGCGACACGTTGCTCTGCAGCGCCTGCTTTATGCTATTATCTATATATATATATATACGTACCCCCTACACCCAATACCCACGTTTTTCAGGGTATGATGTCGACCCTCTACTAAAAAAGGAGGTATTTGGAGTGGGGGGTATGTATTTGTCTCCTTCTCTTTAACAAACATATGTGTACATATTTATATAAATACATCTATTTATAGATGTATATGTGTTTTTTTCGCAATAATTGTTCTTGTTGTTTGCTTTTTCGTGTGGATCTTCGGGTTCTTGGAGCAGCTGGCATTGACTCCACTTGCTGGTTCGATAGGTACTGAGACATGGAATGACCCCGATCTAAACCATCTTGTTGTGGCTTCCTTTGAGGGAGTCCCTAGGTTCATTCCCAAAGCCAGGGTCATTCCCTACTGAGCACCAGCAAGTCAAGTGGATGAGAACCACCCCAAAAATTGGCCGTTCTCCTTTGGTGTTCCTTTCAGCTATGGCTTCGTGTTGAGCAAACAAGTGGAGCCAAAAAGGAGCAAACATGGACGTCCCGCTAGTGAGCCAGTGCTTTGAAGGTCCAGGTTTCTATACGCCTTACTAAAAACAAACAACAGCAACTCCATTTCTGAGGCTTTCTTGGGGCGTTGGTTCCCTTCCCTACGCATCGAATCGCGTTGGCCCAAAGCAAACCATGGGTGGTGCGTTGGCCGCTTGTGACTTGACCATGAATCACCGGAACGTGCGTTTTTTCCCACAAACAAAATGCGAGGACGGTTCCTTTGATTCCCATTTTGCACCAACTAAAAACAGGTACCAACTCCAAAAAACGACAACCATGTGGCATAGTCTTGGGGCCCCTGTTTCAAGCGGGGTCGGTTGTCATCCACTTGAGGGGAATCGATTTCACGACTGGACATCGTTTTCTCAATTTTTCCACCGGCTGCCATGACAAAAGATAAGCCAACTAAAGGGTCTGATCGGGACCGTGAGATGACCTTCTTGAGGTCGATCCAGGTAGTGGACTCCTCTTGGAGGTTTTCTCCAAAAACGAGCAGCGGGAAGAGCTCCCATTCCGTCTGAGACGCAACCCCATTGGCCCCCCCGTTACGGCCATCCACGTTGGCTTGGCTTGGCATCTCAACTTGTGCAAGTTGCAATGTGCCAGACTTGGCGAGGCCATGAAACTCTGTGAAGGGAAGTCAAAGCTTTTAAAGGGACAAAAGAAATGCAGCGGTGTAAGCGCGTCTTAGACAGGAGTCCTTAAAATGCATTGTTGATAAACAGGTCATGTGCCAATTCTACCTTTAGCTTTCGGGATCAGTCTGCTTAGGAAGGTGGCATATCCAAACGTTCAAGTGGCGCGTTTCGCGCCATTGTCTCCGTCGACCAAAGCGAATCTGACCTTTCCATCTTTGTTGAATCGTGCTTTGACAGCTATTGTTGTACTGAACAACCTGGTGATGGCTTCTCTTTTGATAGATTCACTATTCAACTGTGTTTAGACACCTGTTGTTTCCCCGCACTCTCCTCACTGTTGAATAAATAATATTTTTGCTGATTTTGTGAATTCACTGTTTAGCTGAGTCGTGTTTAGACACCTACTGTGTAAACAAACTTCTTTGGCTTCCCATTTGCTCACCTCCTGAGTTGACTGGCCAAAAAAGTCCAAACTTTTTGTTTGCCACTAACATGGTCTTCCCAAACAGTTTAAAGTCCTGGAGCTTGTTGGGAGTGAGTTTAAGAGGGCCATAGTCCATTCGGCTGTGGGTCAGACAAAAAGGTGCTCAAAATGGAACCCCGGTACATGGAAACATGGACCAAAACCTGCGGTCCCCGGGTGGTTTCATTTTAACCCATACCCATTCCTTTTTGGGCCACCGCTAAAATAAAGGGAGAGCCACCAAGGGAAAAAAAAAAGTGTGTCCACTGGCTGGGTGAGCCAAAAAGTTGTTTAAGTCCAACGAGTTTTTAAGAGGCCCATAGTCCATTCCCTTCTTTTTCTCGCCCAATGCCCATCATCCCGAATTCGGACTTTTCTTCTGTAGTCTACTTTAGTAGGGAAAGACTTCGCCCTTCGCCTCCACGGTGTCGTACTCCGTGCCTGAAGCGTTCGGTGGACCGGTGAACCCGAACGGCTCGAAGGAAAGTCCAGTGTGTAGGTTCGCTGGAAACCATCGAAACTGGTGCAAGACACACCGAACAAGGGGAAAAATGGATTAGCCCCCTTCAAAGGTTGCCAGAAACTGCCACCTTTGGAGGTTCCAACAACGGAAGTGGCGGAATTCCGTGTTTTGGGTGTTCTTTTTTTGGATTCCCTTTGGGCACGCATAGAACCCAGTTCAGTGACCCGAAGGGTAGGGCTTTTTTTTGGGGGGCGGGTTGACCAGCGGCTACATCCGGCACGTCCAGAATCGATGCAGGCTCCATCGGAGGGGGACGGGGGGTCCGCAGGACCCCAATTCTATGCGTTGCCCTGGGCCCCACTCCAAAACCACGAGGTAAACCAGGGCAACCTCTTTCTGGCAAAAAAAACAACCGAAAAAAGGACACCTACCATTTCCCTACTCCAAATACCCGGCCGCTTTTTTCAGTTGGCATTTTTGATGGGAAAACCGATGGGTTTTCCAGGGTAAACAGTAGAGGGTCGACATCGTGCCCTGAAAAAAGGTGGTATTGGGTGTAGGGGGTAAATGGACATCTCCAGCTCCCCTCCCAAAGAAGCTCCGATTTCCCAAGAGTGATGCTGGGGACTGCGGGTTGGGCCCAAGCCTTGGCTTGGTGTCGAAGAGATGTGTCAGGTTCCAGTTCCTGGATTTGATTTCAACAGGAAGGCCAAGCAAAGAACCCCAGGAGTTGGAATTGTGTGCCGCGTATCCACGAACCACTTACCAGTTCCTTCCAGGGATCCTAACCTTTCCAAGCAAAAAAGGAAGGGCACGGCTGGGTTCAAAAAGGTACCACGGTTGAGCAGGATTTTCTAAAAAATCGAACTCCCCGTAACATGTCCCAACAGAAGTCGTTTCAAGCCCACATGAGTCGTATACAACACCTGGCATTAAAATGGTGTCTACCCGGCAGGGGTGTCTTTTCGCCACCTTTGGGAGAAAATGGGCGACTTTCCCTCAAAAAGGAATCCTTCACTACGAGGATTTCGATCATTTTTCCCACGCAAGGTGGCAAAAAGACCCCCCTGATACCCAGAGCCGCAGGCGGCAAAGGCACCAAGGGGTGGGACTCGACGAACCTTCATCTGCCCGAATCAGTTTTCAGCAAGTGGCTCATTTCTCTTCTTGCAGGGATGCGGATGCAGTATACACCTGAACATTGCAACTTGTAAATGGTGGTTTCCCCTTTCGGTGGAAGAAGCAACATGTTTCAAATGGTTGCAACATGAATTTCTTTTAAGGAGCCCTGTCTTGCTTTCCCTGCACCTATCGCCTCCGGCCCCCGAACCCCCCTTCGATTGGCCGGCTTGGGCCATTGGGGAGCCGGGCACATCCAGTCCTGCTCGTACATCGCCAGGCCCCAGCCCTCCTGCTGCGTGAAGAACCACCTGACCAAAGCCCATCCCATCGCACCCCGACACCGCTTCCTTGGTTTTGAGGAGGCTGGCTCGTGCCTTTCTTTTCTTGAGGGGGTACCCTTTTCTCGGTCTTGCAAAGGGAAACCACAAGGAAAACCAATTTCTTGGAGGGCCAAAAAACACAAGCACTCATGCAGGCTAGGAAGGATAGCTAGTCCCAACCGAAACAAAATGCTGCGGATATCCACCTGCGGACAACTCGTTACATGGTTTTGGGTCGACTTTGGTACCGATCGGATTTGGGTATGTCTCACCTGGCTTGGCGGCAGGGTTGCGATTAACCCGAGCTAAGTTGTCAAAGGGTTGCGGAGGAACCACTGCGATGACTGGCTAGCAAAAAGTGACAAAACTTGTCGCTAAAACATGGCAACTAAACATTTGGGCTGTCCACAGATCTCCGCTTAAATGGACACCATACCACTAAACAACCCAAAAAGCTTTGAAGAGCTAAGGAACCGGATGGCTGGGAGGCAAGAAACCTGCTGAGAAACTGAGCAGGTAAGGATCCTAATTTTCCCTTTCCTGGAGCCCAACAAACAGTTCAAAGTGTCTTCCCCACAGCTCCAGGCAACTTGGGGGAGCGAATCCTGGAAGGAAACCAATGGATTCACATCTCCCTTCTGGCCACCATGGGCCATTACTTGTGGTGTAGGGATAACATCCCTGCACGCCCATCAACCATCTCAGGGACTCAGTGATCCCCAAAAAACGCGCACTGGAACCGCAGCTCCCTCCAGGCGCCCACTGTAATAGTAACAGCATGTTTGGATACCCCAGCTCCATTAACTGCTCCCTTCCAACCAGCTAGGAGACCCTGAAAAGGTCGATTCGGTTCTGCCGTCGACTTCACCAACGCCCCGCCTGAAGAATGCCTCCGGATCTTGCGGCACCGCGGCCTTTTTCGAGGCGTACCACTTGAAGGGCTCATGCCTCATCCGAAAAGCCGCTCATCGCGTCGTCCCATCCCCGGAATCTCCAACAACTATGGGAAGGGGAATCCCGGATTCAGAAACCAATCCCATGGCGGGATGGCACCCAAGTGATCAGGATTCCCAAAAAAAAAAACAAGTGGGCACCCCATCTCTCAAAATCAACCTGGCGGTCTGCTCAATCCGGGGTGAAAACGTCAACTTGGCCCTTGGTTCGCCCATGTTCGCCCCCCCAAAAAAAACAAGGAAGCAACATAGTGACGGAACTGCCGGGGAGAAGCTATTTCGGTGTCTAACCAACATCAGGTGAGTAAGTTACAACACCTGCAATACACTTACTCCAAAGTATAACATGGGTACAAGCTGCTTACCTGACGTTGGCTGAGCACCCAAGTGTTGCATTCTGCCCGTCTCTAGCTCAGACGCTTGATGTAGTCCGAGGCAGGCGACCACTGGCGATTGTGCATCCTCGGCTGTCCGACGCCATCAAGCAACAAGCCTTCCACTCGTAGAAAGACTAAAAGGAAAACATGAGCACCCCCCCCCCCAAAAAAAAAAAACACAAGTGCAATGCGTCCCTTCTTGGCCAGCTGGAATATCATGCCTGTTGACCATTTAGTTGCGGTGGGTTCCTGCATGTTGGCCGTTTTCATGTGTGGTGGGGTGAAGCCAACAAAAAGAAACAGTGGAAGAGTCATGGCAACCGGAGTGAAGAACAGCCACTTCAACCGGCCCGTTGCCTCAAAGTTGGATCCAATCGGTTGAGCCAACCCAAAAAAGGACAGACCTTTTGCTCAGTTGCCCCTGAGGGACCTGGGACTAAAAGGTGATCACCTTTTGGGTTGCCATGACTAAAAATGGGAACCCAAAATGGGAAAACCAAAAGGTGAAAAGGTCGATTCGCTTTGGACAACTGAGTTTTGGCCCCTGGACATTTCAGTTAGGACCTGCGAACTCTGTGGCTGTCTCCAGCGCAACAAACTTAACTCGTTGCTTTGTGGGCAAGGCACGTGCGACCCCCACACCCCGAAAGAAAAACAATTGGCTCCAGGCCCGAGGCCCGCGGGTCGTCCGAGGGCTGAAAAAACACCAAGGCGAATTCGGATATCGAAGGCTACGCGCCCAACATCGGCGTTCCAAACTGAGCCTACCCCGGATCCAGAAAAAGAAGAAGAAAAAAAACAACTTGACACGTCGCCAGTCTGCCAAGAGTCACCATGGGCACTTGGAGCTGCGACTGGATGTAAGCCATACCCCGCGGGAACACCGAGGCCAGCGCTGTCCTGGCACCAGAAGCAACGAAGGCCGAGCCGAAGGCTACCGGTCGACTTGCCCAGAGGGTCCTCAGTACCACAGAGGCTTTTAAGGGGATTCGTCAATTACGGATTCCTGAAATCCGTAAGTATGAGGTACTTGGACTCTCTGGATTGGAGTAAAGGAAACCTTAGGGGCCAAAAGATGTTGAGGTGCCAAAAGCGAGAGAGAGAGAGAAAAAAACAGATGTATATTTATTTATATATATATATATTGTTGTATATGTATACGTCCCTCCAAAAGCATCTTATAGTTGGGTGTGCGTCCTAGGGTAAATGACACTTCATGGGTAAAAATATGTGGTGCCAACAAAGAGATATGCCCTCCTCCACGTTGCCATGGAACCTGGCATTTCGGAGTCCTGGTGTGGAACGCATGCTCCTTTTAAAGGGACTGAGCCTCTGGTGGGTTCCATGGCAACGCGTGTCTGGGGAGGGATCTCGGCCATTTGTGGGGAGTCTAGCGCGGGAGAATCCCAAAAAAGAAGTAGGAACCCTCGTGTCGGCAGATCCTTTCTGCATTCCTTCCTTCTAGTTAAGGCCCCAGGAAAAAATACACATGCTTCCAGTAGTGATGAATTCTTTTAAAACCCAGCAAGGGAAAATGAACATTTTTTTGAGCAAATGGAGGATTCAGTGAAACTCTCGCTCCGCGCCGCCCACTCCACCGCTTGTCGCTCTCCCTCGGTCCAGTTCACCACCGCACCGCCGCCGCCGCCGGGGTCCACGGAGCCGTCCTTGGGGTAGAACCAGGAATCAAACCTCAGTCAGCTCCACCTAGGTCCTCCAGTAGAGACCTGGTTTGACATCATTTTGACCTTTTGGTTCACTAGATCCTCCAGATTTGAGAGGTTTGAATAAAGGTATTATTTTTCCGGTCTTGTCTATTTTAGTAGGGGAACCCTCCCCAAAAAAGGGTAGAAGGGCACTACTGGAGCTAGTCCACTCTAACACGGACTGGATTTCCCGGAGTCAAAAGCTAAAAGTCGATCCATTTCCTGGTGGTTTCCATTGAAACGCTCGCCACTTTTGCTGGTCGCACAAAGGGAAATGGGGGGAGATTGTCCGGCGGCTTCCCAGAAAAGCCTCAAGAACCAGAGGTTCAAGACCATCCCCACCGGAGTATCAACTTCACACTCACCCATGGGGAGGCTTCTCCCTTGCCACCAAGATGGTCTTAACAAACAGCTTGAAGTCCATAAACACAGGGTAAGTGGTCTGCCATCGTTTGAGTTGGTGCCCGGTATTTGGTTCGTTTTAAAGGCGAGCCAAAAGGAACACCGCCAGTTGGTTGCGGGGCGTCCCCTGTAAGAACGCACACGCCGAAATATACCCTAATGGGTGCTAATCCAAACCACCACTTCAAGACTATAGACTTTTGTTGGGTGCCATTTTACCAGCACCAAACTTGGTGGGTTGTCCTTTTGGCTTCCATCTAAAACGGCCAAACAAACAGGTACCCTCGAAGGAAAAACCACACCGTTTCTCAGCCGCCCCGGGCCCCCGCGTGAGAACCCACAAAAACAAGGTGACCACTTGTTGGGGCCACTAACAAATGGAAACCCATCAAACCCCCAAAGGGTCCTAAGTACAACATACTGTGGATGGGACGAAATCCTGCACTACTTTGAAGCATGGGAAGCCATATCGTTTGTTGGTATTTGCATGGGAATCATACTTTCAAACCTTCTCAGGTGGTGCAGGATTTCGTCCACCCACAGTAGTTAAGGCTTTGGCTTTTCAAGGAGATTCGTCAATTACAGATACCTCAAATCCGTAAATATGAGGTTCTTGGGCCTTCTGGGAACGTGGAAACTAAAAGGTCGACAGGTCCCGGGCCCCGCGAGGCAACACCACAGCCCTTCGATGAAGCCCGAGGCGCTGCCAGTGCTTGAAGGGCACCCCCAAAGAGTCGTGATACGCCTCGCGGAGTCGCGGCTTCTCCGCGCGTCCAGCCTTTTTTTGTTGTTGAGGGAACTCAAAGGAAAGCGAAATCCCCCCAACCGATAGAGGGGAGGGGTGTGGTGAAAAGGTCAAATTCCATCTATGTTGTCTTCCCCATAACAGGGAACATGGAACCATAAATGGAATTCCAGGAGTCACCCCCCCCCCAGTCCACTTTTAAAGGGGTGGGCATCTGCGGAATTCTGCGCCAAAGAAAAGAAAACCAGGTCGTATTTTGGGTGCTTTCTGATTGGCGTTCCGTTCTCCATGTTTTTTTTTCTCGAAACAGATTCTAATCCATGAGGAGGGGTGTCCCCTTTACCCTCATCAAAAGCCAGGGGTTCAAATCCCCAAACCAGCAATCCAAACCACCAACCAAGGGCTACCCGAACATACCCAGGAGTTGAACATTACGGGGGTCTCGGATGGGTCAGGGTTTGCTTGTCGGCGGTCGGATCCTCTAAGTCTGGTTGCCCGTGGAAACAGCCCCAAGGTGCATCCGCGCCAAACTTGGCACCTCTGGGATACACAAACAGCAATCAGATTCCGTTTCGCATGTAGCCTACCCCAACATCTAAGCGGGTGGCATTTGGGCAAGCCACAAAGTAGCTCCCTTTTGGGATCAAAGGACAACCCATGGGGAACAAAGCGAAGAAATGCAGGTCAACCGCATATGCGCCGTCAAACATATGGTTGCCATGAGGGTCGTGAGCCGTGTGAAGGCCCTCCCAAAGTGACCACAGACTCATGGCTCTGGGGTTTGTCTCAAAGAAGACGAAAATTGCCGCTGCTCCTTTCTGTTCCCTTTTTCAAGATTCTTGCTTCCCGAGTGCAGACCCTGGAAATTGCCGGTGTTCCTTTTGTTCCCTTTCTTGCTTCCCGAGTGCATTGGCTAAAACAAGAAAACCCAAACTGGTTGTTTGCCACTTGGCTCAAACCCAAAAAGCGACTAAACTCCAAAAGGGAACGTGAGCCGAGTTGAAGCCGCGCACAAGGTGAAACAAAACCACCGACCTATATCTAGGTCCTCCAGTAGAGAGGTTAGAATAAGGGCACCTTTTATTTTTCCGGTTTTGTCTATTTGAGTAGGGGAACCCTCCCCCAGAAAAGGGTAAAAGGGCACTACTGGGGGACCTGGATGTATTAGAACCAAACTCCAACTCACAAAGTAGACGTGCCATGATGGACCCGCGCCGGCCTTCACCTTTGGCAGCACTTCCTCATATGTGGCGTTGCTGCCGGTGGCATAATGATAGTAGCCTCAGAAAGAAAGGAAACATGCTCCCCTGAATGACATTGCAATATGTCGTCGGCATTTAGCATGACGCCTGTTGGCCTTGCCTATGATGTTGAACATTGCGTGATATGCGAGCCTTGCTTATGCCGACTTGCAATGTGTTTTTTCCTACCGTCAGGCATCTTCACCCCTGGATAATGGAAGGAAAACCATCTGAATCTAAACCAGTGCGCAACCAAACTAACCCAAGAAGGATACTGATGAACGGCACACACACCCAAGTCACCACACCTTTCTCTATCCCAGAAAACTTTGGCACCCAACACGCGCTCCCCGCTTCGTTTCGCACGCTCTCGTCAGGAAATTTGAGAATCGATTTGTGGGGGCACATCTGCGGAAGAAGCCTTCGGTTTGTGTCGCTCTCGGGTTCTCGAGCTCACTTGAAAAAGAAAAAACACACAACAACTCCTGACTTGCCGAGTGGATGGCCCAAAAAAAGACCGAACTTTTATATTTACCACTAAAATGGTCTTCCCAAACAGTTTAAAGTTCACGAACTCGAGAAGTGAGACGAGGCTGGCCCAAAAAGTAGCGGCCGGATAAAAAGGACACTTCAGAACGCAGCGGAACATGAAAGGCAGTTCAAAACGCGAGGTTTTGGAAATGAAAGGTGTTGGTTCGCCAAACTTGACCAGAAGCAGAGGTGGGTTTAGAGCCCGGACTTCCAACCCAGCAAACAGCACAGGCAACAATTGCGTGCTGGATATCCTTGAAACTTGGGTCCCTACCTCTACTGTATGTGGGGTGTCTTTTTCGACGGTACCCGTTTTAGTGGTTTTGAAGGGAAACCAAAAGGGAATCCCACCACCCATACAACTGTTAAGATTCCATGGACGCAATCCACAAGCACAAAGGGCAAACATGTCTTTTCCGTTGGCCTCCGTCCAGTTTCTTCAGGTAGTCCGTTTTAGGACAACACCTGGTTGTTGTTGACCCTCGGCAAGAAGTTGAACTTTTTGAAGGTCTAATGCAGAATCCACTGCTTCCCAAAAAGTTCAAGTCCAAAGATCCACATGGTTGAGCCAAAGGACAGGCCCGTCCCCCATGGATTTCTGGGGAACTTAAGCTGCCCGATGTGCCCGAGCCTCCCGCTCCCCCAATCAGTGACGACTTATTTTTCGAGAAAATCATACTGCAAATGAACGAATCCGTTCGCACCACTGTTCAGGAAGTCTGTTTTCTGATAATTCCCCTGCAAATACCAACAAACAATGGTTTCGCATGGTTTCAAAGTGGTGCAGGATTGCGTTCATTCACAGTTTTTCCAACTCCCGACCCCGATCGATAGAAATGGAACCCATATGATTGTGTAAACTACCTCGGGGTTCAAGACAATCCCCAGCCAAGTGACAACGCTTGGCATGGCTTGGCAAAAAGATGACTGTTGATTGCAGCCCCCCCACAAAAAATGAACAGAACCAACAACACTGAAGGTGGCTAAATAATTCTCAACTTTGTGTCTACCAATCAAATGGTCCAAACCCCAAAAAGGTAAAAACAAGTACAGCATGCATCTCTTGAGTTGCTCGCTAAGCGCCCCGGGCAAAAGATCTCTCAGCTGAGGGTCGGTTGTTGCCTAGAGGTCAAGCCGGGGCATGCCTAGAGGTCACACCAAAGACCAGCCATGAATGCTGACCCCAGAGTAGTCAACCCCCCTCTTACTGTGGATGGACGACATCCTGCAGCACTTTGAAACCATGAGAAACCTTGTTTGTTGATATATATCAGGGAATCATCATTCCAGGCTTTCTTAGGTGGTGCAGGATTTTGTCCATCCACAGTATTACTATATTACAAAAGGGGGGGTCCCTGTTTAGTAGGGAGTTCTTTCTTCCAGAAAAAAAACCCTTGATGAATCACTGGTTGGGGGCGGGGGCGGGTTAGATTATTCAGGCGCCACCTTATGGGGCGAAACCCACACAATGAGAACAAGAAAGCCAAGGCGCCACCGTTGTCCGTCCAGAAGCCAATGCTGCCGACCACATCGTCTCCTCAACGCATTGGATTTGTCTCCGCCGAACCCTTGAAAGGTGGATCCCCGACTTTCAGTCAGGTTCTCTCCCCCCTAAACCAAAAAACGAAATCAAAAGGATCCACCCCCAGTCCCCTGTCACCAACCGACTTGTGTGTAGCTACCCCTTTGGAAAGAGGTTTTGAGATAGCATTTAGGGGCAATGTGCCCAAGGGGCCCATGTCATTGAACGCAGCTGGGCAAATCCCAATAGATAAGTGTCAAGGATGACCCGTATTGGCCCAAGGCATGGTGAATCCAGCTTCTTGCAGGGCTGTGGGATATGGAATCCACTGTGATACAACAGAAGGGGCATAACCCCAAGACTACATTACCCCCCCCATTTTGAGAGGGGGAGATTCCCTGGTGGATATACCCCTTGATTCCCCCCACGAAAGTGACTAAACTCTATGAACTCGTTTAAAGTGAATCTCTATTGAGGGTGTCTTTACAATCCCTATTGATGCCCTGCTTCTGGGGATATTGCCCCATCCGCAAAACCGCAACCCTGGCTTCTCGCTTCTGAGCCAGGCGTCGGTACATGTCGGCCCGCGGCTTCCCCGTGAACTTCAGCACGTGGTCGCCCCACGCCATCATCCCTCGGGTCTGGGGTCATGGTCGCGAGTGGGGTCCCCTCCAACACTATCTCTTGGTTGACACTTTTGGGCACCTGGAGTCTCCATGACCCTGGAAAACGAAATTCCAGAACTTGAGCAAGCATTGGATCCTCAAGTAAAAGAGCTACGTCGTGGCTTTTGCTCGTTTCACCCCCCGAATCGGTGGAATCGCTGGAAACCCGTAACACTGCGCCAGACGTGGACCTTTCGGCTGGCTGAAATGGAGATGATGGGACAACCAAACAGGAAGACCATCTGAAATACAAAGCTAAGTCTGCAATGGTCTGGAAATAAGAACCTCATGAAACCCATGGGGCCAGGCCGAACAAACTGAAAGGGTAAGTCAAGTCTAGCAGGGTGCGGCTCAAACAAAGGGGTCGAAACTGGTTTTCGCGGGCGCCATCCGGGACAGTACACTAAAACCTTCTCCCCTCGGCGGTTTTTTTTGGGGCCGCCGGGCCCCTGGGTTTCGGGTTTTGTTCGGACGGCAAGGCGCCATCCAGGATCCCCTTCCCCGCGGAGAGCACAAAGCGCTGGCGCCAGCCCGCAGGGATTTGGGTCACCGTGCCTTTGACCCCGGCGCCCACCAAACCGTCCCCCGCCTCAGCAACTGGGCGACGGTTTGACGAAAATGCTCGACACGGAAAAAGAAAGGGGGCAACGTTGGACCATGGCATGGGAGAAAAACGGGGGAAAACAAGATCAGAGAGAAAGACTCAGAAACAAATCAATAAAGTGAAGAAAGTTAATAAAAAAAGAGACTAGAACGATGAGAAAGACAGACATAACAAACGAAGGCACAAGTAAACATGGCACCCACAAAGATGCTGCCTAAGACGGAAACTCCTCTAAGAGGGTGTTCGATCAGCTTGTTTGTTTGTGTAGATTTGGCTTGTATGCCTGCCTCTGTTTGTCTCTCTTTCTGTCTGTGTAGCGCTGTGTGTCGCTGCTTGCCTCTGTCTGTCTTTGGCTGTCTGTATCTGTTTGTGTCTGTCCGTGTCTGTCTGTCTCTGCCTGTGTCTGTCTGCCTAGGTCTGTCTGGGGGTATCCCGACCGCCAACACCGAAAGGTCAAAAGGTCAATTCCTCATTTCCTGAGTGGGTTGGCCACCAAAGCAACATTTGTTTCAGTGGACCACTAAATGGCCCGAACCCAAAAAGCGACTAAAGCCCAGGAAATCAGGGAGTGAGATTCCCTTTAAGCGACAAAAAGAATCCAAGGACAAAAAACATCCCTGGCAATTTCGCACCTCAAGTGACAGCCAGGTGACCCTGCTAAAAGCAGCAACACTCCTGGCAATGTCGCATCTCAAGTCCTGCCGCTCTTAGTGGGCCCCAAATATACCTACATATATAATATGTAGATACACATATATATATATATATACCTGGACCTTCCGACATGTAAAATTAGCGCCGTTTCCCCAAACAGCAATACATTTTGCCGGTTGCTGAAAAACGCTCTTTCGGAGAAAAAGCGCTCGCCGTGAGTCCAGCTCATGACCAGGCCAAAAGAACGCCGTTTCACCGGCAAATTACGCCGTTTTGACGGCAAATTACGCCGTTCTGCAATTTTGATTGATGCTAGAGTATGCAAACACTGAAAACTGCCGGCAGGCGAAACTAGCCGCCGCTGGGTCAAAAAACATAGTTTTTGACAAAACAGCAATAATTTTGCACATGTTGGAAGACCCAGGTATGTTTATTTATATATATATATGCATCTACGGAAATTGGCGCCACCGAGCAACTCCTTTCCAAGACAGGCCTCGCCTATTTGCAGCCGAGCATCGAACATGTGTTGCGCCTGCGCTGGTGCAAAGGCAAAAGCGAAGCGGCTGGGTCAATCATTGGACCTCCTTGCGCCCCGAAGTTTGATTCTGCCGCATGTCTTGTGCATCTTGCAATGTAACCTGCAGTACTTTCAAAAGAGACCCCAAGCAACGCTGCCCACCGCACTTCAGGCTTGATTTGGGGGGCTGACGGGAATGACACCGGAATGTGATCCTAGCAAACATACCCCCTCTAAGACCTTTGGTTCATTGAACACTTGTCCATCACCTGCCGGTTTCCCTGTGAACAAAATGAATTTGGCTAGATACCCGCATGCAATCATTGCTTTTGGAGCGCCCTGCGGATTCCGGATACACAAAATCCCACTTAACAGACCCAAAGGACAAAAGCCGCAAAGCGGAGAAATATGAGGAAGCCTAGGTGTTTGAGGTCCTTTGTAAGGCCAACAATGGGCAAGGCTACCCTCAAACAAGAAATTCCACTCATGTCTTGGCGGGTTTTCAGGGGAGACCAAGATGGAACACGTTGTTCTTCTTGTCTTTCTTTTTGCTTGGGGGAAATTCCCTAAAAACCAGCAAACTCATAACATCTCTTCCCAACCCCTGGGACCAACCACGTGCACCGAAAAATGGAGAACACCACAAGACAAAAAGGTAAGCAAAAAAGGGGTGACTCCTTTTCGAATTCCGAGTCAAGGACTTCCAAATTCCAGGCGCTTTTTCTTGATCTTTTTTCCGGCAAAAAACAAGCGCGGCCTGCAAGCAAACCGGTCGTCTCCTGACTTCGTTTTCGAGGCACCCAGGACCCGGACATGTAGAACCCTACGGCTGGTTGCACCGATGTCCCTTTCCCCTCTTTACCTAGTCTCCATGACCCTAAAAAACTGAGGTCATGGACCGATTTTTGAAGGGTCGTGGAGACTCCAGGTACGCCTTGTTTCCTTCCTGCCTCCTTGCTTCAGTTGTCTCTTCTCTTTCTGTGAGACTCCAGGTATGTACCAAAGTCAAGGCCTGTGCAAACCATCATGGAGCCCGAAAAGGGGCTGCCCCAATTTTAAAAGATTACAAAAACATATTTCTGTCTTTTATGGAAAGGGCACTCGGGAGTTATGAGGGTTGCTCCAACCTTCGAGCAACGACCAATCCGTTTTTTGGGGTAGAAAAAGGCAGAAAAAGCGGTCCCGAGTCCGGTTTTTTGGAGCTCCCTTTCCAGTGTCAAGACACATCTGCCTCAACCGAAGGTTTCCCGAACTCCCTTTCCGGTGTCACCCATCTGCCCCACCCACCTCAACCCAAAAAAAAGTCGGTCCGGCCTTGGGCGTGCCGAGCGGGGCGAAGACCGTCATCAAGGACTTCTCGCCCCTGGCCTTCGCCTGGTACAAGACCAGCGGCGCGCCGCCCTGGTGGCTGGGCGCGTAGCTGCTGAGCTTGCCTCACGCGCTTGCGATAGGTCTGGGTGAATCAAATTCTTACCCCTTAAAACTCCAAGCCCTGGGGAAGTTTTCATCTTTTACAGACATTTCTCGCCCATGTTACCCAAAAAGTTGAAAAGCTGTGTTTTTAAGAGGTAAGACATATTTCACCAACCTGAAATAAGGTGGTTGCAGGGCTATTCCCCACGTAAACCACCATTTGGGGTGAGGTCATGTGAGGTCGTGTGAGGTCGTGTGAGGTCGTGTGAGGTCGTTATAATTCACCCAGCATAGGTGTCCTTTCGGAAAACAAAATTGCCCCGGTACATGGAAGAGCAATTTAAGCTTGTGCCATCTATATTTCGCACGCGGATTGGCCAGAAACAGTCTACACATTTACTTTCCCACTAAGATGGTCTGGCCACCAGGAATTCAGGGAGTGAGAATTTCAACCAACCTAAAAAGGACACCTACGGCGCTTGCGCATCTAGTTTGACGGCGACAGGAATCAAACGTCCGATCGAGTGGACCAGCCTAGTCGCTCCACGGCAAGCTTCAAGGCAACAATTCTTGCCCACAAACACGGACACCTTCCCACTTTTGACCCCTGTGCAAAAGTGAGGAACTTGTTGGGTTAAATGCGGAAACCACAATGAATTTCAAGCACACAGTTATAACGTTAGGTTATAAAGTCTAAAGATCCGTTACCCAATAGCCACATTGCATAGAGATGAGGTCGTAATTGGAGGAACAACAACTTGCCATAGGTGTCTCTTTGGAAAAGAAAAAACAAAACATCGATGGGGATTATCTGGTAAACGGAATGAAAACCAATCTAAGCAGTGGGACCCATTTCTGGGAGTAAGAAAGCCTTTGCCCCTCAACCAGCCAGATTATTTGGCTCAAATCTAGAAAACCAAGTTCAAAAATGATCCTCAAACCATTTCCAAGCCAATTTGGTTTTCCAACAACTGTGCTTTAGCAGCCCTTTCAGTTGCTCAAGCTTTTCTGACCGCAAACCGTTCCTGTCACCCCTTCCCAATCAATGGTGTTCCTGTTCATCGCTCCAGTCCTCCAAAATCTTTCCCTCACTTGCTCCTTAGAGACCCAGAATCAAAAGGTAGTCACCTTCTGGCACCTCTACTAAACATGGACCAAATCAGGGAAGCCCAAATTGAACAGGTTAGATCCGGTCCATACACTTTGAGCAACTGAGTCCGAAACTTCCGGGGGAGGGGGGCGGGGAGGCAGCCCAAATCAGCTCTTAAGCCCTTGCTTCCTCGGGTCCTTGGGCTCCCTCCCCTCCCTCCCGCCCACATGAGGGAAAGACGTTCTAGGAAATTCCAGTCCCTTTTTTATGTAGTCCATTTCGGGGAACAAATCCCCAAAGGGTGACTCACTTGCTGAGTGGATGGCCCAAAAAAAGACCAAACTTATATTTACCACTAAAATGGTCTTCCCAAAAAGTTTAAAGTTCACGAACTCAGGAAGTGAGGTTAGAAACTACTGGGGGACGAGTCCCAGCCGATTTGTCCCCTCTCTGCGGGCCACTTTCGAGCCGGCGTGTTGGCACGCGCCCGGCGGACTTGTTTTGTTTTCAATTTTTGCCAAGCAAATCAAATAGGGGTTGCGGGGTTTACACCCAAGCTTCTTTAGGCATTACAGGGAAACGCTATTTATTATACTTGCTTGCCCCTTACGCGAATTCATGGTCCGAGCTGCAGCGGCGCAGGGACGGGAAGACCCCGTGGTAGGCGAAGCAATCCAAATCAGAGGTGCGGAAGGAGGGGAAGAGCGTGGCAGGCGCCTGAGATCTTGGCGTAGGTCGGGGGCCTTTTTTTTTGGAATTTTTCTGCTGTAGGGGGGAGGGGGGGTGGGGGGCCCCAATTAAATTTATCGAGTCTTCCCAGTAAAGGAGAAAATGGAACCAGCAATGGATTTCCAGCATTCACCCCCCTCCCCCAATTCCATCTTTAAGGGGGTGGGGATGTTTTTGGGCTCTCTGCCTTTTGATAGGCTCTGGGGTCGCAAATCGGGAATTGGGGACCCTTCTGGTGGACAATATTCATATGGAGAGATTCCCCTGCAAATGCCAACCAACAATGGTTTCCGTTGGTTTCGAGGTGGTGCAGGGATTTGTCTAGCCGCACCCTCTCCACTCTTAAATGATAAACTGGACAAGTGGACAAAGACAAAGAGATGAGATGCAGTGATGAGAGACATGAATGGATGATAAAATGAGAGGATGGTTCCAGCTTCCATCCCTTTCCATGATACGAGTGAATGGCTAATTTTCTATTCGCAACTTGTCCAAGAAGCGGATGACATGATTCGCAAATTTAATGATTAGCCATGTCCTGTTCTTTCTACTGGACTGACATTTACTTGGTCACTAGACTCTATTGTGGTTGCTTTCATAAACCTATTGTATTCTTTTGTTGCTCTCTGGAACCCCCCGCCACCCGGCCCCCCCCCTTCCGGGAAAGGCAAATCTGAAGCAAAGCCTGGTTGAGGCCAGCTTTTGGCACAAGCAAAACAAATGATCACCTGTCATCGGGATGTACGGAAATCGCAAATCCTAGGTCCTCCAGTAGAGAGGTTAGAATAAGGGTACCTTTTTTTTCTGTAGTCTATTTTAGTAGGGGAACCCTCCCCCAAAAAAAGAAATGGTCAAAGGGCACTACTGGGGGACCTAGAATCGATCTAGTTTCCAGTTTCCATCATCTTCTTGGTGCGATAGGGAATGTAGGAATCAACCCATCCTTTCTGGTTTTGTCGCAAAAAAATGGGGGGGAACCTACAAAAGGGGGTTTTCCTTTTGGCTTTCCTTCAAAACGCACCCAAAAGGATAGGCCAAAGGACCTTGTAAGGGCCAACATCGGAACAACCTGGGTTGCCAGGGCTTCCCAAGGAAGCCACCAGTTGGATGGGTTGTGCTTGGAATTCCATTTCTCATTCCCTGAGTTTGTCGGGCGGACCGCCCCGTGTCCACTTTGGGGCGCCCCAAAGACCCATGGCTTCCGGCGAAACGGAGAAATGGAAACAGGTCTTCAGCTTCCCTCCAGCTGGTCTGGTGGTTTGAAATTCGGAGGTTTGGAGGTTAGGAGGGTCCTGTCCGTGGTGTCCAATTTACCTACCCTCTACAAAAGGCAGCGGGTCAAATCCAGTGCGCTAGACATGCATTGGACCTCACCCCGCAGGGTTGCGAGGCCTGCCCGATGTGTTTTGTTTTTTCCCTTTTTTTTCCGTTTTTTCCCCCCATTCCACGGGAAGGAGTTCCCTGAGTGGCTGAAGCATCCACCATCCTGTGGCTGGTGCCAAGGGAAGCCTCATTGCTTCATCCTTTGCCCTGACATAACCGACTCACCTTGCCAGAATTATCTCCTTTGCAGCTGTGGCGCTGACATCTTCGTGCCCCAGGGCGCGGCATTCACTGGCAGTGCCTTCGGAAAGTGCTGCCTGGGCCAAGGAATTCGGTCTAATGTTGACCCAGGATTAATAAAGCCTTCCCATTATTAGGGAGGTGTTCCCTCCAAAAGTGATAAATCCCCATTAAAAGGGGCCACCCCCCTATTAATCAACCAGGGGTTTACTAATCCTGAGTTAACATCACGAGGTGAAGCAACTACCTCAGCTTTGGCACCCACCCGCGCCATGTTGATGGGGCCAAACAAGGTCATAAGTTGAAGTCCTCAGTGAAGGTCCCGTCACTGATTCGTCTCCCCCACCCCCCATTCCCCCCCCCCCCCCCCCGCCCGGTATGCGCGGGGTTGAGGCCAACCCCTTGTACAAAGTTAACCGTTTTGTTTGCCGCCGGGGAAATCAACAGCTTCCAACAAATCAAGAAGGTGCCGCACTCCAGTTTCGGCACATCGATCAACCACGCTGATTTTCGCAGAGGCTTCACCAAACCACACAACTAGTTGCCGTTGACACTGCTGACACACCTGCCTATTGGCAGCGGCCCCCCCCCCACTGTACGTTGACACTCCAGTTTTTGAACACAACTCAGAAGGAACGCGCGGGAAAAGACGCTCAGCAGGGCCGTGGGCAACCGCTTCATGTCGCTTCATGGGACCGCCCGAGGCTTGAAAGCATGGCATGGCATGGCAAGCACTTCCGCCACAAAGGAAACACCTGTTTGAGGCCGAGGCCATGTGGCAGTGGCTCAAAACATAGTACCTGGAGTCTCCTTCTGACCTTTTTAAAAATAGGCTACCCCTTTCTTTAGGGTAGTTACCCCATTTTTAAAGCCATAGACGTTAGATGAGGTCGAAACTCATTTTTTATTGCCCAAATCAAAGCAGTTGCTCGACGCCCCCAGGGTCAATCGACAAATCAACCAAAAAATCCAGCCAGTTGTCTTCCTCCAGGTTGAACAGTTGGCTACTCGGCCATGAATTGGAGATCCGGCCGATTCGCCCAAGCCTTGGTGAGATTAAGCATCCGAACCGCTTCGAGGGCTTCCTCCAAGCTGCTCGAAGACCACCAGGGAATCGTCCTCGTAGCCTGAAGGGAGTTGAGCGGCCCGTCTTTTTTTGGGGGTCAAAGCGCATCTTAAATCAATTGGCAATCAGAAGGTGATCTTTAAAACCATCCTCGGGAAATATAGGGAACCTGATCCTGGGAGTGCACGAGCTTTCTAAAGATGGTCTTCCACGGCCCTAGGATTGAGGAGGGATCAAGAGGGTAATGTTGACCCTATTAATTTGGGGGGGGGCCTCTCCTTAACTGGTCTCATTCCCCACTCAACCTAGGGACAGCCCCTTACAAAGTGGGGTTGGTTCATCTGAGGCCAACCGCCAGCAACATCGTCGCTAAACACCTCGCTAAAAAGGGACCCCCAGCCATCGCCAAGCAGCAAGCCAAAGTGAAAGCAGTGGCCCATGTCGCAGTTACCCCTGAAAAGACCCAGAAACAGAGAGGTGCATTCTTTTGGGGCCATGACTAAAACTGGGCGTGCCATTTTTTTTGAGGGTATCCATTGTTAGACGGCTTTAAATGGAAACCAACCAAAAGCGATACCACAATTTTGAGGGATTCCCTAAAACCAGACACCCCCAAATAGACGAAAAAGGGTCACCAAATGGTCGACTCGCTAAATTATGCAGCAAGACGATGCACGTCAAGTAACTCTTCACGGTAGTCTCCATCACCACCTCTGACTCGTTCTGCTTGGTGTGCGCCCATGCAAAGGTCTCGCCGGTGTAGCCTGAAGCATGCGTCTTGGGCGAACTGCCTTAGCCCAATTCCTTTTTTCTAGTCTTCCCCATACAAGGGGTCCCCCCCCTCCTTCAATTCCATTGTTTAGGGGGTGGGGATGTTCAAACAACATGATTCAGCCACAGCTGTTTGGACAGGCACTATTTTTGGTTGCCTGGTTCCAACCCTGATCCCCAACCCTAACTGCGAGCTCAACCCTCAGGCGAAGTGACCCAACAAGTAACAAGTCGAGGAGCTCAGAGAGGGAGTCCCTCATAGTCCTTCCAAACACATGTCTTCGGATTGAAAGGGAAGTCTGGCGCCATGGTTACCCCTTGAAACATCACCCCTACCAAGGGAACCCCACCTCCCCACCTCAAATGGTCCAAAATGACCCACGCGTGATGAGTCAGTGATGGTTTGAAACCACCAAGAGCCAAGGCCCCTCAAAAACAGCATCCCCCCCACCGCAGCAACAATGCCCGATGTAAAAACCAAAAAAAGCCCACAAAAAACCACCTCAAATGGTCCAAAATGACCATCACGGGTGAGCCAAATGTAAAAAAAATAAGAAAAGAGGCCGCCAAAAGCGACCACCTGGGGTCTCCATGACCCTTTAAAATGGGGGTCATGACCCAAAAGATAAGAAAAATGGTTCTTACAGGGTCATGGAGGCTCCAGGTCCAGGGGGGACTCCGCGACGCCAGGGAGCGCCCCAGCGCATCCTGGCTCTGGAACTTCCGGCGCCCCGCCACCTGCAGCCCCGCGCTGGAGCTGAGGTTGCCCACCCGCACCTCCGATTTCTTTCCCGAAGCCGCCGGCCCGACTTGGGCGGACGGATCGGTCCTTTGTTGCGGGTGGATTGTGTTGGCAGAAAGCCTTTTCTTTTTTGTTTGGTTGGGGGGGGAAGCTGTTCTTTGGGGGGAGGAAAAGGTGTAAAAGAGTGTGTGTGTGTGTGTGTGTGTGTGTGTGTGTGTGTGTGTGTGTGTGTGTGTGTGTGTGTGTGTGTGTGTGTGTGTGTGTGTGTGTGTGTGCGGGTGCGGGTGTGCGGGTGCGGGTGCGGGTGCGGGTGCGGGTGCGGGTGCGGGTGCGGGTGCGGGTGCGGGTGCGGGTGCGGGTGCGGGTGCGGGTGCGGGTGCGGGTGCGGGTGCGGGTGCGGGTGCGGGTGCGGGTGCGGGTGCGGGTGCGGGTGCGGGTGCGCGTGCGTGCGTGCGTGCGTGTGGGTGGGTGGGTGGCTGGGTGGTGGGTGGGCTTGCGCAGTCCATGCTCTGCCTCATTGCTGGACCCTGAAGGCTAGCCCCAAAGAAAGGCCGAGGAGCCCATGTCCTTGTAACAAGTCCAAAGCATGGAAGCTGACAGCGTTGGGAAGAGGGTATCCCTCGGTGGGTTGTCTGGGGGAGGGTTGTTCTCACCTCACAAGTTCAACCAGGCACCTCAAGCCGAAATGCATTTTGAGGGGGGAGGGGCTGGGGGGCAGTGGCCCCCCACAATAAACCAACTTGTCAAGGGGATCCCTTTGACGTCCATACATGAACCTCTGGATTGAACCCCAATTTTATGGGTTAAGTAGCCGGTAAGTGTGGCTCAACTAAGGGAAATTAGCCCGCAAACGGTCCAACATAGCAATAGCCGCGTGCACCTATACAAACAGCCATTAACTTCAACCAGCTTCTCAATGGCTTCCCGTTGGTCAAAAGTTGATCAATTGATTGGTGGCGTCCATTGAAACAATCGCCACTTGTAGATCGAGGTAAATGGACTCGGTTGCTTTCTGCTCCCCTGCTAAAAGTTTAACTTTTAGTGGTTTAATGGAAAACCCATGAGTTGGCAAAAAGTTAAAGTCCTAACAGCCAAGCAAAATGCAACAAAGTGGAGGAGGCCCTGACCCATTTTGCGGGTTCCCCTCCAAACGGCCCACCGAAGCAATAAAACTCTTGGTTGGCTTGGCACGAACTCGACCGCGCCTCGCCACTCTCCAGCCAAGGCATGCCATCTAGGGATACCTTGAAGCCTCGGTTGCTAAGGCGCACTTCGCAAGTGAACCGCGCTGGCCTGGGGCTGGCACGATAGGTAGGGAGTGACCCAGTCTGTTTCCGTACCTAGAGTCTCCATGACCCTTTAAAAATGGGGTCATTACCCTGAATAATGGGGTCATGAACCTGTTTTTAAAGGGTCATGGAGACTCCAGGTAATTTCTTCCCCCTATTAATGAATGACCCCAATTTAAAGAAAATTGAAATCCGGGGCCCGGGACCAGATTTCCACTCCGCACAATTGATTTTCCATTGCGCCAATACTAAACCAATACTATAGTCTTGGAATCCTTATTAGGGGGCACTTTTAACAAGCTTCCAGCCCCAATCCTAATTGGGTCCTTTATTGGGGTGGTGTCCCTCAAAAGAAAACATGTCCCCAAAAGCTGTCTAGCTGCGACTGTCTCTCTCCCGTACATGCTGGCTAATTAATTAACCTGCCTGGCTGCAAACAAACAACCAGTAAACTGAAAAACAAATAGAATGATACATAAACTTTCCACATTAAACCGCTTACTCGCGGACCTTACAATTCAATCCATTTCCTCCAAATCCTATGTGAACCCTCACATTGTTGGAAAAGCAAAAAACAATTCCGAAAACCCAAATTAAATATATATATATATATATTTTTTGGGGAGGTGTTTTTACTAATTGGGGGGGGGGACCCGTATTTATTAATAGGGGGGAAGAGATTACTTTTTTTCAAGGAAGGGCAAAATGAAAGGAAGGTCGAGACGACAATACTTGCAACACTTCAAATAAGGCTCAAGAGCAGCAATCTTTCAGTCCCCGGGAGAAAAAAAGCGGAGAAAAAAGCCGCACATGCGTTGAGTAGTGATAAATGAACGTTAAACCAGGGCCTTTTAGAGGCCCAGAAATGAATAAAAGGGCACCGATCGCTGGGAGACCTAGCTTCCCTTTTGCACCCCCACTCCGTTGAGGTGCCGCCCGTGGCATCGCAGGTCACCCGCAGCTCCGCCGCGCCTTTGGAAGCGGCGGGTCCGGCGAGGGCGAGAGCAGCCAGCGCTGAGAAAAGGAGCGCCATGGCTGTGGAGGTCTCTGTGGACACCTGGTCTGTGTCGGCAACCTATTTGTTTATGAGTTTATGTTGTTTTCTTTTGGAGGGCTCCTGGCTGGGTCGGCTGCCTTAAAAAAGCCGAGCGTCACATGGCGAGGATATTCCCTGCAGCCGCAGGTCACAACCCAGAAAATTATGTTGGGCTTCTGGCCATGTCGTTGCTTCAGCCGAATTGCCGATGCTGGTCTGCAAAGCCATCTCCAGAATTCACCCGGCTGCAAGCCCTAAGAGCTCGGAAGAACCAAGCTTCCACCTCAAACCGTGCCCCGGGCGAGTCTGAGTCTGAGCAGCCCAAAACTCCATGGACGTTTGGCTCTACGATGGTTAGAAACAAAAATATTTTGGCCCAAGCCACATTTTCCGGAAATGCGGGTGGTGCTGAACCACCTACTCAAATTTGGCCGTTTGGGAGGTTTTCGGCGCTCATCTGTTTCTACATGGGAATCACAACCGACTGATCAATTTGCTGGTTTCCACTAAAACTGCTGGTTTTGCGAGGTTCCCAAAAGGGAAATGGAGCCAACCCTGAATTCCTGAAGGGGTTTACCCGACATATAACCCACCGAATCACTAGGGCGAATCTCCGCACCGATTTGTAGCTGGGACGAGAACCTTCCAACATGATCCCGTAGTGATAGATTCCCTTTAGAGCCAAAGGGGGAAAATTGAAGAAAAAACAACTAAGCAAATGGAAGGATCGTGACTTACCTTCAACACCGCATGGATTGGGTGCGTCTGGCGCCTTAGCCAGTTCATACCAGGTGTGGTCATCTACCTCAGCCCTTGCCCCAACCAAACCCAATTTCTTTGACTCTGGTCCACATATTTCGTGAACGTCATAATGTTGACCGACTATAAATCAACCCCAGTTTATTAATTGGGGGGTATTCCCCTGGTCCAACAGGGGTTTATCAATAGGGGGTGTTCATTATAATGCAAACTCAGCTTCAAAGAAGCACAACGAACGGCCCACATCCCAAGGCGATCTATTTACAGCCGAGGCCATGTGGCAGTGGCTCACAACCTGCGTAACCTTAGCTCGGTGGCTTTCTGCTCCCCTGCTAAAAGTTTAACTTTTAGTGGTTTGATGGAAAACCTCTTAGTTGGCAAAACCTTCAAGTCCTAACATCCAAGCAAAATGCACCAAAGTTAGCTTTGTACTTGTGAGCCACCCATGTCTGGGCTAAACGTCGCAAGGACCTCGCACGTCTTGTAGCCAACAACTTGCTTGAAAATTAGGCACATGGATCGAAGGGTTAAGAAGTGGCGAAACGCCTCTCATTCACTGAGATAACTTATATGCCTCCAGCCTCAGGCGTCCCCCCATTTCATCGGAAAGTGGGTCGCCCACTTTTCAGGAACCCGGGCACATCACCATCATGACCATAGGCGTCCTTTTGGGGGAAATAGATGGGTTTCCCTGGTTGATGAAAAACCACCAGGTAAAAACCAGGCATCGAAACCCATCTACCTTTCGACCAAAACCACCCAAAAGGACACCTATAACTGTGGGCTTGGGGCCCTCAAGTCCATTTTTCCAATCTTCCCCCGTCTTATTTGGGGGGGTGGTCCACCAATGTCCATCTATGACTTCACGACTTCTGCCTCCCCCGCGTCGGCCTCCGCGTCGCTTTTTTGTGTTGTTTTTTCCTCCCCATCGCCCTCCGCCGGGGTCGTGCGAGCCGCGAGCCGCGAGCCGCCAGCCTGACCAACGCTGGGCATTTGAGAGCCGGAGGCGACCCTCAGCTTTCCTCCGATCAGCGGTGGAGCTGAATCGTTTGTTTAGGTGGTTCCCAGCTACAGACTCGACGCGTAGACTCTGAACAAGAGGAAGCGAATGAATGAATGAATGAATGAATGAATGAATGAATGAATGAATGAATGAATGAATGAATGAATGAATGAATGAATGAATGAATGAATGAATGAACAAACGAACGAACGAACAAACGAATGAATGAATGAATGGTTGCCAGTTAAACCATCTGCAAAAGCCAGGCACCCGTCCAATTCCGAACCCAAGCCACCAATCCAAACCAACTAAGGGCTACCTGAGACTCTGCACCGGGTCGTACCTCACAGGACTCAGTCTAGATTACTTCTCTTTCAACTTCCTCATGGTAGCGACAACTTGATTCTTGTGCCTCGCCTACCAAAAATGGACAGATCTGGACAAAAAAAGACCCGGCCAGGAAACAATTCGACTCGTAGGTGCTTCCCGAAACCCGAAAAACGGCTTTCACTGGAACCACACACAGAAAAACAGCCCCCCTAAGCTGCCCCCCTAAGTTGCAAGCCTCTGAAATTGCTCTACCCAGTTTCTTGGATAACTAGGTCCTCCAGATTTGAGAGGTTAGAATAAGTTGGTACCCGTTTTTTTTTGTCTATTTTAGTAGGGGAACCCTCCCCCAAACAGAGGGTTGGAAACGGCACCAATTGCTGGGGGGCCTGGACAACTACCCTGGCAGCATCTCGCAGTCTGACAAAGGATCTCGGTACCCTTCACCTTGGCTGCTGAGACCTGCTGAGACCTCAAAGGCCCAAGGAACATACCCCAACCCACCAGCGACAGCCCCGAACCATCTTCATCATGTCTCCCAAATGGCAAATGGAAACATGGACTAAAACCTGCGGTCACCTGGTGGTTTGATTTTGACCCATAGCCAAATGTTAAACTCAGTTGCCCAAAGGACCCAGAAATAAAGGTTAACTTTTGGGGTCAGGACTAAAAATGGAACATAATTGCAAGCGTGCTCCCGTGTTTCATTTCAAGGATATTCTGCAACCCAACGGCCGGCACCCAGGTGGGCAAGCTTCGCGCATCTGTTGCCGGAATCGTATAGGCGCCAAAACTCTGGCTTGAAGCACCAAAAGGTTGCTTGGACACACAGCCAAATCTGATTTGGCAATGGAATCTAATTCATCGGAGTCGCAGCGCGCACGAAAAAGCGCTGCATCTCAAAAACGGATGTTCTGAGGCCCTGCTTTCACTTCCAAACAGGGAATGCATACCCTACCTTGAGCGATACAACTGCTTTGGGCTTTGGGGCTTTCACTCTCAATGGCACCTGTTCCCATGCATGACTACTGTGTTGGGTGGACATTGCATGATTTTTCATGACATGTGGGCTAAGTGTTTAGGACCTTCCAAACATCTCATTCGAACGTCGGGCACGGCCGAAATCTCTGAATTCAACTACACATCCTGCACAGTGCATCCGCGAATTTTCCGCTGGCTGCGTGGCGCCTGTGGCGCAACTGAAAAAATACACTAAAAGTTTCCTCGCCGGCATTCCAACAAGTCTCTCGGAGAGCCTCTACAACTCCGAAGCTGGAAATAAGGCAGCCCGCCAAGAACGGACCTTCGTCATCTAGGTTCTCCACTAGAGTTCAGAATAAGGGTACTTTTTTCTGTACCTGGAGTCTCCATGACACTTTAAAAATAGGTCCACGACCCCATTATTTAGGGTAATGACCCACCATTTTTAAAGGGTCATGGAGACTCTAGGTAGTCTATTTCAGTAGGGGAGCTCCCCCCAAAAAAAACAAAAGACGGTGAGAAAGGGCACCAAATGCTGGGCGTTCCTTCGGCTGGGCTCATCGGTTCTCCAGAAGGCTGGGCCAGGCGGCAAGCTCCACAGACTGCTCCGGGGAGTTCAGCATGCTGTAGCCTCAAAACGCCCCGCACCAACCTTCCATATGGTGAAGCCCCCAGGAAAAAGGAGAAAAGATGCCCAGTAAATGAAAAAAATTGAAAATATATCCAGTAGTGATGAATTCCTTCTAATTTCAGCAAATGGAGGCAACCGCGCCGGGCCCGCATTCCCTACATGTGTCCCCTTGAAACCCCTCGCTGGCCATCGAGTGGCCATGGCCCAACTTCTGGCTGACGTCCAGGAGCTCGCGAAGTGAGCGCTGGGAGCACTGGGGTTCGTTTGGGTTTTGCCTGACTTTGACTGGGTCCTCCAGTAGAGAGGTTAGAATAAGTTGGTACCGTTGTTTCCCCCTTTTTTTTCTGTTGTCTATTTTAGTAGGGCAACCCTCCCCCCCAAAAAGGGTAAAAGGGTCATACTGCGGGACCTAGTTGATAACCCCTCGGAACAGTCAAAATCACGAACACCATCCCAAAACTTACGCAGCCCGGCGAAAAGTTCTCATTGTCATGGCTGGTTGATTTGCATTTGGGGGCCGGCGTGCTTTGGGCTCATGCCTCAAGTAGTTCCATCGTTTAATTCAAGAACAACAAGCCCTTTTCCGACTTCGCAACCATCCACCGCAGGAACGCCTGAGCCACCAAGGAACCCCAAACCAGGCCCCTCGAGGCTTCCATCCGAGTGAATCCAAGCAGCTATCCACCGAGCGGAAGGCTTTGCCCGTGAGCAGGTGAAGCTGCTCCTGGAGAGGACTCAGTCTCTCAAGCCAGAATGGGGTCGAGTGCGCCAAAACCAAGTCTAATCATGATGGGCATCTGTCCAATACTCAAAAGACGTTGTTGTTGTTTCAGCCCTCTTAAAAATGAACAGAACCAAACAACAAGTAGTGATCTAGCCTCCTGGACATTTTCCCCCTTGTTGAGTGCCAAGGCGCACAACTCCGAGGTGCAGCAAAACAACTAGAGCTACAGATTCTGGGGGTCATATTTATGGGTGTCCTCTGAGGGTGGGTGGGGTTCAGAAAGTATTTTTGCCAAAATGGCAGGCGGTATACGAGCACTCATCTCGTGTAGTGCTCAGCACTTGACATTCCAATTCATGCGGTTGTTACTTTTAACACGAGTAACTGCAACAAACACCTCCCTTTGCTGTTTCGCCCCCTGGAGGAAAAAGCTGTATATGTCCAATAGTGATAGATGCCCTTTAACACCATGGCCTTTTTTGGGCAGCGAGGTTGACGCATTCTCAGAGCTAGTAGCTCCGAAAGGCAAATTTGGATACCCCCAGCTCCTTGGCCCCCTTCCAGCCACCAGCCAGTCTGGTGGGGAAGTCAAACACAACCCTCCATTTGCTTGTTCGTCTCCTGGACAACAACATGTTTCCAAACATAATCGATGCCCTTTCAAAGCAGGGGAACTAAAACACATATTCGTTCAAGCAAATTAGCCCCTGAAAAAATGAAACGATTTCCAAGAGCGATGGATGCCCTTCAAAAACATCAACATGTATTTAACATGTAACAAGTGGAATAAAGGAAACACACACGATGCCACTGAACAAGTGTGTCCCTGAGTCGCCGCCTTCATTTGCTTCAGCTCAAGCTCGACAAAGGTATGGAACTTGCCCTGGCCTCGATTCAGCGCACCGGATTCCCCATACGGTTCGTGTTGACCCGAGCTTTGGCCCCCATTAAAAGAATGGCCCAGTTTGGATGATGTTAGGTAAATCATGGTGGCTAGATTAATCCCAGTGCCAGCGCTTTGATGGTGGTTTGAAGGGTTTATTGATAGGGACTGTCCAAGATTGGAGGGGAACACCCCCTTCCCCTGTTAGTAAACTGGGGTTGATGAATATGGGGTCAAGATTACCTTGCCGGTACTCGGCTGGGAATGGAGTTCTTTTGAGCGAATGCCGACTTGTTCACTCCCAAAAACCTCGGTCACCGCCTACTGAAAACCAGCAAGTGTCCGTTTTCCTCTCCCTGGTTGCCTCAAAACTAACTCGCGAGACTCGTCATTGGCCCATAAAGGAACATAAAAGCAAATGAGAGACGCACACGCACAAGCACACGCTCCACCGCGAGTTTTAAACAGATCAATTCAGGTGTACTTGGGATGGAATTGTGCATTACGGTTCTGTGGCCTTAACAACGGTCAGCCACAGGCTTCTGGTTGGTGTTTGCCGCCTGCGAACCCGGCAACCTGTCAGGTTCAAATGGAAAACGTGGTTCCGGAACCGTGAAGATCCCCAAAGCGCCGATTCCTTGCTTCTGCAGCTGCAAAACCGGAAAAAGAGAGAAAAAAAAAGAAAAAAAGATAAAAACCAGCTGCTTAGAGTCTGGGAACAAACATCGGAGCGGGTGGGGTCAAGGAAGCTGTGTTGTTCGGGCTTGGGTCTCAACTCCGCTTGGGTTTCCAACGTCCAAACTTTGGAAACCCAAACGTGGTCTGCCCCAAGATCGTCGCTTCACCCGTGAAAAAAGGGGAGGTCGGCTTCTTCTTTTTTCTATTTTTTTGGGCGTTCCTGACAAACCACAGAAGCAACAGGTGCGGAAGAAAAATCGACCAGGGTCCGCATGGTCCGTCCAAAAGCCGAATCTGAGAGGGGGGTGGAGGGAGCCCAACAAAGCTCTTCAGCGGCCTTGAGAGGTTGAGGCAGCCCCTCTCAAGCCCTGACGCCTCTTTTAGGGGAGAGAGGAAGGGATGAACAGGGCTCCCTATATTTCCCCTTAAAACATCACCCCCACAAAAAAAATCACCTTTCATATTCCAAAAAGGTGATGTTTTTTTCACAACCACCAAGGGAAATAGAGCTGGACTGATGAATTACAGGCTCATGGCTCCAAGCCTAAAGCTTAGGCTTGTCAAGTGAGCGATCCTTTCAAGTTTGTCCCCCCCCCGGTAAGGATTCCAAAATCCTTCGCAACGACGTTGTTGAAGAGAAACATGCAGGCCCAACATGGGGTCAAAGTCAAAACATGTCATGGGAGGATCAATTAACATGGAACCTGGAAGACAATCTTCCTTTCAAAGGGACCCCAAGTCCGGTTCCATGTTCATTTGGTGGGAGGGCCATGCGACCAACGTTGACCCCAAGGATTTTGTTTGGTTGAAAAGGGGTAGGCTGTTTTTGGCAGCTGGCTTTAAAGGCCCCCCCCCGCTCCTAAAAAAAGCCGCAGGCCAGGCGGCTCTTGATCAGCCAGGTCTGTTCGTAGATGATCTTCTCCACATCGATGGCGCGCGCTTGCCCGCGCAAGCGCAAGCAACCCATCAAGAACTCCTCGATCTCCACCGCGCCGCCTGCGGCGAGCGAACGAGTTTTTTTTCGACCATCGCGGTTTCGGGAAAGCAGCCCTCCGGCGAGGTCCGCCCGCCCACAGCTCCGCGAAATCTGATCACCTCTTGGGACCTTTACTTCAAGTGGCACAGTGGATCCCAGTTACCACTACCTTCGCCATGTTCCATGCGGGACATGGAATCACATGTTGCGGGCAAAGGGAAAACCTGCATTTGTCATGTCACGTTGTCTCGGCAAGCGCCTCATGATTCCGTTGTTGCCCCAACATCCTGGTTGGTGACATCCCTTCTTCTTTTTTTTTTTTTAATCTGAGCTCTCCGTTTTCAACTACCCTAAAAGTGAATAGCTCTTGCTGGAGTCTCCTTCTGACCCTTCAAAAAAAAACAAATCATAACCCCTGTCTTTGGGGTCATGACCCCCATTAAAGGCTTAGGAGACTCCAGGTTGGCTGAAGCGGACCTCCCACCAACTGAACAGATCTTTTGGCTGGGATCCGAGGCCATGGGATCCGGCTCGGCAGGCCGAGCGCCGAGCGCCTGCATCCAGGTCAAGGAGCTTGAAGAAGGACCTCGGTGCTCCAAAAAAAAACGAGCGGCCCCCCCTTGAGGGGGCGGAGTCCCTTTTTTATTTCTACTGCAAGTGGGGACTTGGATCTTCAGACTTTGACCTTTTTGGATACCCCTCATATTTCCTACCTGCAAAGATTAAACTTTAATAATCAAACTTTTTGTGGGGGGTATACAGCACCCAAGTTTGTTCTGCCATTGTGCCCCCTTTTCGTTTGTTTGGAGCCAAATCGAACCAAATTGGACGGCTCTCCTGAAAAAAGCCAATCAAACACAATGAATTGATCGACTTTTGGTTCTTTCGACATGGTAGTAGCACCACCTTCTACTCAGGAATCGATCCGCTTTGGACGCTCAATTTTTGGTAAAGAATTAGAAAACAACAATCCCCAGCTTTTGGCCGACACAAGACGAGCACACCGAAAATAGGATTTCCGGACGCTGGTTCCCGCATTTATCTCTAGGGTTTCCTCCACAGTCATGACATTTATTAGGCTAAATGGCCCTCTACAGTGTAACGTGGAACCCCAAAACCCACCATTTTAGAGGAACCTCCAAACACGGGGCATTATTTTGCCATGATCAAAGTCACACCCTAAGTCGCGGCTTGAAGAAGAAGAAGAAACATTTTCTGACTTTGATAACTTCTAGACACCGTCAACATAATGAATGCCCCAAGCAAATGGTGTACTGTAGTACTGGACCCTCGAACATTTCCCCTACCAATGAGTGATTGTCCCAATTCCCTTCTAGGCAGCTTGAGGGTCCAGGTACCCATATGATGCCCAATTTGATGCGCCTATCAGCGGGAATCTTTACGCCTCTCAAAAAAAAAAGAGGAATATATGGAGCTCTCAAATTCCCCGCCCCCCGTAACAAACCCACCGAAACCCCCCCGTAAGACGTGATTCTTCGGGAAAAAGAACGGCCAAGGCGCCAGGCGTCCCAGACATCGAGGCCCAAAGTCTCGAAGTACTGCCGCACTTCTGGGGAGTCCAACTTCTCCTCGTGCCGAAAACGACGAGAGAAAGGCTGAGGCTTTAGACGGGGGGGGCGGTGGGGTGGGGTGGGGTGGGGTGGGGTGGGGTGGGGTGGGGTGGGGTGGGGTGGGGTGGGGTGGGGTGGGGTGGGGTGGGGTGGGGTGGGGTGGGGTGGGGTGGGGTGGGGTGGGGTGGGGTGGGGTGGGGTGGGGTGGGGTGGGGTGGGGTGGGGTGGGGTGGGGTGGGGTGGGGTGGGGTGGGGTGGGGTGGGGTGGGGTGGGGTGGGGTGGGGTGGGGTGGGGTGGGGTGGGGTGGGGTGGGGTGGGGTGGGGTGGGGTGGGGTGGGGTGGGGTGGGGTGGGGTGGGGGGGTGGTGGGTGGTTGGGGGTGCGAGGGGGATGGAATCACAAAAAGGGAACATGTTGCAAAAGAACAACAACAACAACCACAACACAACAGAGGACAAGCAGGGAACATGCAAAAAGTACGAAATATCACAAACAAACAAAGTAACTTAAAGAAAATTATGGGGACTAGCAGGCCCAACAAAGAGCAAATACCAGAAGGACAACGCGGACAACGAGACAAAAGAAGAACACAGGGAAATAGAACATAGGCTTCTCAGACCTGGCAGCTTCCTCTTGGGCCCAATCTATGCCATGGGTAGCGGTTTCAAAAAAGTGGCGAAACGCTCGGAAGCAAGAAGCCGCGACAATGGTTGGGTAATGGGAACGAATGGGGAAGTGACTCTCAGACTAAGAAGTCCAAAGCGCAAAGCCAAAGCCACGGGACATGCTGGGTCCATTGCGACCTCCTCAAAACTCGCCTCTGAAAGAATCACCAGGTCCCACCCAGGTTGCCATGTAGGGGTGTCGTTTTTTTGGATGGTACTTGGGTTTAAGGAGAAACCAACAGGAAAACAACAACTTTGAGAGTTGAATTGATTCGCCACTTTGAAGGGGAGTATGTGTCTTGGTTCGCTGAGAAACATGGCTAGGGCTTCAGGACAATTGCACCCAAAGGCTGGCAAATGGACTGGCCCCATCCATGTTGTTCTCAAAGTCAACCCCTGTTCAGTGGTTGGTGAAAGGGGAGCAAACCAATTCCAGTGCCTGACTTTGACACCCTGTAGAAATATTCCCAGCCCGCACAATGGTTTTGGTTTCCGCCTGGTTTCCTGCAAACACGACGGCACGCTCTGGTGTCCAAAGAAAAAACAACCTAATAGCTAAGGTGAACCTCGGATGTATCCAGAGACCCTGCTACTCAGGGGCGGTCCCCCTAGGAAATCGATCCGTTTTGGGGGGGCTTCTCTGACTGGTCGGGTCCCAAGTCAACGATGATCCTTCATTTTCGCCCCCCGGAAAATATGTGCGGTAGTGAAATCAATTACCTTTAAAACCAATAGGTGTTTTTTCCTTCAAACAACAAATAAAATAATAACAATGCATCATAATACTAAACATATTTCTTTCAACAAATGGATCTGATAGAGAAGCCCTTTTCACGGGGAAAACAACCCCCAAATCCTCGAGCCTCGAGCATGGCGAAGGTGATGACCCCGGTCTCCTTCTGATCAAACCTGAAAACTGTCGGACCCCCGAAAAAAAAATCGGGGCACATCACTTCTACGCGCCCCAGAATCCCTCACTTCCTTGAGTGGACTGGCCAAAGAAGGTCCCAGTCCACTCTTCAGGGGAGACTTCATTGCGTTCTGTGTTCTTGTTTTTCGCCCAAGCATCTTGGCCCTCAAAAGGCAATTCCCTTGTGAGGTCCAAAACCTTCCAATGTAGGTCCGAAGACCCCTTCAAGGATAGGACACGAGGGAAACGAAGGGACTTTTCCGGGATCAAGGAAGGGTTTTGGGTTTCCATCTTTGCAACTGGGGGCAATGAAGGATCCCGCTGTCTTGTTCCCTTGTGAAGGGCCCCTATTTTGTTGAAATAAAACAGTTTGGCTACCCCCCCACCATTAAAGTACAAACACGGCAGGGGGATGAAGGAAAGCCTCAGAAGGAGAGTCTTCTTGGCTGGAAAAATCGGACCAGAGCAAAAAAATAGCTCTTTTTTGCTTGGTTCGTGGAAAGCAAAAAAAGACACCAAAAAAGCGAAAAAAACAATGCAAAAGGGGGAGCTCATTCTGGGGAAGTCCTGAAAGCCTTCAGGTTCAGAAGGCCTCCTCACCAAGTACTTGGTCCGGATCTTGACATGGGCGTCGTGTGGACGCCATGGCACCCCCCCCCAAAAAAAATAAAATAAAATAAAACGAAGGGTGGTGTTCGTGCTGGCGTCCCTGTAAACGACAAAAAAGGGGGCAGCCTGAAAAGCAAACAGACCCAAAAGAAACCCCACCCAGCTGAGCAAAAATGAGATCAAGCTCCCCTCCGGATGTTTTGTGAGAACTAGACGTAGGATCCCGACACGCAACCCTCCTTCACCAAATTCACCGACTGGGTTCCTGCCAGAATATATGGTTTTTGGGGTAAGATGGTCAAACCACTATCCCAAACCAAAGCGACCTATCAGGACGATAGAGAGCCACGATATCAAGGGTTCGAATCCCGAGACTCGGCAAGCAGCTGAGTGAAGAGGTTGTGGATCTTGCGCACGTGGGCCTCTTTGTTGGCCAAGATCGACTGCACCACAGTGGCATGGTCGTTTTGGGCACTGTCTATGGCCTCAGCAACCCGAAAGGATATACGGTAAAACACATAAACATGCTGGACCGAATCTGAACTTACTAACTCCCACAGAATGTAGACAGCCAAAGCCTTTAAAACCTTGACACAAGCTTGCACCTGGACAACCCAGCCGTGACATCTAATCGATTCATATCAAAGGCAACTTCAAAGGCAACCGCTCACTCCCTCGATTGGGGTGCCTTGGGTAAGAGTAGCCAACACTAGCTCGAACAGCTCTCTGAAACCGCCTCAAACAGCTCCTTTCGGGTGAATCATCTTCTTCTTTTACTTGGCTCCATGGTGATCCCATCCCAGAAATGGTATTTGTTTTTTGGTCATTTGGCTGTGACGTCAACCTCCGGTCAACTTCACTTTGATCCAGCGAAAACGTCTGGCCTGATCAGTTGACACTCGATGGAAAAAAAGAAAACGACCTAACTGGCTTTTGCCTCGGATACCGGGAATCGCGCAAACGCGGCGTTCTCTCTCTCTGCAATTTCGGGCAGTGCACTTTTGTTTGGTTGGCGCACGCCTTTTTGAGCACATCCGGTTTATGGGGCTCTTTGATGTCTGCCTCTGAAATCCACAAGCGTTACGAGCGTCCGCCAAGAGCTCTGTGAAAGCAGAAACCTGAGCAGAGGCCTAAAGTGTGCCAACTGAACAGGTCAGATTGGCGTGCCCTTCTTGGGACCTGTTGGTTGGCTTGGAAAGGGAGGGCAAAAGGAAACCAAGCATTCTGGGCTCCATGTCGTCGTGTTGAGGCAAACCGATATGAACTTCAATTGGACCCTTTGATGGACGTCGGGGGGAGGATACATTCACCAACCGTTGTAAAGAGTATCTGCCACTAAAAATGAACTGACTAAAATGAAGAAAAAGCAGTGAGCCAAGAAAAGGCCTGTAGATTGCCAAGTTAACCTCATTTCCCGGGGGGGATTGGCCAAACACAAACTCCGAACTTTCTACTTACCACCAAAACTGTCCTGCCACCACAACAAAAGTGACTAAAGTTGCAGGAATTCGGAAAGTGAGTATATAACTACACCAAGCTGAAATCCGGCTGAAATCCAACAAATATTGGCTTTCCGCAAGCGAGCAGCGCTCTGGCAGAAGACGCCCGTCACCTGGGAATCGCCACATTTGGAGTGCTGTGGTAACTTCCCCTGAGCCACCAGAAAATCCTTCCAACCAAGGTTCAGGATTGTGTGCGGATCCTTTAGGTCTCTTTCCAACCCTTGGTAAGGTAGCAAAACGCTCTGTTTGTTGCAGCCCCCTACTAACAATGATCAGAGCCCAAGAAACACTAGAAACGAGAAGCAAGCCAACCACCGGGAATTTCAAGCTGTTTTTCAGGATCCTGGTGGTGTCCTTTGCTACCTCAGCTTCTGAGCCCGAAGGCTCGGGAACATGTTTCATAGCCCAAACTTAGGTTCACCTCTTGAGACCAAAGGCCCAAAGGCCCAAAGGTCCACCTCTTGAGACCAAACGATTCGCATCCAAATCAGGGCCCCCCTTGTTTAACCCCCCCCACCCTTGAGAGCATACAAGCAAATCGGGGGTGGAAACCCCGCCCTAAGCTGCGGGGTTTAACCCCTGAGCATGGGGGATAGGAGGGCTAAGAGCATGGCTGCTAAGAATCACACCTAAGACTCACACCCAAACGGCGTGGTTCATCCATGGGGGCTCTTAACTTCTTGAGCATGGGGGTCTTAAGAACCCCAAACAAAAACCCTGCATTGAGAAAAGGCGTGGCCATCCGCTTGCTGGTTTTGTATGTGTCAGAAAAGAATGCCATGCTGGGAAAAAAAATAAGACTGAATGTATACGTCCACGGATGAACCCTTATAAAGCCCTAGTTTATGGATTAATTCACGGTCCAAAATGGCTATGGGTTCATATATGGACCCATACAATCAACCATTGAAAAACTCAACGCCTCTCGCCTCTCAAAAGGTAAACCCACGGGGGCCTCTGCGACATTACTCACAATGCTCCAGCATCAAACTGCGGCCAAGTCGCCACGTTGAGGACTGCGAAGTACGTAAATGCCTGGTCCAGCCGCTCAGCCAAAAAAAAAAACATTGGCGGGACCCCACTTGAGCACATGGCTGTGGCTCAAAAAACCGGTGCCAAAATGGAACCCTGGTAAGTGGAAACATGGACCAAAACCTGCGTAACCCCTCCTGGTTAATTTTGAGCCACACCCACATGAGCACAAACAAGAACTACACTGGGGATACCTCCCAATTTCCAGACCCCTAAAACGGATCAACTTCCAGTTGGTTACCCTTTCAGGTGCTTCGCCAGGGTCACATGACACATTCCAGTGTGCTACTCAATTGTCCTCAGCCGCCCCAGGAATAACATCTGATCATAAGTTGGGGCCACTAAAAATGGCACTCCAAAATGGAAAAAAACCGACCAGGTTACATCAAAAGGTTGATTTGTATTGCAAGTAAGGCGAACCTGCGGCCCAGTGGCGATGTAGAAGAGGAAGAAGAAGACCCACATGGTAGATATGCCTTTCAGCGGCTCCTGCACGTCTACCCAGTTCCTTGACTGGCCAAAAGGTCAAGGCACACCCTCCCAACAAAACAGTTGACGAGTGGCCCAGTGGCTGATTCCCTTGAAAGGATTCCTTACCATGATGATCTAAAATCCCCACTAACAAGGTCCGTGACCATCCCTACCCCAAGGAAATGTCTGTTCAGCTTGGCGCGCATGGCCAACTGAGGACAACTTGGCCCACCCCTACGGCGAAAAATCATGTGACAATGTGAATTGTAAATTATGGCAATGCGACATGTGGCCAGGCAAAAACTTACCTGCTGATTTAGAGGATCCAGTTCCATATTTGCTGAGCCGAGAGGCACACCCCCTGCGATGCACATGAAGAGGCTGAGCATGGTGTCGGCCAAGGATCCGAAGTAGCGCTGGCTGGCCTGCCATAAATCATACCTATCCTAAGGGTCCCGAAAAGTAGTATGCAGACCCGGGGTCCCTGTACCACAAGTTGCTTTAGGGGTGTCAAAAGGACATATCCTGAGGCCCCAAATTCCATCAGGACCCTTAGGGTGGAAACTCCTTCCGACTAAAAATCATAGCCGGAGACGGGTAAAGACGCTGCTGCCCGTCCAACGGCTGAAACCCTCGAATACGGCGTTGGTCATAAGCACATGTTTCACAAGCGCCGGCTGTTTGTTTGACTTGTGGCTGAAATCTTCGCCGGATTCCAAACGGCATCATGTTCGGCCCAAGGTTTCAGGGAGATCTATAAACCCCAAAACCGCGAACCCAAGGAAACCTTGCAAACACCTCAAATATCCCCGGCACAGGTCCTAAGTCAATATAGCGGGGTGGATGATGATTAATCAGCATACAGTGGATGGACGGAATTATGTACCACTTTGAAACCATGCGAAACCATTGAATCATCATTCGAGGGCTTCTTAGGTGGCGCAGGATTTTGTACATCTGCAGTAGGGAGCGCGCCAAATGCTAGAAATTCCTGCAGCTGGTCTCTCAGCTCTCTGTTTGCTTAAGTCTGCTGGGAAAAACAATTAGTTTCCTTACGTAGTGCTATACTTCTCTTGCAATAAACTTTGGTCGGCCGTCGGCCTTCAGCATGCTTTTGTTCAGAGACTCATATCTGGGTGTCTTGAAATAGAGGACACCCCATGTGTGGTGGTTCCCTGTGGTTTCTCTTGAAAACAACCCACCAAACTTGCTACCAACTCCAAAGACACACCCTCGGTCTGTTAACCACATACTTTGATTTTGCCGCCTTCCAACAAATCGAGCAGCACCCAAAAAAGCACGAAAACAACAACACACACTTCCAACAAAATATATACAAAAAGAAGAAAAAAAAACATGCCCACCACAGTGCAGGGCTCTGAATCTCTATATCCGGGGGGTGTTCTCCAATTTGGCTGTGGCTCAAAAAACCGGAGAATTCCAAAATGGCTTGCCCGATCGGTAAGTGGAGACATGGGTACCACAACCTGCGCGGTCTGCCCCCTCCGATCGACAACTTTTGAGCCACACCCATTTTTTTTGCACGTTGTTCAGTGACCCTGGAGAAAAAAAAGGGAACCCTTTTTTTGAGAAGACCATTTTAGTGGGGCAGCCACCAAAAAAAAAAGGAAAAATAATAGGGGCCACTGAACAACTGAGGGTTGCATCTCTACTCTTGGTATGGTAGCGAAAAACTGACTGTTTTTTGCAGACCCCCAGTAAAAATGAACAGAACCAAGAAACAAAAAAAAAAAGAGCATGATCCAAGAACAGTGAAGAGGTGGTTGGTCGCGGATCGAGATCCGTGCCTCAAGCTCTCGTTCCGAGAGGCTGGGCAGATCCGGGTCGCTCAAGTGATCGTGCACCGCCTGGACAAACCTCGGGGCGTTTTTGTGAAGGAAACCCGCTGAGTCCAAGCTGGGGCTTTTTGGAGGATTTCCCAGGAAAAGGTGCCTGGGCATAGATGGCCGTTTAGGTTGGACATAGATGGGTTTCCCTGGTACATGTAAACCAGTGCCATCTAAACCAGTGCCATCCATTTTTCTGCCAAACTCAGCTGAAAAGGACACCTATGCGCCTGGGATTTGTGAGGCAATGTACTCCATTAAGACCCAATCAACCATCTGGAAAGGCGCGTGGGGGCGTGGGGGCTTGTGTGTGTCAAGTTTGAGAAGAAAAAAAAGAAGCAGGTTTAAAGGGACGCTACAAGGAAACCGACGAATGGCAACCCCGGATCTATTTAGGACCCCGGCTGGATTAACAGGGGGATGTCCCCCGAATAGAGGCTGCTCCCTTTTTAAGAGGCCTCCATCCCCTTCATGGGAACCCCGCAATAAAAACGGTTTATCAATCCGGGGTCAACATATCTTGGGTGTGCAAACCCATTTCGAGCCAAGCCGCAGCACCGCAAAGACGTAGACGATCAAAATCAGCAGGGCCAGGGCCCAGAACAAGGACACCAGCCTGGGCGGCCCGTTTTGCGACAAGTCGACAACTGTTTGTGGTTTAGTGGAAACCAAACCCTTCCATTTGCTTAAGCCCCCTGGAAAACATAGAGATGTTTCCAGTGATACTTTAAAACGTAAGGAATATTCTTAAGCAAATGGGAGAAATAAACACCTAGGAAACCGGATGGCTGGAAAACCAAGCAGCGTGTGCATGATCGAGGTGATCAGCGTCCGCAGTGCGATGACGAAGCCTCAAATGACTCACCGGCGACCCGACAGGTAAGTTGCCCTGGAAATGGTCAGCTCGATTTGTTTCATGCTCCTAGAGTCTCCATGACCCTTTAAAAATGAGTAGTTACCCTGAATAATGGGGTCATGGACTTACTTTTGAAGCCCCCCTCAACAAGGGCGGTTCTCCTTTTGGCTTCCTGCTCCTCTAAAACAAACACATGAATAAAAGGCTATCCGTTTCGGGACCATAACTTAACCATAACTAGCAATTAACCAATTCAGGAAAAACAAAAAAGCTACAAGGTAGATGCGCTTTGGGATCTGCATCTAGGTTCCATATTTGTTTGGCGGGCGGTGCCCCGCGAGTGGGTTCCGTTTCTGTCTCCCCAAATCCCTGAAAACGACAGTGTGTTGCTTGGATCCCCTGGAAAAAGTTGTCTTTCTCCTCCAAATCCTCAAGCACAGCTCAGTTTGCTCGACCCCCCAAAAAAAATATGAAAATGCTGTCTTGCTGTTGGGGCCGCCTCCCCCCCAAACCAAACCTTTGGATTGACACCGTTTCCGAGGCGCGGAAGATCCGCATGAGGCGGACCGCCTTCACCACCCGCGTGATGCGAATCACGCGGAAGGCCTTGAGGTTGACGACACCCGCGACCTTCTCCATCTGCGCCGAGTCCCCGTGCCAGACATACCTCACTGAGTCATCAGCAGGACTGATCGGTACCAAAATGGCTCGATTTCCAACTAGAACCAGCAACAAGGAGGCGAAGCCACCCATTTATGTTGGGTATTTTCCCGTACTAAGCTTCATCTGCCCGTTTTTTTTTGTTGGGCCCTTACTTGCCTGACTTCTTCATCAAAACTGATCGGTACTAAAATGGCTCAGACAAAGCAGACTCCAACCAAACCCGCTATGTTCGGGGAGGGGAATGGACTTCGAGCAGCAAATGATCATCAGGCTAGCTCCTTGGCCCAGCTGGGCCACAATCAACACCTGGTATTCATATGGTCGATACCCAGAATCATGTAAAGAGGGTAACAAGGCGGCGCAGGTACCCATTTTATGATTACTTCCTTGCTCACATTCATCTACCCAGGGCTTTGACTGTGGCTCACCTTCAGTTTTTAACCCAAAAATTGGAAATTGGAGCCGAGAATGGGTGGTTTGGAGGTGTTCTGGGGGAATTTTGTCCCATTTACCCTCTACAAGAAACAAGGCTTGATATCCCCGAGTTCCCCACCAATTTCCTGCAAGGCCGAGGTAGGCCCCCTCGGCAAAATGGCGGGCACTGAAGCTGGTGCTATAAAAGGTGGTCTATGGTGGTCTTGAAGGAATTGGTCAAGACCAAAAAGGTGGTACCATCGTGTGGATGGACAAACTCCTGCAGCAGTTGGTGGTTAGTTGGTCATGGTATCGTTTAGAATTTATGGGGCTTCATCCTCCCAATATTGGTGCAGAATTACGGGATTATGTCCATCTACTGTATTAGGTCTGTGTGTGGGCATGGCATAGTGCGCCACAAAAAGTAGCATCTTTTACACTCATTCTGAGTTGGGTTCGCGTCGTGGTTTGCAAGGGTGCTGGAAACGTGCTTGGGATCCTGGAAATTTCGACCATGTGAATCTACGCAGGTGACAACCATACTATATGTTTACCATGACACACTGCATATTGACATGCATATGCACTTGCATTAGGTTTGACGCCGCTTGGTGTTCGGGGTACTTTTACGGGGTGGTGCCGTTGGACAACCGGTTCCTGGAAGGCGGGCGCAAGACCCGTGCTCCTGCTGTGTATCTATATATATATATATATGTCTAGGTCCTCCAGTAGAGAGGATACAATAACGGTACCCTTTTTTCTGTAGTCTATTTTAGTCGGGGAAACCTTCCCCCAAAAAGGGTAAAAGGGAACTACTGGGGGACCTAGTATATATATATATATGTGTGTGTAAATATACTTCTATGTATATTATGTTGACGCCTCATGTTGGTGCATGAGAGCTGCGTGTTTCGACTCATGACGCCTCACGTTTGCTGGGCTTGGAGTCCTGGCTTTGGACTCCTGAGCACGGAGCAAGAGCAAAAAGGCGCGGCTCAAACAACGGCAGCATGGGCTACCCCGGAAAAATATGGAACCAAGACCTAAACATCTGCCTAGCTGGTGGTTAGAAGGGAGCCCAGGAGCCCGGAGTATCCAATTTTGTTCTTAAAAGGGGAGCCAAGGAGCTACCAGGAGGTCTGTCAGGACATGGTAGGTGGGTCCATATCATGGTTTCATGCTGACCCATTCCCAAATGAAACGGACGAGCACCCTCCCAAAGGGGGATTGAATGGCAAAACCTGTTGGTGCTCCGACCCAAGCAATGCAGCGTTTATCACGTCCGGGAGGCAAGCAGAAAAGCAAGAGAACATGACAGCTTTGGCCATTCACATCCCTTCGCCTCCAAGGACGTTGACATTTCACGGCGGCATGTCTTGTGGCCCTTTGAGACCCATAGAAGGCAAATTCTGCCCATAGGGGCCGGGTAGATACCGAAAAAAAGGTGCGCTCCACATATATATATATATATATATATATGTGGGTATGTGTTTTTTTGACGTGGCCGTGCCGGGAGGTTGGTATAAGGGGTATGAATCGCAGGTATGGTTCGGGGTATGGCTCGGGGGTATGATTCGGGGTATGGCTCGCGTGCCTCTGAACTCTTGCTTTGTGGCTTTGGACACTGCAAAGCTCCCGTGCGCTGGCAACTGGATAGCCGTGAGAATTTGGACCGCTTGGTTGCTACAAGCCAGCCTGGGGCGCTTGTGAGTGGCCTGAACTAGACAGCTGCCACTCTGTGTGAGTAGGTTAGCGAAAGCTGCTGCGCTAGGTGCGCTAGGTGGAAGGCGCAGAGCCACTGCCTGAGGCGAACGTCATGGCCGCCTACTTGGAGTTCAAGCGACCCGCGTGCTCACAGACCCAAGCAAGCGTTGCACATCCTTAAACGCCAGCCGCGCAGAGGCTTAGTGGGCCTCTCACAGGTGGTGAACCGCGTCGCGCTTGATACGTCGCAGTAATTCTCTTTGAGTTTTGTGTTTTTGGGCGGCATAGCTTCGCCAGTACTGCCCAGAGCGCAAGAGGCTCTTGGCTGCAAATGGCAGCAGAAGGGTATGAATCGGGGTATGAATCGGGTATGAATCGGGGGTATGAATCGGGGGACAGATTTTTTTCGACCGGAAAGACACCAAGACAGTGGCCCAGGACAGACAGCTGTTTCCACCGCGTCGGACAGACTGCAGGAAGCAAGCTCCAAGTGTCACCCTGCAAGTCCCAGCATCTTACGTCAAGCTGCACCCCCCGCCACAGCACCACAGATGCTACAGACAACTCTAGTACCAGGACATCCACGGGATTGCTCTATAACTCCATCCATTGGCACTTTCCATTGAAAATAGCAAGCCGAGACCGAGGTGGGTAACCAAGTGTCAAGGAACACCACTTGAGCCAAAATGGCCCCCCACAAGTAACCAGTGAGTGTGTGAGTGGACATGTCAACTGTACTTGGCCCCATGACATCAGAGCCCAACCATGCCATCAGAGCCCAACCATGCAAGCATCGCAGACTCAAGAATAGATCCAGAAACCACAAATGAACCAGGTATTACCTCGGAGTCCCTACCCCCTGGCATCGGTCCACATGTCAAGCTCTCTAACACTGTTTCCCCCCTTCTTCACTTGAAGTTAAACCCCTTATAGCTTCCAGCTATCCATGGATCAAATGCAAATGCCACAGTTCTTGCAAGTTCTTTTTTTGTGTTTTTTAAGGGGTATGACTCGGGGTATGGCTCGGGGGTATGGTTCGGGGTATGATTCGGGGGTATGGCTCGCCCAAGCCCCACCTCCCACGAAGACTAAAGAACTGACACGGTAAAAAAACACAGACCCATGTGTGTGTGTGTATATGCGTGTGTATAATACATACGCAAATACATCTTGTCCACAGCAAATCTCTCCTGACAGAGGCGCACGATGTCCATCACCAACTCCCACAAAGATGTGATGACGATGAAGGCATCAAACCAGTTCCACATCCTCAGCCCCAGAACGAAGCTCCGAAGCCCAGCTTCGGGCGGTTAATTCCGCTTTTGGTTGACTTTCAAGTAGGAAACTGGGCGAACAATCGGCCGACCTGGATGGTTTTGGGTATGGGTGTAGTGAAGGCTCTACAAAGCAACGGCTTCAAAATCTTTGTGGATTATGGCAAGGGTTACTGGCCACCTACTAAGTACCTTGCCCTTCAAGTAAAACGCGCATGTAGTCAAGGTAAAGAATTATTTTCCAATTTGGCCAACAGGGTTTTCTGTTCGGTGAGGCAATTGGATCCTCTCATTGGGGAAGCCCCGGTCAGGCGTTCCAAGTGCCGTCCAAAAAAAGCCCGACAACTCAGTTGGTCACTTGGGGCCATGACTAAAAATGGACCAAAGAGGGGAAACCAAACAGTCAGAAGGTCGATTCGCCATGGGCAACTGAGACACGGAGTTGCTGCAATCTCGGGCCAAGCAGGACACTGCTGAAAAGCGGTGTTGGGGAGGGAGTGCTGGTGGTTGATTTTGATCTGCTTGGTGTCCTATTCCTTTGAGTGGGTCAACTCACTTTGAAACAGTGGACGAAATTCCGAAATCCACGCCGAATGATTCGCACCACAAAGCGCTTTCCAAAACAGCACGTTTCTTCTGTTCACTTCGTTCTCTCTTTCTCTGCCGTTGCTTCCAGAGGGTCTTGACTCAGCAAGGCAACGAAAAAGGTGCCCACTGATATTCAGGGGCACAACTAGGCCAGCCCGGGCAGACACCAAGTAGGAGACTTTGTTGAGGTGGTTCATGTCACTGCCAACCAGGGGTTCTGCTTTAATCCGAAGTTAACTTCGGCCCATTGCATTCAGAGCGTCCATTCCTCCGAGAACAGGAAGCGCCGCCAGCCCTCCGCCAGTAGCCTGAGAACCAGCTCCAGCGCGAAGAGAAAGGCGAAGCTGTACCTGGGCAAGGCTCCAAAAAGCGAAAAACTCGGCCTCCCGCTGGTTGGTGGCTTCGAGCCGCATCGGTAGTTTGGTCAAGGGGTGGTTTCCCATTTATCCTCGGGGGATTCTGGAAGACAAGTGTCCTTTTAAAGGCCCCCCCTGTGGCGAGAGGGTACGGGTATCTAACCCAGAGGGGCCGCTGGAAACCACCCCATTCCATGAAATTCGGACTTGCAGAGCCTGTGCTTCGCCCGGATTTTTCTTTGTTGTTTTCGTCGAGAGCGGGTGGCCCAGCGGGCAATTTCTTGGTTGACCTTGGGTTTGGGGAGCAAAAAATCGCATAAATGTTAGCAGTTCAGTGGATTTGGATTTCAACCTCTAAACCACAATAATAAAGAAAAATGGGAAAACATGTGTCCCAACAACAACCATGCAATTCTCAAACTGAGAGTGACCGGGCTATCTTGGCCTGGTTCAGTAGAAACAACAAATGACATGTTCTGATTCTGTTCTATATAACCCCCCGAAGATATGACATTGCTTTTGGGGGTGTCTTTTTTGAATGTACCCCTTTTTGGTTACGAGGAAAGCCTAACTGTTTGGGGAGCCCCCCTAGAAAATGCGAGGACGAGCTGCCCCTTTGGGCTCGTCGACCCCGGGAGAGAGAAACAAAACAACACACAAAAAAACAAACAAAAACAAAAACCGAGGCGCTGGAAGACGTAGATGGCCGGCGGCCGGGTGGTGTCTTGTGTCCCCAGGCCCTGCTGGACCTCTACGCCGATGAAGACGGAGCTGGCGAGGACCACGAAGCCGAAGAACAGGTCGAAGGCCGGGTGGAGCCTCAGATCGGCTGATTGGAGTGAACAGCTTTTCTTTTGGCTTTTATTTTGTCTTGTTCTTTCTTCTTCTTCTTTTTTCTCTTTTAAGTGTTCTTTGTTTGTCGTTTGTTTTTTGTTGTTGTTTCTTTGGTTTCTCTTCCGTCCCGGCACTCCCGAAACCCCGGAAGTGGTCCGTACTTTCTTGAGGGGATCCTCCCAAAAGTGTTGGGTGCTTCGCTGTTGCAGAGGAGCCTCAGATCCAAAGGTCAGGGGCTCCAAGAGCGGATCCCCCGAAAAAGGCACTCAAAAGAAACCCGAATACGTCCATTTCGGAATACGTCCCCTAGAAAAAATGTTGTTTTTTCCAGTGATAGATTGCCTTCTTGAAACCAGCAGGCGAAAATTCTTGCATATTCTCAAGCAACTGAAAAAAAAAACTGGAAGCTACTGGTCCCTAATTGACCTTAGGCGCTATAGCCTCTATGTGGACTGGGGGGCGTATGGTTGAACAACTGAGCTGCTCCAATTCGGAAGGCTATGAATCAGGGCTGTGGGGAATGGACTCCACTTCTGTACAGAAAGGGCTCCCCAAAGACTAGTTTGTTGATATGAAAATAAACTTCCTTGTATCACAGAAGTTGGGAGAAACCCCGAGTGATCCCACAACCCTGCTATGAATTCAACATCCTTTTGGAGGACATCATTTAGATTGGGATTCCTGTCCATGAATCCCTTTTGAGGTGGTTCCCCTATTATTTACTTGGCCATGTACCTTTCCAGAAGGAGGCCCCTAACTAGCTCTTCGATTGGTTGACACTCTTTCCACGGTTTTGAATTAAGAGGTGGTGCAGTTGGATTTGGGTTCAAAGGGGTATACATCCGCTCATGTCGCCACTAAAGGGTATAATCCCATTTTACTTGGGGTGGTTTGGGGGTGGAAAACCAGTGGAAATAAAGTTGGGTATCAGTCAATGGCACAATTCCTCAAGAAAGCGATTTGTGTTGGCCACTGTCACCACGAACAAAACAAGACTCACTTTCTGAGTGGATGGCCCAAAGTTTGTCCAGCACTGGAATGGTCCGAACGCGAGTGGGAAAGTTGGCAAAGGCATCAAAGGAAGCCAAATGGAAGTGGCTTTCCTTTTCAGCTCTCCTTGAACCAATCTGAAAAAAGGGTACCGTCACACACACAGACATATATAAGTGCATATATGAACATAAAAATACGTAGTATATACTGCATACACATGCACAAAACGATCTGAATATCTAAAACAATTGCATCTGAGACCCATTGCAAAGCCTTTGCCAAACTCCGGCCGAGCAGCACTAGAGTCTGCAAGAACCACTGGGCCCTCTCAGTGGTGGAAGGGAGGTGCTTCCTCACGCTAGCATACCTGCGGTGCGGGCTGTAAAAACCAGTGGGGGGGGAAGGCAGCGAAGGATTTGGATTTTTGAGGGCCTGGGGCTTGGGGGCTCGGGGGTGATGGAGGGAGGAGGGGGGGCCAAATTCGGCCCTCACCTCCCTGCCCTGCAAGGCCCCATGAAAAAGGCGGCCCCCTTTGAAGCGGTCGCTTAAGATCCTTGTGCTTCTATGCTGACCTGCGATTAAACCTACGGTTAAACCACCTAATCACGACTGTCCTGAAAGCCTTTCCAGATTGCCAGCCAATACTACTTTCAAGGGCCCAAAAGATTTGGCAACAAACAAACACCACTTATCATGTTTTTTTACCAGTCACCAACCCCCGCCTCAATTGAAGACTGTCCTCTTAGCCCTCCAGAATCGAAGAAATGAGAACCCGAGCTTAATTACCAACTGCCGATAATTGCTTCTGCCAATGCAATTTCCCCTTAAGGGTCACCCCTCCCAAAACCGGAAAAATGGAACAGGCATCAAGTTACAGCCAACGTCTGGTTGCATGTTGTTTGACAAATCAAGGTTTGACAACATCGATTTGGAAGGATCGGTGCTACGTCGAATGAACCAATCCAGAAAGGGGGTTCCCCAAAAAGAACCCCCCCCCCCCGCGAAAACTTGTGGGTTTTGTCCGGTTCCTTGTCCATTTGCAGGAGTAAGCCTGGTTGTGGCATTGTGTTGTTTTTTTGTTTGGGGGGAGGGGTTGTCGTTTGATGGGTATGTGCGAAATAATTGCGAAAACGGTTGGATGAATTTCCCCCACGGAATCCCAGATGGGCATTGTTGGTCGCAACCAGTGCGCCAGGTTCTGTTCCAAAACGCCCAACTTTCATTTTCAAAGGGAATCTATAACCACAGGTTGTTTTTCCAGGGGACTTCAGCAAATGTGTCCGTACCTTTCGATTCGGGTCCCAGAATGTGGACTCCCCCCTCCCCTCTCAAGTTCGGCAAGATCCAGAGAGAAGGGGGTGCCGGATGCAGGGTCCCCTGAGCCCCATTAATCCCGCCGTCTCCGTTCGTCCAACCTCTGGCCGAAAGGACAGCAATACTGTGGATGGACGAACTCTATTTCGCACCACCGTTTGGAAACTCTGGCTTCTGATTCGACCCCCCTGTAACTACCAACAAACGTGATGGTTTTATGCCCATGGTTTCACCTTGTGCGAAATTGAGTTCTTCCATCAGTAGGTGCCTAAGAAACCCTGGTTGGTTCCCCACAGTATGGGACACATTTCGTGGTGCGGTCTCGGATTTCGCGTCCATCCACAGGAAAGAAAGGAAACCGCCTTGAGTCTCCATGACCCTTCAACAATAGGTCCTTGACCACCATGAACCCACTATTTAGGGTAATGACCTCATTTTAACAGGGTCATGGAGAGACTCTGGGCAGGGCTAAGGAGTGCCGGGCATAGTAGGAGGGGCTCCAAGGATTGCACTGGCCTGGCGCTTCGCCCTGTTTTCCCGCTTCAAAACCAAGAGGAACATGGCTACATACAACATACATACATATATAAGCATATGCACATATATATATATATATATATATATGCATATGATATATATATATATAAATAGTATAATGTGCATATATATATATATTATAGATGTTGTGGTAGCTGGGATCCACCGGAAAAAGCTTGCAAGAAAGGCCCGGCGCTTCGCCTCTTCCGTCGGTGGGTGCCGTCGGCCGAGGCGGCGGAGCGCTTCAGCGCGAGGTCAAACTGGTCGAAGGGCAGCAGCGCCGGGGTGAAGGACTTCCGGTGGGAGGCGCGCTTCACCTGCCGACAGCTTCCTGCCAGCTTCCTAACATGTTTTTTTTTGTATTACACCCTGGGAATACACCTGGGTATTGACCCCATTTAGGCACACTTCCGGAAAAAAAAGAAAAGAAAGAAAGAAAGAAACACGTGCTATTTTGAACCATTCTGGGTCATTTCCCAAGGGTGTAATCGTAATACAAAACCCTCAGAAGCTTCTCTGGCTGGGTATAGTTCAGTGGTTCGAGGGTGTCTCAAATCCACAAATCATGGTACCTGGAGTCTCCATGACCCTTTAGAAATAGGTAGACCCCATCATTTAGGGTAATGACCCCCATGTTTAAAGGGTCATGGAGACTCTAGGTATGTCGAACTACCCCCTGGCCAACTACCCCCCCCAAGTTAATTCGACTGGGGCTGAAATAAGACCCAACTCGGACCCAACTCGAACCACCAATCCGAACCACTTTGTGGAAAGTCGCCCCATCACGCCTTTGGAGGTGAGTGCAACGCCTGCCGTGAACTGAAGTGAGACTGTCACGTGACAAGGGAATGATCCTAAACGAAGTGACATGTTTGAAGAGTTGAAGAGTAAATCAACACGAAAAAAGCCAAAAAAGGAGCCATGCCACATAGTGGCTTTCCTGTGCAACTAGGGGGTTCCCCAAAAAACAAGGGCAATAGAAATTTCACTGGGGATTGGGGTGTACCAAAACGACATTTTGTTACGATCATAGGTATCAAACATAGACTCAAATGCCCAGCGGCCATGGGAAAAAGGGGGCATCCTGTTTTGGTTGTGGTTGAGTTTAAAGGGGAACTCCCAAATCGAAGACACAATTGGGCGCCGGCTGGGGAACTGGGTGGAAGCGCCCGGAGGCTAAAGGGAACCAGGGCGCCGAGTTGGGAGCTTCCATGGAATCGACGGCAGGGGAGGGCCACTCCTTTGCCCCTTAATGTTGGCCCCGGACTTTTTAAACCCATGGCTATTCATATGGGGGTGGTTTTGGCCCCTCCAGAAAGTGGTCTCAAGCCCCACTCCCCACCCACAATCGGACACCGCCCTTTGGCGCAAAAAAAAAGTGGGGTTGATTCATCTAGGGCCAACGTTATATTCGTCCGGCCTCGCCGTTCGCACTGGAGTTCGACGCCACCTTCTCAACCGAAGCCTCCTTCTCAACCGGCGGCGCGATGTCCGGGATGGGGCTGTCCTGGCCGAATGGGCTCTCAAATAATGTTAGCCCCGGATCAATAAACCCCTGGTTGATTAATAGGGGGGTGTCCCCTTTTAGTGGGGATTCATCACTTTTGGAGAGACACCCCCCAATAATGGGACGGGTTAGGGTTAACATTAGTGGTCCCTATAGGTTGTATATCCCATGAAACCTCCGGGTAGTGGTTCGGGGGGAGAGGGGGTTTGACCATCTTAGATAGCTGCAACCTACAACCCGAACGTTCTAAAGCTCGCAATTCTCTGGCGCTTGCTGGTGCGATAGGCAGGGGATGAGGAAATGAGAAATGGAATGACCCCGATTTAAACCATCCCTTATATGCTTTCCTTTAAGGGCATCCCCAGATTCATTCCCTCATTCGCTACTTAGCACAAGAAAGGGCTGGCTTCTTTTCGGTCTCTGACTGTACATATCAATTGCAATGAAGGCCATTTTGAGAAACACTCATTGGCCTTCGCTGGGACAACTGAGCTATTGGCTGGTCGGACTTGCTTTTGACCTTCACCTAGCGAGGGGGCTAGGTCCACTGGTAATTAACACAGACGCCTTTTGGAGTCTTGCGTCTGCAAAAACGAACTCCGTATACTCAGGGGGTCACTAAAAGGCAACCACAAACATGTCCCTACTATTGAACATGCCGAAGAAGACGCAAGCAATACATATATCACCGCCCTGCTTTTTCGTACCTTTGGGTTGAATAGACATAGCAACCATGATCTTGAATTGTCCCACACGCCAACCAAAAGTGGACCCTTCCAACCCTTGGCACGGTAGTAAATAGTTGACTATTTGTGTCGCCCCCGCCCCAGAAGTAATGAAATGAACAGAACCTAAACATCTCTCAGCCTGAAAACGTGCCGGAACAACAGTCAAACACCTACCTGGAGTCTCCATGACCCTTACAAATTGGGGTCATTTCCCACAATCAAGGGTGGTCCGACCCCATTGTACAAGAGTCACTCAAACTCCGGGTAGACCTCCGAGTGTTCAACTTGTCCGCTTCCCGGAATCGCCGTCCATGCGAACCCCGGCCCAAAACCCGTCCTTGTGCCGTTCCTGAAGGTCCCCTAGTAGAACCGGCCCGCGCCTAAAAAATGACCGGGGAGCTTGAAAAAGGAGCCGTCGGTGAGTGATCCAGCTTTGGCTCACTTGCCCCTGAGGGACCCAGAAATCAAAGGTGATCACCGAAATTGGGGCCATGACCAAACATGGAAACCACAACTGGAAAACCAAAAGGTTAAAAGACGTTAAAAGGTCGATTCGCTTTGGGCAACTGAGTTGGTTCATCTTTGTTTGATCCAGGAAACGGCTTGGACGCGCTTTTGTGGATCCACCCCTGTAGGATGTTAAAAGAGTACTAAAAGAGTACTCAAAAAGAACCTAGAGGGGGAAGGACGGGAGAAATCCACAAAAAGCGCATCCGAACCGTTTTCTAGATATTTGAGGCCGCTTATGGGTCAAAAACAAACCATCGGATATGGACGCCAGGTTGTCAGTCCTTCTTTCCATTTTGGGCACCTATGTCAACGACCCACACAGACAAGCTAAGAGTAGCCATCAAACAGGCGAAACGAGCGACACCTAGACCAAGACAAGAAGACACTTTGAAGGTCAGCTCCGCTTAATTTGCTGGCGAGCGAGTCTTCCTGCACGACCTAGGTGAACAAGAACGCCAGAAATTAAGCGGCAAAGAACTATTGCAAGGGGACAAACAGCTGCTTCTTTTTCGATCAAACTAATGTTGAACAATTAATTAAACCACACAACCATGAAACGTCAAAGTCTCCTCTGAAGCGCGTACTTGTTCCCTTACTTGCAAAAGGTTCGCTGGAATCCACCTTGGGGTTCGCTGCAACCTGAGCACATGTGACATGCAATTCAACACGCAAAAGAACACAGCACACACATCAAGTCACTACAAGCCCAACTAAAACATCGCAACAGAAAAACAAAAAAATCAGCAGCAGAAAGCCCACCGACACTGATCAGCAAAACAGCACACCATAAACGAAAGAACAAACATTTGTTTGTGTGTGTGTTTGTCGGTGTGATGTGCTGTGTTCTGTGCGTTTGTACGTGCGTGTGTGTGCGTGTGTGTGTGTGTGTGTGTGTGTGTGTGTGTGTGTGCTTGTATGTGGGTTTGTTTGGTGTCTACAGTTGCTTTGCAACTTGGTTCCCTGTTTGTTTGATTGCTAGCATGTTTTGTTTAAGCAGGCAAGCAAGCAAGCAAGCAAGCAAGCAAGCCAGCAAGCCAGCAAGCCAGCAAGCCAGCAAGCAAGCAAGCAAAGACAACGAACAAACAAACACGAGCACGCCACGAAACCAAACAAACCAAACAAACAGAAAAAGCACAACATACAACAATACAAACAAACAACCAACCAGCCAAGCAAGCAACCGACCAACCAAACAAACAAACAAACACACAGGTAATCAAGCAATCACTCAAACACACAAACAAAGAAACAAACAAACAAACAAACAAAGAATAAAAAAACAAAACAAACAAACAAACAAACAAACAACCAAACAACCAAACACACGATTCAAAAAAAAAAAAAACAATGCAAACCACAACATAACACACAAACAAACAAACAGCAAGCAAAAGCTAACAAACAAAACAAACAACACAACAACGCAAATCAAACAACCAACCAAGCACACACACACACACACACACAAACCTCAACTTACTCCCATGCTGACGTAGCCTGCCAAGCCACATTTTTACAAAGCTCCTCTTGGCTTTTGGAGAGCGGGGCAAAGCTTGGATCAAGATCTCGTCTTGGTAGTCAAACCTCGCGACTCAAACCCCGTGCAAAAAGTGACAACTGTCTGTCGGTTGAAAGGGCAACCAAAGGAAAACCAGAAGTCAAAAAGGTAAGCTTTTGGTCTGGCAGTGGAACCTCTGCATGACCTCCCTGTGCTGCTGCATAAGCAGGGCCAAGGTCCGATTCGGCGTGCCTGCGGCGAATCAACGCGCGTCTCACTTGTAATAGGGTTCATCGATCAATAGGCCAGATCGCGTGTAGAAATGTTGCCCCTTGTGTAGGAAAATGACAGGACCCAATAATGGTAACCCCGGATTAGTAAACCCCCAGTCAATTCATAGTGGGTGCCCCCTTTAGCGGCTAGCGGGAGTTCATTACTTTTGGACGGGAACACCCCCTCTTAATAGAGTGGGTTTATCAATCCGACACGAACAACATGCTTTGTACCCTTGTTCAAGGGCATTGTCAAGTATGGGCTGTGGAAAGCAAGAAGTAGAGAAGGCAATATATCGTCGTGCTCAAGAGCAACCAAGTACCTAGAGTCTCCTTCTGACCCGAAATAAAATCGGTCCGGTAATGACCAACCATGATTTAGGGTAATGACTCACCCCATTTTTAAAGGGTCATGGAGCAACCAAGTAGAATGGTGGCTTTTTGGGGTTCGCCATTTATCCAAAGACATCGTTGTTGCTCGCCTTCCAGTGGGTCCATTAAAGTAGCATCCGATGAATCCTCGCCATCTAAGCGGTGCTTGAACAGGACGCTTGCCACGCAAAAAAAAAAGGCCAACCACGAAATTAAACCAACAAAAGTCGCCAAACACCCGAAGTTGAACCGCATGGCTGGGACCCACGGGCAGGCAAAGGATAAAAAACTCGTCTAGGTCCAGATTTGAGAGGTTTGAATAAGTTGGTACCAACCTTTTTTTCCCGATTTTGTCTATTTTAATGGGGGAATTCTCCCTCCCGACCAAAAAAGCAACGGGGGAGAAGTTGGCACCGGACCGCTGGGGGACCGAGTCCTCGTCCTCCGTCTCGAGTTTCGACGCCTCGCCTTCGGAAGCTCCTCCTTCGTATCGGCGCTTGGGATCGAGGGAGAGGAAGAGATGGCCCGGCTGCACCGGGCAGGCGCGCTGCAGGGGCTCGATGGGCTCCTCCTCGTTGCTGGGGTCGGGTGGGTGGGGGAGGGGGGCTAGGGGCAGGGGGCAGGGTGGGGGGAGGGGGGGGGGGGGATGCGAGGTGGGGGAGGGTGGGGTTGGGGCGGTTGGGGGTGATGCGGGGGAGGGGGAGGGGGCTCTGGAGATTTTACCTGAAGGGTAGCGGTGTGTGGTGCCATTGATCCAGTGGCCAAGAGGGGAAAGTTGACTAGACATGGAGACCCCCTCCCCAAATTCCATGTTGAGCGGGTGGGGATCTCTGATGTTCCTGCTACACGCTGGTGTCCTCTGCAGGTAGTTGGTTTGACTTGTATCGGGGGCCGCCGCCACCCGTCCTGAAACCCCTGTCCTCCAAATAAGCCTCTATGAAGCTATGATACTGGGGTGTTATGCTTTTGGCGGGAGGCGCGCCCGTTTTTCAGGCAATCCACCTACTTGCTGAGGAATAATCACCCATAGCCTATGTTTGCCCTATGTTGCTGCATAGGGAAACTAAAGGAACACCCCAAGTGCAGAAGCCTCCAAACCTAAAAATGAACAGAACCGCCCCCCCCCCCCCCCACAGAAACAACAAACAAAGCAACTTGATCCAAGAACAGTGAAGACCCCCACGTGTTCCAAAGCTCCTCCAGCGCCAAGTCATCCATCGCGCCCATCGACCTCCCTCAAATCCGACGCCCCAATCAGAATCGAGCTTCGGTCAGCTAGAGAAAGAAACACCCGAGTAAACACGCAAACATCCATTGGTTGTGGTGTTTTGGTGCTTTTTGGTCTTTCCTATATATATATATACACATGTGTATATGTGTTTTTATGGGGAACCATAACAGCTATAGGCGCGATGCAGCATCCAGCTTGTTGCTCGTCGAGTTGGCAGGCAATTGTTTTGCTTCGATGCCTGCCTTGGACATGACTCGGATCGCGCAGTCTTCTTTTGAGAACATCTGCTGGTACCTCATTCCTGATTGGTTTAAAGGGACACTAAAAGGAAAAGCACGTTGTTCTTTTTGTTTGGGGAGGTCCAAATCCCAATTTTCAAAAATACCCGCGTGGCAACCAAAAAGTGATGTCCAAACCTGCTCCAAAGGCATACCATAGGGACCCTAGAGGTACACCGACATCGTCCAATTCCGGCCGGGCGATTGAGAAGAAACGCTGCGCAGCGTTTCTTCAGCGCGTTTCGCGGCTGAGCCAATTTCGAGTGAACTCTCTTTTGGGATTGTGTTTAAAGGGAAACTCAGTTGTCCCTGAAGGATGCAAAAAATGGTTAACCTGTTGGGGGCAGAAAAAACGGACCTAAAAGAAGGAGTTTGCCTTGGGCAAATGAGTAGGATAAATATTGTGGAACCCTGACTCATACCATTGACCCCGGTTGGGAAGCCGGTTGGGTGTCCCCGCCGAAAGGGGGAAACACCCCTACTAATAGCACGGGTTTATTAATCCAGCGTCAACATTAGGATGCCAGGGAGCCGCTGCAGCCATAGGAAGTGAAGGCTTCGTGGAAAAGGCCATGGCCATAGCGGCATCACCGATCACACCCCACCCCACCCCACTCCACCCCACCCCACCCCCCACCCTGGTAATTTGGACAGATGGCTTGGGGGTCGAACCGCCAGCGGCCCCCCTAGCGTCCAAGCCACGAGCTCGACGCACGGTTTGAACACCGACCTTTACCCTCCCATCCACAAACATGGAGCCTCACTGGACCACTTTCCTTAAAAAGGGACCACTAAAATGGTCCAAGCCCAACAAGTTACAAAAGTCCAGGAACACAGGGAGTGAGCCATAGCTCAGGGGTCAAGAATCAATAATCAAAGGACCCTGGTTTCAGATGGGAAGAGTGGATTCGCCCTTTGTCTGAGTCTAAACCTAAGAGTGAGTTGAGTAACGGAAGCTCATTTCAAGGGGCCCGGTTGAAAAGGGCTGCCTTTCACCGAAATGGAGTGAGTTGCGAACAATTGCGCAACTTGGGACCTGGGAATAAAAGGTGGAATTTTTGGACCCTTGACAACATATGGGATCACGGAAACCACTTGGGTCAGATCTGGTCAATTCGCTTTGAGCAAGTGAGCTTAGTGTGTAAGTTTTATAGAGCTAACGCAGGTGTTTCTAAGTCATCCAGAAGAGAGGTTAGAACAAGGGTACCCCTTTTTTCTGTAGCCTATTTTAGTCAGGGAACCCTCCCCCAAAAAAGGGTGAGAAAGTGCACTACTTGGGGACCTAGTGTTGGTCTTGTCCATTTGCCGGGTTGCCAATTTGCGAAATTACCATTTGGGTGTGTCCTTCTTTGCGGGCACCTCTTTTTGGCTAGGTGTTCGAAGAAAACCAAAAGGACCACCGAAGCCATGTTGGGGGGGTCCAACCTGAAAAAAGCCAGCCCCAGATTTTGGAGCCACTGCCAGACATATCACCCCCCCCTACCTGCGCCTGCGCTGCATCGCGGCCGCAAGCCCTCCGGGCAGAGCCTGGGGACTATGGAAGCGTTTTCAGTTCAAAAGGAGCTGGGGCTGGTCTTTCTTTGGTTCGACCCCGAAAATGGCATCGGTGTTCCTTTTGCTTCCCTTTTACACCACCAACAAGGGCGCACCTGGACCCTCAACATGCTCTTAAACATGGGTTGTTCCCCAGAACTATGGGGTGCAGTCCCCTTTTTAAAGGCTAGTTTGAGGGGGTCCAGGTACCTTTTGTTTGTTTTCAAAGGAAGCCGACAGGTAACTAGCATGTTTGGGGCGTCTGAAAAAAGACACACCCTGGGGGGTGGTTCTTGGGGTGAAGTGGCTGGTGAGTGGACAAAACCTACGCTCGCCAACTGAAGGATGAGTTTTGATGAAGCGAGTTTCATGGACGCACGGCAAAACTTCTTTAAACACCACGGGGTGCGAAGCGGGCACTGCACGGCCAGTAAGGCTTCTTGCTACAAAGTGCGAAGTGAGCACTAAGCATTGGCAGGGCCTCAGGGCTCTCGAAGTAATGCATGATTACTGGGTGTTCAGCCCTCAGGCTTGAATGGTTGCACCATCCCCTGTTGATTGCCTTGAACGGCCATGGTACGGTTGTTAAAAGCCGGTGTTGCAACCAACCCTGGCTGGTCCTAGGTGTCCTTTTGGACAATAAACATGTCACTTGCAAATGAGCATCGAATCAAACTAAAATCAGTGCATATCATGTTCGCTTGTGTGACCAGAAGCGATACCTGTGATTGTGGGAAACTCGCTTGCCAAAACAAGCTGGAAATCACGGGTGGTCACCTTTTGGGACCTCCTAAGAAGTGACCAAAACATGCCTCCCAAGACTTCCCCCTTAGACATCACCATGCAGAGGAAACTCGCCTGAAAGCGACCAAATGACTGATGTTTAAAATGGCGATAAAGGGAAGCAGTGACCCCTGCAATATGATACTGGGCTTCAAAAAGACAACATGTCAGCTTTGGGCAACCGAGCAAACAACCCCAAACACAGGGGTTGAAGCTTCCCTAGATTTCTCTCCTGGAGCGCACAGGGCTCTGCGTAGGAGGGTAAAGTCGGAGTACGCAGTACCGTTTTGATTTGGCCTTCGGCATGTCTCATGTAAATTGACCAAGGAGCTCCGATTCAAGATTTTTGGGGTCACGGCAACACACTGAAAGCTACCATCCATGATGATCCAACATGGTCAGCGGAAATGTAGCGTTTGTTCGGTCGAAACTGGAACCCCAAATTGACCATACCTGGCTTGTGCTCGGAAACCTCCCGTTGCCCGTTGCCACCTAAAACGCTAAACAGGGTACCCTCGAACAAGACCTACGCACATTTACTTTTCTTTTGGATTCCCACCAAAAGCAGACAATAATCAACAAGCTTTCGGGTTACCGAAGGTTCTGTACGACCTTTTCTGGGCAGAAGCTTAGCTTTCCTGACAATTCTGGAAGTCAACCCCTGAAAAAAAAAAAACAGCGCTCCAGCTACCACTACAGCAGGTTTTAAATCATGGAATCCCCCTGCGGTTGCCTATGTAGTGGTAATCGGAAGCACTGCGTTGAAGAATCCCGCCGAAAGCCGACAGGGGAACCGACAGGAACCGGCCCAACCGATACCCTGGCAATACTGCGGGTGGACGAAATCCTGCACCACCTAAAAAACTCTGGATTCGGATGATTCCCCTGTATATACCAACCAATACTGGTGTCCCATGGTTTCAATTCGGTGCGAAATGGATTCTGTCCATCAGTAGCACGCCCGTCGCTCACGTGTTTCTAGGTGAGATTTCAATGTCTCCGCGGCCAATTCGCATTCGTCGGCCGAGATTTTGCGCAGGGACTGGCTGCGCCTTTGGCGACAGCCGTGTCGTTTTCCCAAACCCAGAACGCAGTCAAAAGGTCGCGGCACCCAACATGCTGTTGTATGTTTTCCCAGGCGACTCTTTTAAGATTGGCCTCTTAAGGGGAACCAAAAGGAAAAAGCCGTTTTGCCGTGGGGTAATTGCGAAGCCCCACGGAAAGAAGTCTGCAAGGCGAAACTCAAGGCTTCTCCAAGGATGCGAGCTTTCTAGCTTGACTATCCATCTTCTTCTGCCTCAGTGGAGGCGGAAATGAAGGAAGCTCAAGCAAAATCCAAGCCCGACTTGCCGAAAATAGGGCTCCTTAAAAGATACATTTTGCAAATTTCACCAAAATAAAGGGAAATCACAATTTACAAGGCAATGTTCAGGTGCATAGTGTAAGGATCCCTGGAAAAGGGTTCCTCTTGCGTTGCACCTTGGGACAGGTTTGGCATGCCTCCAATGGAGTGAGTGCACTTTGGTGGGGGCCAACGCTTCTTGTTGACAACCGGTAGCCTTAAAACGGACAGCCCTGCCCCGAGGCACTAAGTGATGGATTGCCCCCTTCGGCATCAGAGTTTCATATCAAAGACAGTTTCAGGTATACAACTTATGTAAGGGGGTTATGTTTTACAAGCTGTATCTGTATCTGTGGCATTTCAGCCTTCCAGAACCCACATCTCAAAATGCCACTGAACTCAAAGTTGCTTGCCTTTTCGGGCCCAAAAAGTATTTAGACCACATCAGGGATCCTTACATTATACACCTGAACATTGCCTTGTAAATGGTGGTGTCCCCGTATTTTGATGGAAAAGCCATGTTTCAAATGGGCAAAATGTATCTTTGAAGGAGCCCTGCACATTTGGGGGTTGTCCTATATTCCTTTGCCCGCGATTGGGCCCTTGGGCCGCACTTGCGCGGCACTTGCGCGGACTTGCGCGCGCACAGTGGCGCAGAAACTCGTTTTCGTTGACCTCGGTTTGCGAAGTTTTCGTGTGGATTGCGCGCAAGCTTTTCTAAGCAGTGTGTTTGTCGTTCACACAGCAACCCACAAAGACTTTTCCCGCCGAGGTCGCTCCCGGCAATTCAATCACAGCCTGAAAGAAGGAAAGTGCATGTTGCGAGTGCCTATCCGTTGCTTGAACCGCGCGGCTAAGGACATCCGAGACAGCATGGCTAGATGTCTTGCTGAGGCTTCTCGTGCTTGCGCGAAACTTGCGCGCGGCTTGCGCGCGGCTTGCGCGGATTTTGTCGTGTCAGTTGCTGCTTGTTCAAGTCATGACTCATGACAGCAGAAGCTTTGGCTTCGTTTGGCGTCTGACTGATTCGAAAAGCACCAGTACGGCAAGAAAATATCACCTCCTTTCATGAAGCTAGGCAACATCAGTACGTGAAACCCTTCAAAACTGTAACCTTGCGCGCCCCTTGGGCCGCACTTGCGCGCTCCTTACGCGCGCACAGCTTTTGACAACTTTTACTTCTCCCCGTTCGGCGATAATTAAAACCGAAGACTGGGGTTTTAGGACGGCCCTCATTTGGGGGGGACTTTGCCAAAGCTTAGATCCTGCCTATTCGTTTTTACGCGAAAGTCAGACTTGAATGGGCTGAATCCTGATCCTAGGAGGGTAGGTAGCATGGAATTCGCGCACCACCCCCCAACTCGGCCACGCCGACTCGGCCAAGCTCCGGGTCCAACTTGGTTGACGTTGGGTTTGGGGAGCAAAATTTCTCAAATTTTAGCAGTTAAGTGGATTTGGATTTCAACCACTCAACCACCAAAAGCAAAAATGCAAAATGTTTCCCAACAACAACCATGCCAAGTGAACTTGCGAACTGAAAAGGGGAAAGGGTCAGAACCGGGTACTGCGATGTAACACATAGGTCCATGAACACATGCATACCCCATACCACACGTACCCAATTCCGCGAGCCCAGAAGAGTGCCACTGAACCAGGCCGGGGAATGCTGTGGCGCGGAATCGGCACATTCGTTTCCATGCCTGGGTGCATTAAAGTGACATCCTCACAATTGCCCTGCATTTTTTGTGACAAAGGGGAAACTAACCCACAAGTAAGTTTGAGAACCCCTCAAAATATTCACATTAGTTCACACCCAGTATGCATCTACATGGGAAAGCTACCAATCCCAACCGGCATTGAGGGATGCACGAAAAAAGCAGAAGCACAATTGGAAATTGGTCCCGGGTGCACCTGCCACAGATCTCCGTTTTTCTACCATCCAAGCCTGGAATTTTTCGTTGGAAGCCCCCAACTCAGGGCCACGTCGGATCGGTGAGCTCAGGGATACCTCCAAAAGCCGGTCGCTTCGCATGTCCTCTAATTCACCTGGTGAAGGTGGCGTTTTTGACCGACTCCCTGGCCTCCAACCCTCTAAATCACCTGGTGGTGTTGCTTCCCCCAACTCCGCGGCCTCCAACTCCTCGGTACTGCAAAAACCATAAGTTCCGTTAGAAGGGTGTGTGAAGCACTCCGAAACGCACCCCCCAAACACGATGGCTTCCAGTGGGCTTCCACTCACAAAAAGGACACCCCGAAAAAAAAAACAAAAAAGGCGAGCCGCCCGTATTGAAAGCTTACTTCAGCAGTGATCCGGATGCATGTTACACCGATCGAACATTGCCTTGCTTGTCAATGGTGGTCCCCCCTGATTTTGGTGTTAAAAAAGCAACATGTTTCAAATGGTTGCAAAATGGAGATCTTTTAAGGAGGCCTGTTCAGTTTGTTCAAATACGTGTTTGGGATCCACCCAAACACGTATGCCTTCTATGCCCCCCCCGGACAGATCCCAGATGTTGAGTGGATGTTCCACGACAAAGATGCGGACCCGGAATTAAGTGAAAACTGGGCCCCTCAAAAATGTTGTACCCCAGACACCCCTAACAAAGAAAGTGATTCCAGGAAGCAACCACAGGGGCCTTGTTAGAGTTGGTACCGCTTTTTCTGGGCTCAACCAGAAACGCAAGGGAAAACCGTTGCGCCCTTTTGGGGGTGTTTTCCATTTTAAGACACCTGGAGTCTCCATGACAACCATTAAAAAATGGGGGTCATGACCCTAAATATAGGGGTCATGACCCCATTTTTAAAGGATCATGGAGACTCCAGGCACACCCAACTTGGGAATCAGCGGATGTATTTCCGATGCGAGTTGCTGCTCCAGCAGCAGCGCCTGCTGCTCGTGCAGCATGCTCAGCACCTGCTGTTGGAAGTCCTGCGCAGGCGAATCCCAGGCCAATTTCCCCAACTTCTTGCGATCGGTGCGAGAGATGCAGGGAATGACCCATAGAAACTATCCATCCTGCTGTGGATGGACGTAATTCTGCACCACTTGAAAACCATGGGACACCATTTTTTGGTGTTTACAGGGGAATCATCATTCCTAGGTTTCTTAGGTGGTGCAGGATTTCGTCCATCCACAGTATGGAGGGAACCCCTTCCCTACTGAGCACCAGCAAGCAATGCCCACCCTCAGTTAGGGCTCCGGGTGAACTCTTCCCTACATGGTTTAAAAACATGAACCCTACTCCAAATATGTGTGTATGATGTCAAAACTGGACTAAAAGAAGAGAGGTATACATGATAACCTAATTTGGAGTAGGTGCAGGCCTCTCTTCCAAAAACGTGCCCGGAAACCCCGGTTCGGTTTTGGAGAAAGAAAGAGTTGTCTAACCCACGTCACATAAGGGTCCCAACTTCCCCCGCGCTCAAGCCCTGCGGACAAATCTGGGTTTCTAAGCCCTCAGCCAGCTATGCAAGACCCTGCTCCCCATTTTTTGGACCGTTGCTCCCTATTTTTGGCTATGCAAGACCGTTGCTCCCTATGTTTGGCGCGGTTTGGCGGCGGTCCCTTGATTTGGGTACCTCAAAAAGAATATGTTTTGTTTTTTTCTTCATAACCAAAAACCAAAAAACAAAAAACTCCCCCCCCCCCCCCCCGTGTCCCCCCCCCCCCGCCCGCCAAAACGAGCCAGCCTCGTGGTCCACCTGCTGCACATAGGCCTCCCCCGCGCTCTCGGCGTGGGACCCATCCCAGGCGATGTCGAAGCTCGCCTCGCGCTCGCTCGCGCGCTCGCCCCCGCCCCCCGTCCCAGCCTGTGGGACACAGTGGCAGCGTCGAGCTGCGGGACAAATCACCCCAAAAGTCCAAGCCCTGGGAAAGTTCATCTTTTACAGACATATAGCCCATGTTACCCAAAAAAGTTGAAAAGTTGTGCTTTTAAGAGGTAAGGGGATAAAGAACCCCTTGATTTTTTGCTGGCGGGGCGTCTCATTTAAGCTGCAACCTGCCAGTTTTGAGGAGAAAACACACACAGCCTAGTCATCCACCGGTCGGTTGGGCTTGACTGGTGTTTGGAATGGTTTGGCTTGGTTTGGTGTGGTTTGTTTGGTTGCTTGATCCGGGGTCGACAGTGATCCTTACATTATACACCTGAACATTGCCTTGTAAATTGTGGTTTCCCTTTGTGTTGGTGGAAAAAGCCATGTTTCAAATGGGCAAAGTGTATCTTTTAAGGAGCCCTGGTCAGATCTGGTCGATTCGCCCCGGGCATCGAAGAAACTGCCAGCACCAGCACTCCCCTGTCCCCGCCTCTTTGAGGCCCTGGGAAAGGCTTCGGTCCTCTTTCCTGAAGCGAGCGGAAGGGCAGAGGCTGATCCGTTTGTCCATTTCGGGGTCGAAATGGGCCAGCAGGATCCGTCAATTCGGGTCTTGGTTACGTTCTGCTCCCCTGCTACCCAAAAAGTTGAAAAGTTGTGTTTTTAAGAGGTAAGATTCCGTCAATCGCGTTTTTTCAAAATCGAAGCCGCCCCAAAAATGATGCAATTCGAACCCCTCAAATTGCAACCGCGGGGTGACGGGCGTGACGGGTTTGTGTCCAAATTGGCTTTCCCCACTCAAGGAGGGAACCAAAACGAAAACGACCCAGCTTTTCAAGCACCAAAGCAAACCACAGAAGCCCCGCAAGAAATGCACCACGCATACCATGCTGAAGAACCCTGAGGTCCGTAAGCTGACTGTTGAGAATGGAATCAAAAGCATGACCATCTTCTCAGTTGCCCCTCAGGGACCTGAAACAAAAAGGTTCACCTTTTCAAATTCCTCCAGTAGAGAGGTTAGAAGAAGTTGGTCCCAACTTTCTTCGGTTTTGTCTATTTTGGGTCCCGAACCCTCCCAAAGGGATGAGAGGTTGGGCACCTGGACCCTGTTGGGACCTAAGCCGACAGCCACGGAACCGCCCTCCGGAACAGAGACCGGGCGGAATGGACCCGCGCTCTCTGGGGGGATTTCAAGGGATAACGGAAAGACACATGCAATTTGAGGGGTTCTCAACATTATTTTTTGGGTGGCTTCGATGTTGAAAAACGCGATTTCAAGGAAGGGAAAGACGCATGAATCGCCATCAAAGCCGACCGGTACAAAAATGGACCCAGAACCATGCCTCAAGAATAAAGGCGGATATCCGCTATTTGCGACTGGGACTGCCCCTTAAAAAAACGTCATCTACACAGGTTTTGATTGTGGCTCACATGGTAGTAGCTTTCGGCTCTGGGAATAAAGACGCGTGGTAAGAACTTTGGCTTTGGGAATGAAACGTTTTTTGGGGGGATAAGATGGATGGCCTTCCTCGGTTCCCGGTAGGCCGGCGGATCATTCTTGGATCCGAAAAAAACATGCTCCGCCGGGCGTCTTGAAGGTGCTCACCGGCACCTGTGCCAGGTCTCCGCAACTTCCATGTGCCTTTTCGCCCCTGGGGAAACAAACAGGAAATCTGTCAAGTCAATCCCCTTTAAAGCCGAAAAGGGAAACGTAAAAACACATTCTTAAGCAAAGTTGATGTCCTTTAAAGCGGCGTGTCACCGGCGTGTCGATCTAACGAAAAAATCTGCACTGCGGAGGGGCCCTCTGAACTCCGAAAACGATTCTTCACGTTTTCGGCATGTCAGCTCTGAAGCCTGAAGCGCAACGGCTCAGAGTCTGCCCCTCACAACCCTTGGTATGGTGGCAAGCAAGCTTCGTTTTTTGCAGCTACCTAGAGTCTCCATGACTCTTTAAAAATGGGGTCATTACCCTAAGTAGTTGCCACTGCTTGAAAGTTAGTAGAATTTAGTTCTCTGGGTCTCCGCTTGCCACAAACAGAACACATCAGGAAACCACCAAAGCGTGGGACATATGTTCTGCACACCTGTTTGGGGTGGTTGATTCTGGCTCAACTGCCACAAACGAACGGTGCACATTTTGGAGCCAAAATTTCGATGTCCCTGGAAAACAAAGCCTAAACTTGTTGGATTCCATTCAATTGTGCCTTCCCAGGAACAGGTAAAAAGTTTGGATTTGGAGGCATGCATTCATGTGGACCAATATTGACAGGTCAAGTCCGGTCGACAGCAAACACCAAAGCCCCTCCTTTTTGGTCAACCGGTTCTTAAAGTTGAAAGAACAAATCACAAGTATGTTCAACAGAAAGCCGAACTCGGCCAACATAAAACTATTGCCAAACATCCCCCACTCAAGGGGACTTTGGAGGGGGTCAAAACCCGGCACCCGAGGACAAATCAAACAGCCAACATCCGACAAGACTAAACAGCTGAGTTCAATTTCAAGAAGGCCAAACCCCAGGCCAGCCATGGTTGGCCATTTTCGTCTAGTACCTTTGGCTTTGGGAAATGGGACAGAGGGAGCCCCTTTTCTTGGTGAGGCTTGGGCTCCTTTCAGCCGAAAGCCGCCTGTCGCCGAAACGTTGAGAGAGGCCTCCCAGTTGGCGTCCAGGAACCGGAGGTCCGTGTCAAGGCTTAGGGTGAGGCGACCCAGGGGGAGGTCCTGGCCGAAAGCTCTCCCACCCTCGACCCGGAGCCCGCGAGGCGTTTTTTTCCCTCGGCGGCTTTTTCCCTGGCGTCCGCTTCTGACCCTTTAAGAATAGGTCCATGACCACATTACTTAGGGTAATGACCCCATTTTTGAATGGTTGGTTTTTTCCACCTGCAGTCTCCTTCTGACCGTAATGACCAACGATGTTTTAATGGTCATGGAGACACTAGACACCTGTTTCCGGCCGTTTTCTTTGGACCATAGGGCCCAAAGACGCTTTGGCATCCGCCAGAAGAAGCGACACCCGTCCGGAATTGGTTGGCCCATGGTGGGAAATGAGCGGCTACTAGGGGCTCGAGAGGGCGCCAGGGCACACACAAAAATCATAGTGCCTGCTTCACTCTTAGCCGCCCGAAAAATAACCTTCCATTTGCTCAAGCGCCCTTGAACAAATAGAAGATATTTCCAGTAGTGATAGATTCCCTCAAAAACCAACCAAGCGAAACCAAAAAAACATACTCTTACGCAAATAGATGTTTAGCATTTTCATCTGAGGAGGCTTTAGTGGGGCTCCATTTTTCAACCGGGCCGATGCCAAGGGGGGGGCGGGGGTTGGGGGTAAGAACCTCAAACGCTTGACTCCCGACCCAGTTATATATTATATATCTGGGCTGTCCTCAACCCCCCCGCTAAAAGTTTGACTTTTAGTGGGTTAAATGGAAATCCCACTAAACACTAAAAGGCTAAAAAGCTAAGGGGATGGCTTGGAATCACCAAGATATATAGATAATTTCCTTCTAGCCCCTATCTCGTGAACCTGGCAAACGCGCGATGCCAGTGCCAGCCGTAGCACTTTATCAAGTTCTTCATGACGGTGTGGATGCCTATAACGGCAACTGGGAGCACAGAAGCATGGAGTTTGAACAAAATCTGGACCCTTGTCCTGCATAGCTTTGTCCGGCTGCCACTGGACCCGCACCTGGCGTGCTCGTTTCTTTGTGTTTCTCGCCGCGCTGATAATTCCGGTTGTCAGGGCCCCCCCCCAAGTGGGGAACCCCTGAACCCTAGTAGCACGTATTCTTGGTTGACGTTGGAAGGGGAGCAAAAAAATACATTTTAGCAGCTAAGTGGAAATTTCCCACTAAACCCACAATAAGCAAAAATGTAAAATGTTTCCCAACAACAACCATGTATTGGGATTCGGGGGCCCTTGCCAACCATAGGAAATGAGCCAAGAGTCCTAGAGCCCCGCCGGGATAGGGTCGTAACTGTTGCGGGCAGCTCCGGCGCCGGGCAAGACTTCTGGGGATTCGCTACGAGCTCAAGTTGCCCAGTTTGAGCCAAAAAAAAGTGTCTGTGTTGGTTTCTCTTAGAGAAAAAACACAAACGCCCAGTATAAAGATCCAACCCAATAGCAGTAGAGACGCTGCTTGGGCTTCAGCAGCAAACAACACGGACGCCCGGAATCTCTGTGCGAACTGGGGTGCTTCCTCAAAAGGGACTGCAGGTGGTTTCCGTGCTTGTGGGCCTTTCAAAACAGAGCAGCTTGGCCAATCCGAATCTTCCATTGCTTGTTTGCCCCCTGGAACAAAAAATGTCCAGTGGTGAAATCGATTCCCTTTAAAACCAACAAGGGAAAATATAAAATATTCATTTCAGCAAATGGAAGCAATCCACACTCCCAGGATTGTTGTATAGCCACTGCATAGGGGACCCGTGTCGCAACCCCAAAGTAAGGCTCTTGCGGATTGCCTTTGCTTGGTTGTTTTTGGAAGGGGGAGCAACAATTCCTCAAGTTTTAGCAGTTCAGTGGACTTGGATTTCAACCACTAAACCACAATCAGCAAAAAATGTAAGGACTGTTTCCCAACAACAACCATGAATGGGGAAAGCCAACCTTCTCCTGGGGATTCATCCCTTTAGTTCAGCTTCCAACTGTTGGTAGCTTGGATTGGTGGTTTCCTAACAACAACTATATATATATATATATGGTTTGGCTTCCCTTTAAAACCAGCTAATTTAATGAGGCTAAGAGGGTGCAACCAAATGTAACAACTGTTTCCTAACAACAAGCATACTAGTTTGGCAGATACCCACATGTATTCTGGGGCCCTGTCCTGCCATCCTGCCAAGCAGCTGGGCATTCGCCTTCCTAACAACAACAATGTTTGAACAGCCCAGTTCTCTGGGTGTCCTTTAAGGAATCCCAAAACTTTCGGCCACGATTTTGAAAAAAAACCAGGGAAGCAAACGGTTTGATTTGGCCCCCGGTAGCAGGGGAAATACATATTGTTTGATGTTGTTTGTTTTGTAAATGTTCTTTTAACTAAGTATTTGTTTTAAGAAAAAAACAAGAAGAACAAAAACGGCAACACCATGGCGGTTGCGCGCAATGCCTTGTATCCAGCAAACTTGGAACTACAAGTTGTGGCCTTGTGGATTGCTATTGCTCAAAAGCTGGGAAACCGAACAAGCCATGCTCATTTAGTTTAGTGAGTGCGTGTACCCCTGACCAGGTAACGGTTGGGGCTTTTGCATCCGCTCTTTCCATTCTCGACTAATCGTAACCCGGTAAACAACAAACGCCCACTGCAAAGGTGATGAACCACCAGTAACAGGGGACACTCCCGGTTGATCAACGAGGGATTTTGTTAACCGGGGTTCCCATGAACTGGGTTGGCCCAAACAAGTCCAGACTTCTTTTCCACAACGGTCCTCCCAAAGGAGCAGGGCCCAAAACCCATCTTTGAGTTCTGCCAAGATAATAGTTTGAAGAGGGCTTACTATAAATCTCATAAAACCAGGTAGGAGAACCCGTGGCTACAACTGCCCTCTTCAAAGGGTATCAAATCCGGAAACTTGGGAAGCGAGCATTTGCTGAAGAAGCTGCGAGGGAATACTGCATCTACCATGGTAATCGACCCCTCAACCCAAACCACAAATGGAAGCTAGCGTCCCTTAGCCCCCAAAAATGCTGTGGAATCCCGAAATATTGCCAGGAAGGATATCCCATTATTTGCCATAGTGTGGCTGGTGTGCTTATCTCAAGGACATGGTAACAAAGGTAACCGATCTCTTTTTCGGGTTGCTGGACTAAGTCTGCACAACTTGAAGTCTCCGAGAAAAAAACGGACCGGGGTCACTGCATGTCCGATTCACAAGTTGCACTGTACGCGCGGCGCCCGTTGAAACCTACATGCAGGACCTACATCATGGAGGGCTCGCTTTACACCCGGGCGAGCTTGCCATGGAATAGGCAAAATAAATGCCCAGGGTACACCAACAAACAATATTTAGCTAACCTTCAAATACAAAATACTTCGAGAAATGCCAACACAGGCAGTGTTTGATTCACAAACTTTGGTACGGCAGCAAAACACCGTGTTGTTTGCAGCCCCCTACTAAAAATGAACAGAACCCCAAAACCAAGCAAGTTGCCAAGAACACTTAAGTTTGTGTAAAGGAAGGAATTGCTTCACTCGATTCCGGCGATTCCAATTGCCTGCACTTCCTGCTTGCCCAGCTGCATCGTCACCTGCATCGGTGGGACAGGACGCCTTCCAGAAAGGTGTCGTACATTGTACCCGACCACCAACTAACATGGAAGTGCACAAAGCCTCTTTCCAAGAAGAAAGTAGTCTTTGTACAGGGGTCTGTGCACTTCCACGTTAATCGGTGGGAGGGCAAGTAGGGAGGGGTTCCCTGCGATTTTCCTTTAACACCCCAAAAGGCACCCTCCAAAGCAGCACACCCATATATGAACTTCTTGTAAGTCTCTTACAATACCGGCTATGGACCAATTGCGGCAAACCCGTCATCAATGGGGCCCCAAATGGCCATGGGCAATTGCGACATCTATTGTCTCCGAAGTGTAGCACATTTTTCCAGAGCTCTGCGCATCCATTTGCACCCCCAGGACCCTTCCTTGAGGGGAAGGGTCAAACAGGTTTTAACTCACTTCCGATTGAGTGGATTGGCCAAACAAAGTAACCAAACTTCTTGTTTGCCACTAGAAAGGTCTTCCCAAAAAGTGACTAAGGTGCAGCAACTCTGGAAGTGAAGCATACTGTGGTCCCTGTACAATTTGAGAAACCCTGGAATGATGATTCCTCTACAAATGCTAGCGAACATTATGGCTTCCTGGTTGCTGTTGACCCCCCTGCAAAAAGCTTTCCTTTTTGGGGTTTAGTGGAAACCCCTTGATTTCCCAAAAAGTTGAAGTCTAAAGATCCAACCCAGTAGCAGTCAAGAAGTAGTACAGGGTTTCGTCCACCACAGTTGCACTAAATGGCCGTATGCTCAACGAGCCGCACGACCGTCCGACGCTTGCTTCTGCTCGACGGGCACAGGCAAGGGTCCTTGCCGCTAGCCGAATGGTTAGCTCCCTTCCGGCCGAGTGGAGTGGCCAGGAAAACGTAGCCAAACTGTTTGTTACCACCAAACTGGTCTTCCCCAAAAAGTTGTTTAAAGTCCAAGAATTCAGGAAGTGAGACACCCTTTATGCTTGCCACTACAGTGGTTTTCCCAAAATTACAAAGTCCAGAAACTGAGAGGCTGAGTTAAACGCCCGTGCGCAGTGCTGGGTTCACCTGTTGACTTGATCTTATGAGTTGCAAAATGTGTATGCGGGTACGTGTCAAAATCATGGGACCCGGCAAAATGGTGGTTACTATTATTTGTTACTTTTGGTTTCCTAGTCATACTTCATCTGGACCACTTCTTAGGCCGCATTCATGTTAGGATTTCATGAGAGACAAACAACAAAGATGAACTATGTGGAAAAACAACCTTGGCCAAATTATGATCCCCAGAGCCATTTACAGCTTTTATCCTCATCTCTCCTTTTAGTTTCCCTTTAAACTCATCTTGCCCAAAGAAACCCGGTAGAACCAACCAAAAAATGAAGCCCCTGCTGTGCTGGACCGCTGGCTGTGCTGGAAACGTGCTCGAATTTCACCGCAGGGCTCCGATCCCGGCCAACTCGATGCTGGCCATTTGCTTAAGTAGGGCTCACGCGAAGTTCCAGTTGAGAAATTGTCTGGTGTCCGTTGAAAGGATCCCCCCTTTTGGAGGTTCCAAAAAGGGAAGTGGAGGAAACCCTCTTAAGTCCCCTAGAAAGTAATATCTCCATAGGTTCCCATTAACACCGGCAGGGGGGAACAAAGACTATGCTTCCGATCAATGGCTCGAAGCCAACAGAAACTTCTTTTATTCCCCTGTTGCAGCCCACTACCAATGAACAGAAGCAAGAAACTCAGCTAAAGAAGCAACATGCAAGAAGCAATGAGGTAAACTAAGTGCATTCCTTTTTGGTGTTCTCTAAATACCAAGAGGAAGTCCAACCTATTGTTGAACCCTCCTTGTTCAGCTTTCCCCTTTCCCTTAGTTACATTCCTTTACTTGCAATTTTCCCCTTCCGTCTCCCTTTGCCATTTCCCAGGCTTGGGTGCCATGCCCTTCCTTGCCGTGCCCCGGAGTAATGTTGACCCAGGATTAATAAACCCGTCCCAGTATTAGCGGGGTGCTCCCTCCAAAGTGATGAATCCCCACTAAAAGGGGACACCCTTCTGTGGATGGACAAAATCCTGCACCACCTAAGGAACCCTAAAATCATAAGCCGCCGTCCATCCATAGTATTCATCAACCAGGGCTTTATTAATCCGGGGCTAATATAACATTAACGGGCCGGCCATGCCATAGGCATAGGTGTCCTTTTGGGGGAAATGGATGGGTTTCCCTGGTAGATGACTAAACCCAGGCAAGCCACGGCGATCGCCACCTATGGCTCTACAAAAACCACCCAAAAAGGGCCACCTATGCCCCAGACCCCAGACCCCGCCCGTGAAAACCGCCCCCAAAACGGCACCCGAAGCCGCCGAAGTCCCCCGCGGGTCGGGTCGGGTCGGTCGAGTGGGGTCCTTGCAGCAGGCCCTCCTTGGTGCTGAGCCGCAGGAAGGCGCAGACGTAGCCCGTGGAGCTGTTGTAGAGCCTCGCCGGGTCGGTCGGGTCAAGCGCCGCGGGTCGAAATGTTAGGTCCATGAACTCAGGAGATTCCCTTGAAAGCCAACCAGCCGGAAATAACAAACATTCTTGAGCAAATGGATACTAGGTCCGACTCCAGATTTGAGAGGAGCCGCGAGAATTTGGCACCCGTTTCTTCTTTCTTTTTTTTTTCTTCGGATTTGTCTATTTGACTACAGGGCTTCCTCCCAAAATGAGAGAAAGGGCACCTGGCTGGGGGACCTGGTTGACCGGCCCCGGGCTTCCGAGGCACCGGAACAGGGGAAGTGAACCCACAGGTCTGCTGTTTAGGGGCCCCGTTCCCCCTCTCAGAAAAATGACATACATGAAACAAATGGCAATGGGCTTGTCAAAACCCCAAGCGGTTAGCCCCCAGTGAACGTCAACCAATCCAACCACTAAAATAGGTCCTAAAATGGGTGGTGAATTCACCTACCCCAACATGGTACCATTGGTTTTGAACCATGGCCAGATCAAGAAAGTGTGGCGATCCCGTCTTCCGCTCTCCTTCAGGGAAAAAATGACTTGCCTGCCATCTACCCTCCTGTCCACTAACATGGAACCGACCAGGGTCAATTCTAAACCAACATGTTCTTCCAGCCGATTCCGTTTTTAGTGGATGGGATGTTACTTTCACCGAACTGTCACAATGGAGTCTGGCAAAATGGGAAAACCATCCCATCTATGGGTGGATCCAGGCTGCTTTTTGCCAAGTGTTCCAAATCAGCCGGGGGCTTCCATCGCAGCCTTTACTGACAGGTAAACACACAACCGAGGATGCCGCTTAGGCCAGGGTCCCGCGTTGGAACGAAACAGAGAAACTCACCTAACCCCCTTGGACAATCTTTGAGTCCGGAGAAACTGATTGAACTACACCGAATTCACCAGGGATCCTTACATTATCTCACTTGCCCAATGGACCCAGAAATAAAAGGTTAACCTTTTGGGGCCATGACTAAAACTAGACCAAAAAGGAAAAACCAAAATGTCAAAAGGTCGGCTTTGGGCAACTGAGTCATCTCTACTCTTGGTATGGTAGCAAAAAACGTTGTTTTTTGCAGACCCCCAGTAAAAATTAACAGAACCAAAAAAAACTAAATTACACCAGCATAGACCCCAGATAGCAACGGCTACGAACCATGACGCAGCATCATAATGGTTCCCGCGGCATGATAATGATGATATGTTGACAGCATCTTGATGATGTTGACGAAAATACCACAGCTACTCACAGCATTGTGCGCTACATAGACGCGCAGACAACGCCCTAGTGAGTCCATCAGCAAAACAATGATGTTGACAGGATGATGCTGATACACCAGCCACAAACGATTCCGCGCTACATATCTAGCAAAGAAAGGCAGAGACGACGTCCTAATGAGTTCGACAGCATCATGACGATGCGGACAGCATCATGATGATGCTCACAGCATCATGGTGATGGCAAAGGCAGCATCTTGATCATACCACAGCCACGAATCATCTTGCGACAGTGTAATGAAATTCAGCATCATCCTGATGTTGACAGCACTATGCCCGCCACCACACCCACGAACCATAACGCGGCATCGCAGCGATTGCAGCAGCATCATAACGTGGTTGACAACATCATGATGATACACCAGCCACGAACCATTACGCGCGATAGTTAGAGCAGCAACAACGTCCGAATCGGGTCAACAGCATCATGATGCTGCTGACAGCATCATGATGCTGTGGCCAGCATCATGATGATGCGATAACCACGATACCCCAAACAGCACCCGCCCTAGCCCCCTGCCATCCATATGCGCCCGCACCATCACCAACACCCGAAAACAGCAGCCCCAACGCAGCACCCGCGCCAGCGCCGGACACGCCCCCGAGCACCCTGCCGTCACGTACTGTCACCAGCACCTGAACCTGAACCGAACAGCACCCAAAACCGCACCTGCGCCCCAAAGTGCATGCCCCCTAGCTCCCAGCCGTCAATCTTGCAAAACAATTTCCCTTCTTCATTAGAAGTCTATAGTTTCCAGCTAGCTGGGAAATAAGCCCACGCGGTCAGCTGCACCTCCAACAGCAACACAAAACAGCACCTGCACCACCGCCCCAAACTGCATGCCCCCTAGCACCCGCCGGCAATCTCCAAAAATTGCGCCCGCAACGTCAGCAGCACCTCAAGCAGCACCCCAAACAGTACCCCAAAACAGCTGCATCAGCTCCCCAAACTGCAAGCGGCCATCAATCTTGCAAGAATGCGCCTGCACCATCACCAGCACCTCAAACAGCACCCCAAACTGAGTGCCCCCCCGCTGTCCATCAGCGCCTTAAACAGCACAGGCACCAGCACCGTAATCAGCACCGCAAACTGCATGCCCCCTAGCACCCGGCCGTCAGTTTAGCGGCACCTCCACCAGCACCCGAAACTGCATGCCCCCTAGCACCCGGCCGTCAATCTTGCCAAAACAGGACCTCCGCCAACACTCCAAACTACATGCCCCCTATCTCGCAAAGCGGCACCTCCACCAGCACCCGAAACTGCATGCCCCCTCGCACGGGGCCGTCAATCTCGCAAAACTGCACCTCCACCAGCACTCCGAACTACATGGCCCCCTATCTCGCAAAGCGGCACCTCCACCAGCATGACTTCTAGCGCCTGGCCGTCAATCTCGCAAAACAGGACCTCCACCAACACTCCAAACTACATGCCCCCTAGCACCCGGCCGTCAATCTCGCAAAGCGGCACCTCCACCAGCACCCGAAACTGCATGCCCTCTAGCACCCGGCCGTCAATCTCGCAAAACAGCACCTCCACCAGCACTGCAAGCTGCATGCCCCCTAGCACCCGGCCGTCAAGCTCGCAAAGCAGCACCTCCACCAGCACCCCAAACTGCATGCCCCCCAGCACCCGGCCCTCAATCTCGCAAATCACTTTCCCTTCTTTATTAGAAGTTAGAACCCCTATAGCTTTCAGCTATCTGGTGAAAAACCAAAAACATGCCAAGAACAGTGAAGGAGTTATACACCTAATCATTGCAACTTGTCAATGGCGGTGTCCCCTTATTTTGGTGTTGAACAAGCCATGTTTCAAATGGTTGCACAATGGAGATCTTTTAAGGAGCCCTGTTTACTGAATACGGAAAACCCAAAAAAAGGCCCGGTCCCCCTTTTCACGTACCGACCCCAATCGATCAATAACCCCAGTCAGTCATCAGGGGTCCCTTTCAGGTGCTGGAACGCATATCTTCTAGTTTCATTTGCTTGAGCCCTCCGAAAAATTAAACCATTTCCAGGGATAGACTCCGTTTAAAACCAACAAGGGGGAAAAGCAAAGAGAATAATATTGTCGAGCAAACGGACATCCGGAAGAGAACGTTCTTGATAACTGGGGGGGGGTGACTCAGCGGTGAAACGAGTCGTGCTTTTGGCTTGCCCAAGGCTGCGGGTCCTGTTCCATAGTCCAAGCAAGGGTCCATGATGTACCTTGTTTTGAAGGAAACCAGGGTGTGGGCAAATCAGACACACACACACAAACACAGACACAGACACAGACACAGACACAGACACAGACACACACCAGTCATAGGATCCCCAACACGCCCTCCCCTAACCTAACCACCCCCTCGTTCCCTAAAACAAAACCCTAAGGCCTTGTTTGTGCAGCAAACTGGGGTGTCTGGGCAAATAAGGCCATGATCCTTGGTTGCAACATAAGTTGTATGGCGGGAAACTGAGGCCTCGAATGAGTCAGAATCAAACCTGGGAATTATGAAAGTAGCCCTTTCCAAATCCATGTGCCCTCCCACCAATTCACGTGGAACCTGACGTTTTTGGGGGTCTTGGTCTGGACCATGTTCCTTTAAAGGGACCCCTTGTAGTACGGCTTCATAATCCCCACCGGATCCCTTAATGCTTGATGACGGGATAAACGACCGCAGATCTCCATTTATGGCGTGGCCATTCTTACCCCGGGACTAGATAAATGGAATTGGGTCTCGGACTTGTGCCCCTCCCCCTTGGGGATAGGTGCCCTGGAATTCCAGGCTGGGGAGTCATTGTTAGGCTTGCAGATCGCCCCTTGAGAGGAAAGCAAGCCCAGTTGGCGCACACAGGCAGGCAACCATTTTTATTTTTACCCTCCCACCAATTAACATGGAACCCTGGAGCAACATCACACACCATCTGGCTAGAAATAAGCCAACTGATGTGGAACCCCTTCGACAGCGTCCGAATCGAATCCGTGCTCTTATGGGAGCTCAAGAAATTGATGTTCTTCTGTTCCTTTGGGTTTGCCTTGTAACCGCCCAGCCGCTCCAAAAGAACAGATGGGTTCTATCGGTAAATCATCCTAGGGAAACCCAAGAGCAACAACCACCCTTTCAAATAATTACCATGAACAAGAACAAGTGTTTGAAACCCACGCGAAAAACCCTGTCAAACCTGCCTCAACAAAGTCACTATACGGGTGCATTTTTGTGCACGGGACCCCAAACAATTGTGGTTCTCCTTTTTGCTTTCCCTTTAAAACAAACCCCAAAAAGGTACTCGAACCTTCAAACTACATAGGAAAATAGGTGATTGCTCCCAACGTATGGGGTGGTTTCCCTTTGTTAAGGGTAGCTCGAGGGCCCAAGTCAAAAAACAAAACACACAAAAAAACATGTTTTCTCTTTGTTAAGGGTAGTTTGGGGGTCCAGGTTTAACAAAAAAATGGTCGCCCTTAGCGCCAACTGCCGGCGGAGCGACACGTCTTCCGGCTCATCGAAGGCCATCAAATCCTTCAGAGCTGCCGTGTGACGCCAGCCGCAGGATCGATTCGCCAAGTCAGCGGTCCAGGTTAGCTCAGATGCCCAAGCGAATTTCCATGGGAAAAACAGGGCATCCTTTTTTGGTTGGTGAAGTTTAAAGGGCAAGCCTTCCAAAAACAAAGGGCTTGAAAAAAAGGCGGAATCCACTGGGCAACGGTCTGGATGTGCCGAATATCTGTGGATCCACCGGTTTTTTTAACGAGCGCTAAAAAGAACCGGAGGGAAGAACTGGTGAGTCCAGACATGTGCATCCAAACCGTTTTCGGTAACCTAGGTTTTAACCTACTTACAAGCTCACCTGGAGTTTAGCTTCTTAGCGGGTTATACATATATATATATAATTTATATTATATATATATATATATAACACAGGTAGCTAACCACTTACTAACTTGGCCGAACATGCAGCTGCCCCCTTTTTTTGAGGGTGCCCGTTTCGCGCTCATGTTGCAGGAAAGCCAACTCACTTGGGTTGGCCACACAAGTAACCAAACGTTTAGTTTGCTGAAATGGTAAGTCCAGGAACTCAAGGGAGCCAAAGACCAAAGGGAACCCCCATTTGTTTTCTTTTTGGGTTCCCCACAGTATGTTAAGGTTCCACTATTTTAGTCCAAACTCAGGGAGAAAGCCCGGCAGCACCCAACGACCGCTTGTTGCAAGATTGCACATCTAACTGTCCACTCCAGACTAATACATGGAGAGGTTTTCACCCCCCCTAACATGGGAGCCGTTTATTGATCCTGGGTCAACATTACAGTCAACCTTGGTGTCAGACCCAATCTGTGGGTTTGGGTATCACCCCAAAAGTTCTTGGTTGCGTGATTTCAAACGGAGATCTCGTCATGGGTCAACATACCATACCCCCAGTGAACATCCCAATCCCCACTAAAATGAGTTCTAAAATGGGTGGTGCACCTACCCCAAAATGGGATCCATTGGTTTTGACCCACAGCCATCTGGAAACAGTGGCAAAACCAAAGCCTGGTTCTTCGACTCAGTTGTTCAGTGACCCTGGAGGAAAAAAAGAGAACCCCTTTTTGCGGAAGACCACTTTTACTGGGGCAGCCACCCAAAAATGAAAAACAATTGGCCCACTTGCTGAGTGGATGGCCCAAAAAAAGTCCAAACTTTAAAATGGCCTTCCCAAAAAGCTTAAAGTTCATGAACTCAGGAAGTGAGTTGGTGCCACTGAACCGAGTTGACGACTTGTTTTTTCGGCCGCCCGCGTCCTCCACCACCGACTTGTGCAGGTCCTTCTCATGGATCACCGCTTGGTACTCCTGGCAAAGCGCACCGAACCTCTCAAAGAGCCAAAGGCATTCACATGGGACTACATTCCTTCTGGGGTCTAAAGGGAGTGCCTTACCAGGAACAAAAACCAGGAAAGTGATCCTTTTGGGTTTCTGCTGGACGTGCCCAGCTCTTCATGGCTGTCGGGGTCCCAAGCAGCCATGGATTCGGAGCTGGAAACCGGCGACAGAAACTGAGGCCACGAGGATTGCGAGCTCTGGAAGGTCGGACCAACTTGCCTGAAAGTATATGGATACCCCCAGAAATCGGCACCGGTGCCGCACATTCTTTTGCGCATGGGGCTTCCTACATTCCGAAACTTTGGCGGCTTCCATTGAGGGGGGTAAGGACTGGGTCGCAGTCAAGCCCCCCATGAAAAGAAGTCAAGAAGTCTGCAACCGCGCTTGCCCAGTGATGGCAGAAAGAATGCCTGGACACCCCCCCCAAAAAAAGGAAAGAAAAAGGAAGCAACTGCATTGCAACTGAGAAATCACGAATCAAAAATGTTCAAGGAACCTTCATGAGCTTGCCCCTTGACTGGGGACCCAAATGCATATTTCAGTTGATCACCTTCTGTGGACACAAAAATGAGAAAAGGTCAAAAGGTCAAAAGGCCGGCTTTGGGCCTTTTGGTGAGATGGACGGCTTCCGCCCGCCCAAAAAGGGAACGAACATGAATGCACCAGCGGAGGGTTGAGGCCTCGTGGATGCCCGTGTTCAGATCCCCCGTCAAAAGTGACTAACTCTTAGTGGGTTGAATGGAAATCGCACCGCTAAACCAACTATCTAAGCACCTCTGGACAATTCGCTTGGAATCCCAAACAAAAAGGGAAATGGAGGGAGCCCTGGATCATCCAACCTACCATGTCCTAACATGGCTGGGAACCACCAAGATTTGTGGTCCATGGCTCCGGGCAAATCACCGAAGAATTCAAAAAAATTGGGCCTCGGGGCTGCTTGGTGCCAAAAAAGCGACTTGTGCTGCAACTTTGCCACAGAAGGGAACATCATACCCTAGGTCCTCCAGTCGAGAGGTTAGAATAAGGCTACCCTTTTTTTCTGCCAGTGATCTTTGAGACAAGAAGACCAACATGATTCCCGTCGCTTTTGATATTGCCCCCGGCATAAAAAGCCGAACACGCCCGGTCAACATAAACCAGGGCTTTTTGGAATCCGGGGTTCCCACTAGCTTCCCTCCCTGCTGGTTTGCATTGGTGGTTTGCAGGTGTTCTGGGTGGGGAACTCCGGGGTTCAAATCATCATCCAAACCACCAATCCATTCCAACTAAAAATGACCTGAAAAGACGAATGAACCGATATTTCAGGGGTGTGTCTTTGTCGTAGCCATGTGGGTATGGGTCAAAAATAAACCACCAAGGGGCCGCAGGTTCTCATTTGCCAGTTTGGGTACCATTTTTTGACCCACATGGCTGTGGGTCAAAATCCCGGTACCCCCCGTGAACATCTCAATCCAACCACTAAAATAGCTCCCGAAATGGGCGCACCGCGGGATTTTCAAAACCCGTTTTGACCGCCGCAACCGTGTTTTTTACACAAAAAAGGAAACCAACCCCCAAAATGGGATCCCAAAACGGTTTTGACCGCCAGCAACGTCACGTGTTTTTCTTTCCTCGGGACACACAAAAATTTGGGAAAACGGGGACACCCGTGGGCTTGAGCTCCTTGGTGAAGATCTGCTTGATGCGCTCGATGGGCACAATCCACAGCACCCCTCTGAGCGTCAGAGTCACCTCGTTTCGTTGGCGCTGGCTGAGTCTTGGAATTTGTTTGGGTTTGTGTCGTTTTTTTTGGCGCGGAGAAGTGGCGGAAACAAGTGTGTTTCGCGCTGGTTCGTGCTTCGGAGAAAGGTATATCTTTTCAGGTGGGTTGGCAGGGAAATCGAAAGAAGAACTATGTTTGGGGGCCGAACTGTCATTTTGATGCCCACGTCACCAACCCAAGCCAACGCCCAAAGGACTCGCAAAAAGAAAGAAAGAAAAGAAGAAGTGCCCACACCCACACTGTCAGTGGGAAAAGGGAAGCTTTTTTGGGGAGGTTGCTCACAAGGCCGCCCTGAGGGGTCAGAGTCCGAGGATGTCGCAAGCTCTGGCCCGAGGAACTCGAACTCAAGGGGGCCAAGGTTCAAAGCTTGGCGTTGGATCCGATCCATCACGCGAAAACCAAACCCCAGGAAAACCTGACACCTCTCATGGCACGGCAAAACCGTTGATGTCTAAAGCCAAAAAGTGACCTGCCTAGAGATCCGCTTAGCTGGAACCTAGTCACCTTGGCACGCAAAACCGTTGATGTCTAAAGCCAGAAAAGACCTATGCAGAGATCCACGAGACTAGAACCTAAAGCAAACGGTTCCCATAGTTTAGAAAAACCCCGACTGCGCTGCTTGACTGTATCTATGCTCTAGACTCGGTTCGGCGCTTCAAAGCGGCCCTGACGCTTGAAAACGCTTGAAAATCAGCTTTGGGCTCACAATAGGCCCAAGGTGCACCTGTGGCATGTAGCCCCATGCTCCAAACCAAATATGCCCGACTAAGCCCGAAGGGCGAAACAAGTCCTTGTAGCCGGGCTCCAAGGATACAACTCACGCGCAGCGAGCGAGGCAAACACTTGCAGAGACTTGCTCCCAAAGCCGTGCCACGCGGGTACATGAACTAAACACGAAAAGGCAAAGGCAGCCCAGCCAAAAATATATAACCAAAGTTTGCGTTCCAAAGTTCGGACCTCGAGGTGTCGAAGTTCGGACCTCGAGGTGTGGTCGGTTGAGGGTTGGGAGCAACCCTGCTAATGCGTGAGGTTTTGCGAATTCACGTGCCCGAGGGTCCTGGGGTGAACATCTGTGTACATAACACATGTATATATATATATATATGTACATATCTGTATAAATTCACGATATGAATATAAATATGAATACATATATATATATATGTTAATTTAATATGTATAAATATATATATATATATGAATATAGTCACTCTGGGCCGAGTCGCGGATAGCACTGCTATGCCCCAGTTGGTGGTCACGCGCCCACTTCTGTGTGGAGTATCCTTCAAGGCAACGGCCGGAACGACATGGGTTGGTTCAAAGGCCAGGTGTGTTCAACATGTATCTAAAGTCTCCATAACCCTTTTAAAATGGGGTCATTACCCTTAATAATGGGGTCATGGACCTATTTTTAAAGGGTCATGGAGACTCTAGGTACTCAATCAAAACCCGGTACTAAAATGGTCGACCCAGAACCATGCTTCAAGAATTAAGCAGGCGGATGTCCGAAGCTATTTATGGCAAGGGGATTGTCCCTTACTAACCTTTATCTACCCGGGTTTTGATTGTAGCTCACGTGTGTTCAACATGTACTCGTTTCTGGGGTTCCAACCAGTACCGCCCACGCGGTGCTTCCACTTACCACTGCTCTTGCACAAGCATACTACATCAGACTTTACTCTTTGAATCTCGGCTTCAGTGCCACTTTGAACCGTTGAATTAGTTTCCCCAGAAGAAAACATACCACATGTGGTATGAAAGGAAAGTGCGAGGTGAACTGCAACACAGTTTCGCAGCAGCCAGTACATCCACACATGTGTCCAGAAAACAAACATGGACGAATAAAGCCATGTCCACTCACTACTGGTGGCATACATTGGAACAGGAACAAGTACATGTACCATGTTGTAAGAGAATCAGTTGTAAATGTTGAAAGGTGGGATCTACCTAAAAGTCAGCACGGGCAGCAGCTTGTTTTTCTTGAGCCATTGTCATGTCAGTATGCCATTACCTATCAACACCCCCCGCTTTGCAGAGGTGCGTTGGTGAGAACAGTACTTTGTACACGTTTCTCCCCCCCATGCCTGAAGCAAAGTCCTCTGAGGTCAAGGCAGTGAAGACGTAGAGCCTCAGTGGGATAGGTGGCAAGCCATGGTGATATGAGGCCTCATGCGTCAATGGTCGCTGCAACTGCGATGCATTTGGACTTTTGCAGGAGCGTGCCATCCGAATCGGCCGACCACGACTTCCGTCGGGCAAAACACATGTGATTTCCACGTGAATGCTTGAAACTGAATTCATACTGTTGCCATCAGCGAAGGTGATCTCACGACCACAGCTTCCGCTGGGCAATACTGAAATGACATCCGGTGGTGGCGGCCGTGGATTGACCTACGGCCGCAGCTTCCGCCGGGCGTGCAAACTTGGCACTGCTAATGTTGCGGCATCAATGGATGAAAGATAATAGTTTGAACATGACATCACCAATGAAATTGAAATGGTTACCGCAACATAAGCAAACTTTTGTAATTGATGCGGGTGCTCACCATCCCCACGGGCCCTGACGCCATTGATGCCATCCAGAGGACCACCCGTACCAAGAGCTCCAGTCCTGACGCCCCGTGCTCTTGCCTTTGCCCTTGCCCTTTCCTTTGGTGTAGGGCTCGGGGCGAATGGACCGGGTGATCGCCCTCCACTGGGTGTTCCTCGCCTCAACAGGATAGGTCCGCGTCCGGCCGGAGGAAAACCGCGGGATTTCGAGTTCACCGGTGCTGATGGTGCCCTGGGAGTCGAACTTGATCCAGGAGGCCCGAATGAAACTGACCATGACCTCCACAATCTTTTCGACGTTCCCTTCCGGGACGTATGAACCGCTGTGCCCGATGATAATCGGCACCTGGTTGCCCGGAATGAAGCGATAGGCACACATGACCGCAAACTGCATGATGCTGTAAAACCTCGCATGGTGTGCAATGAAAGCCTCCGTGGAAACGTTCAACTCATGGGGATCGCGTTTGTTGAGGCTGGGGATGAACACCAACTTCGTTCCGGTGTTCTGGGATCCGCCTCGCTCGCGTTCCTCCCTGGTACGGCCTGGGTCAGCGACAACCGCTCGGGCAATCCGGCCAAGGAAGTCAAGGCTCTCTGGGGTTAGCCCTTGCGTGGCGCAGTTGTATGCGTAGAATGGATCGACCGAGAGCCGGTCAGATACCTTCTCGCACCCCATCCCCAACGCCTTGGTTAGGTGCGTTTTGGCCGTCTTCCTGAGTGACGCTTCGACGGAGATTCCTCCCCGCTTCTCGCCTTCCTTGAAGTGATGCTTGGAACGGATCCACCTCCCTCCGCCGCCTTGCAAATCCTCCAGGTAGAAAACCATGCCCTGGAGGGATGCTGTGTGCTCGAGGCGCACCACCTCAGTGGCGATGCGTGCGTCCGTCCAAGACACCATGTCTGACCGGCACTCCTGACACAACAGGTAGCCGTCGATCTGTTGGTTGTTGCACCTCCTGTTCCAGCATTTCACGACCGGTACCTTCATCATGGTCGTGAAGAGGAGGTCCTCCCAACGTGGCTCACTCTGGTAGCGGTTCCGGAGGTTGTTCCAGCCGCGACCATGCCCTTTCTCTCCCCTGGAGAGCTCGGGCACCCGTCGAAGGGTTGCAGGCGCAACCTGATATGTCGGGCCTGCAGGTCTCTCATTCGACTTCCCCTTCCGGGGAGCGAGCTCATCGACCGTCTCAATCTCGGTCACGGCACCCGGAAGCAATTTGCCGTTCTTCGTCCCCTCAACGACGGTCTTCCAATGCCTCCAGGCCTTCTCTGCAGTCAGGGTGTTTTCACTTCTGAAGAAGTTTGGATTGACGTCCTGGGGCCCAGGCGCAAGCTCGGTTGTCAGCGCCTCGCGATACCTTTTGCGAAGCTCAGGGTACGCACGATTGAAGTAGAGGAACTCATTCTTGCGGGTATGGAAAGCGTAAATAATATAGGCATTCCCAACCCAATCTGCAGACATAAACGCCTCATCGCTCGTGAAGAGTCGAATGCCGTCCTGCATCATGAGCTCAGTATCAAAAGCAATCGTGACGGGCCTTCCGGCTCGCGTTCCTGCCAGCTTCCTCATCTGCGCCTCCCAGGGTGGCGTGGGGTTGAAGTAGACGTGGGCTCTGCCAGTCGACTTCGGATAGCCCCCCGGGACCAGGCCGAACTTGAGGATACTCTCGGCCGACCTGAGGTCACAGGTGTGGTAAAGGACTGCCGGAAAGCCTCGGCGCCACAGGTCAGTAAGTTCCGGATGCCGCACAGCCCTCGGGTAGTGGCCGTCAAGGTATTTCGCCGCGGTGAACTCCTCGTCGAAGGAATACAAACTTGTCAGGATCGCCTGCTCAGTGTATTTCCTTGTGAGCTCGTTGTGGTGTCCTTGCACGGCCCTCACTCGCAAAGCCTGATACGGCAATCCTTTCCAGGATGCTTCCCCCAATGGAGGGGGCCCAACCATCACGCGGAATCTGCGGGTGTTATTGTTCCGGATGCAGATCATCACCTCCCAAGGCATGACATTGGCAATCCGGTCATTCAGATGCCTAACCAGCGCATCGAATTCCACCGACAGGTCAACTCCGCGAAACGGCGGGTGGGGCTTGCCGTCCTTGAATGCCCCTCCCCGGAGGAAATAGGACATTTTCTTCGAAATTGCGACCAGTCGGTAGTCGCGGTCCATGTTGACCTTCGGGACGTGCCCCATGTCCTCGACCTCAAGCCACTCGCTCTGCTCCTCGGCCGGGACGTTGGTATTGATCTTCCGGGTCTTTGCCCAGTCTTCCCAGAAGATCTTCTCTTGCTTAGGGTCCTTCTGCTTTTTCGACCGGGGTTCCCCCTCGGCGTTGCCTGGCGGCGCCTTGGCCTTTGCAATCCTCGGCATCGCCTTCACCTGGGGCTTGTCGGTCGAGCCTGCAGCCGTGGGGTCCGACTCGTCTCCAATCTCAATGAAACCAGTCGACTGGGGTTCCCCCACAGCGTTCTTGGCAGCAGATCCGCGCCTTGACGGCGGCGGTGTTGGCGGTTGCTTGGATGTGCTGGTGCCCTCCGTCACGGACTCAAAAGTGACCGACTCCGCGGTGATCATGGAACTCATCCCTGCCGCCTCGGAATCATCAGCTTCTGACACCATCTCCAATGATACCACCGTTTCCTGATCGAACAAGTCACCTTCAGCGATGATAATCGACTGGCCTTCCGGCGCAGCACGGTGCACTCCTGGGGGCAGATTCGTCGCATCCCATCCAAAGTCATGGGTGTCATCGCCCAGCAAGAGCCACTTGTCTTTGTCCTCGTCGTCGGGGACCTTGGACAAGCCGTGTTTCTCCGCCGTACTGTCGATGTAGTGGGACATCGCGAGTTCCACTCGGTCAAGCTCGTCGTCGGAGTTTTCCTCACCTTTGTCGACGGCTTCAAGCACGATGTCGGATTCCTCGACCTTTGCCCCCCGCATGTCGATGGTTATGGCGTTATAGGACTCATCCTCCGCCACCTTCATCCATGCGGCCACATCGGCGTCGATTTCGTCGCCCTCCTGGTCGTGGGACCAGTCGGGCTTCTCTTCCATCGCCGCGTACTCGTGGAGCGCTTTGGCCAGCTTCAAGCATGTTGGCCAGCCAAAGAGCACCGGGTCGACCGGTTCACCTGCCACGTAGGGCTCAACCCTCCCAATGGCTGGGAGAGCGTATCTGATACGCTGGGCCAACAGCTGCGTGTTGATAGCCGCGTGAAGGAATTTCGACACAACCTTCCGGTTGGCATTGCTGTATGTCATGTGCACATCATCGTACCTGTGAGCTAGCAATGTCATAACCGATGGGTCGATCGAGTCGATCGCCTTGATGCGGGTCCCATCGTCGATGTCCCCGTTGGCCAGGTGTCGAAGGCAGCCGTTCATAGCCTCGTTGTAATCGGACGTGAGGGCATAGTCCTCGGCGTCCGGGTTGCTGATGAAGGTAATGTCTCGAATGCGTCCGAGCCCAACCGCCTCCTTGAAGAAGTCGAGCTGCTCGTACACGCGAGTCTTCTGAACCGTCGGCCACTCTGACGCGGCCTTCCGGCCCGCCTCCGTTCGGTTAAACCTTTTCTCATGGATCCATCTGCACCCCACGAAACCATAGTTGCCGAAGACATCGTTTCCTCCCCATAACACGTAAACCGAAATGGGAAGCTGTTTGATGCCCTTCTGGGAGTTGTCCTCGGCGATGAATCGCACTTTGGCCTCCATGGTGCTGTAGATAGCCTCAAG